ATCGTCTCTCTGGTGTGTCTTCTGTTACTTTCTACGAGTGGTATACTAGTCGACTCTGACCTGGAGTGGTCTGCCTCCGCTCCGACTTTTGGGAATCTCATCGCCCCCATGTCAGGTACCTCGCGCCCCCAATAAGCTGCCCGTAGCCGCTGGTACTCGCACTTGTATGTATTGCGCGAGACCAAGAATTGGCACTTTTGCTTCACCGCGGCTTGCGGCCCGTTTGAACGGTGTCTGTCAGAGAAGCAGAAGGGGTGTGTGTGTGTGGGTGACATTGTTGGTTAAGAGCCATGCTGTTCTCGTACTTGGCCAGCAACAGAGGTTAGACGGCGTGCAAGTAGAAGTAACTAAGAAATAAAAGACCGAGAGGGTGTGCAGCACGTACCTCATACGAAGCACACATCGTTTTTTCGTTCTGGCTGCAAGGCCCGGGTCGGACAAAATGGAGGGGCTGGGTTTTTTTTGTCTAAGTGGGAGGTTGGGGATTGTCGACGTCTGCAGCCGATAAAAGTCATCGTGCAGCGCCGAGACCGCCAGCTGCACGCTCCCATTCTTCTTTCTCCCAAGTCTCCTTTTTTTGACTTTGGACTTATGCAAGGTTGAATCAAGGCGTCGTCAATCAAACGACATTCTTTTTTTCTCCCCTTGCCTCTCTCGTGGCTTTGATATTGTGAGACTAGCCGGCGACGACAACTGTGACGTTTGGCATTTGGTCACAGCCAGCCTCACTAAGGATCTCACCGGACTCTTGCGAACCTCTTGTTTGTCCGCTTGAGCTCTTGAGCAACACCAAGGCGAATTCGTCGTCGCCATGCGCTCAATCGTCCGACCAGCGTCCGCGCTGCTGGCCGCCGCAAGCATCGTGGCCGCCGGTCCATTCCCCAGAGGCCCCGACAACGCCTACGCCTATCTCTTCCAGCGCGATGCCTGCGACGGCACGCCCTGCGGCTCCGACAGTCAGTACTGCTGCGACAGCACCGAGCTGTGCACGACGCTGAGCGGAAACGTCGCCACCTGTCTGGGCGGCTACGGCGCATACACGAGCACCTGGACCGAGACGCGCACCTTCACCACCACCTACTACACCCACTGGGTGCCGGTGCCCACGCCCACCGCCGGCGTCGATTGCGTGCCCCAGGACGACTCGCAGCAGGCCTGTGGCCCAATCTGCTGTGCCGGATGGCAGACGTGTGCCTTCCAGGGCCAGTGCTCGTCCAGGCCTGGATACGCTGAGCCCACGCCCATTGTCATCGTCACCAACGGCCATACCACCACCCAGTACTCGGCTCCCTATCGCGTCACTGGAACCACGACCATCACCACCCAGGTCGTCCAGACGGGCACCGGAACCGCCACTGAAACCGGAGCGTCGGCCACCTCGACCAGCGACGGCGAGGCCATTGGCGCCGACGGCAGCAAGGGCACCAACGGCGGCGGCCTGAGCCCCGGAGCCATTGCCGGCATTGTCATCGGAACGCTGGCCGGTGTGGCTCTGCTGCTGCTTCTGTGCTTCTGCTGCATCGCCCGCGGGCTCTGGGCCGCCATTTTCGGCCGCCGCCGGTCTGGTGACGACAGCGTGCGCGAGGAAGTCATTGAGGAGCGCTACTCAAAGAGCGGCAGCCGCGCAGCCTCCGCCTCGGCTCACTCTCGTCGCGATCGCCATGGCGGCTGGTTCGGAGGCAGCAGCCGGCAGGGAACGTCGACGGTGGTGACGGATCGCCGTGAGAAGCGCAAGAGCAGCGCCGGCTGCTGGACGTGGCTTGGAATCGGAGCCGTGGCCGCCACGCTCTTCACTCTGCTTAACCTCAAGAAGGATAAGCGGCCAAACTCTCGCAAGACGCCCTCGCGGTACAGCGACTCTTACTACAGCTATACCGACTATACCAGCAGCAACAGTAAGTTTTTATCTTTCTTTCATGTGAACTGAAATGCCAATGCCTGTCTTACTAACTGCTCTTCCTTCTTATAGCCAACAGCTCTGGCACGGGTCAAAGATCACGTCAGAGATCGCGCAGCCGCCGCAGCAGATCTAGCCGTGGTGGACGATCTGGACGATCACCTCAGTACAGCAGGGTGCCCAAGCGATAGACTGATCACTCTTAAACGGCGCTTCTCAACGTTGCGCTTCTCATGGGCGGTATCACGGCGATTTCTTCAATGTGAACATATTCACAAGGGCACTCATACTTTGTGGGACTGACCCTCTACCTTTACTCATTAATTCTTGTTCCCAGCTTTTTTTTTCCCCTACCCTACTACATTTACAAAGGTTACATTTGGCGTTGACGGCGTGGAAGGGGGGCGGCCTGCGACATGCATCCTCCCCCGAGTGGTTTTTTTTCTTCCTCGTTTCTCATCTTTCCTTTTCTATCTTTATGAGTTTGGTTTTTTTTTTTTCCTCACGTGCAATATGTTTTGAAATGAACGGATGAAAGACATGAGGGGATAAGGCATGACGAAGCATGAAAAGTACATACTACGAAAGACCAAGACGAAATGAAAATGAGATTATGCTGTAAGACTTGAATGGTTGTGTATATGTGAAGATGAAGATGAAGGTGAAGATGAAAAATATGATGAGGAGCAAGGAGTGATGTAAATAAAAATTTGAAATCTGTGTCGATTTATATAACGTGGTGATATTATCTGAGATGTGAGTTGGTGGAGAATCTTCACTCAACACAACCAGGCTCATAAGTGACTGAATTATTCACATTAAGTACGGAGTAGTAGCTGACACTTTTTCCCCTCTCCCCAACGACTCAATTTTTGAAACATAAACGCCAAGATTCACATTCATTTTCTTCGTCGCCAAGGACATTCTTTCATTCCCAAGTTCGTAGTACGGCGTAGGTACGCATCATACATGTAGTCTACAGCGAAGAAAAAAAAGTGGCCATCGCTTTCACTTTACTTTTTAATATATTTTTTTGAAAAGAGTAGCCCCGTTGCTACGTGACATGCAATGATGAACCTTCGCCACTCCGGAGTCCCAGAAACGCAAAAGAAACAGAGATCCTTGTCCGGTACATTTAAGCGTCCTCCACAACGTTGCCCTTCTCGGAAACGTACAGACCGTCCAAGAACTGGATTGAGACAACAGTTAGCAAAAGTCCGTGTATAGAGAGATACGACTGAAGATGTGGAGATTTTCGGTGAAAATTGATAGAGCGTAGTTCCGCTGCGCTCCAACAACTGTCCCAATTGTTTGCAGAAAATCATGAGAAAAACAATATATAGCCCGTACCTTTCGGATATCCTTGTTGCGCACCCGGCAGATCTGCTGGATATCTGCGGCGCTCTGGGAAACGTTCTCGAGTGAGTTGCCGGTCAGGATGAGCTCATCCTTCTGGGCCTTGGAGATCTCAACGTCGACACCCTCGTGCATGGTAACCCGTCGGACAATCTTCTCGCCGATGAAGTTTCGGATCTCGACCTCGAACAGACCAGTCTCCTTGTTCTTGTCCAGGTTGACGTTGATGGGAAAATGGGCGTAGACGTATCGCATCTTGTACTTGAAGCCCTTGGTAACGCCGGTGATCAGGTTCTCGATGATCGATCGGACGGTACGGAGGGTGGCAACATTTTTACGGTTGCCGTGGTGGATCTCGATGGAGATGGTGTTCTTCTTGGGGTGGCCGAAGTTGACAGCCAAGTGACCGAGGTTCTTGGTGAGCTTGCCTGTAATCCTCCAATGTCAGAATTCCAGTTCCCTTCTTGCCAATTTGACTCGAAAATCTGCTGTCCAAGAGTTTTGCGTCTTGGCGAGCGATTTGTGGGTGGTGCTTCGTACCTCGGGGACCCTCGACGGTGACGATACGGGTCTTGATGGTGACCTTGACTATTCGCAGAAAAAAATTCAATGTCAGCTTCGTATTCCTCAGAAAGTGCGTGTTCCAGGCCAGCAAGCAGATTTTCCATCATGTCTCCCTTCCGTTGTCCCAGTCAATCCCTCATCTCCAACAACAAGAGACTAAATTCCATCTCTTTCTTTTCCATCATCATCAAAGACACATTTTCCTCCAGCGCAATCGATCGGATCTGCAAGGCCAAAATCAAAAAAAAAGGAAAATGGTGAAACGTACCGCCCTCTGGAATTTCCAGGATCTCCTCAGAGTGAATGTACCTCATGGCTGCTGTGACTTGGGGGTTGTCGGGGCGTTGAGGGTATCTGGAGTCGTCCGTTCCGCGATCACGAATTGTTTGGCGAAATCGTGTGGGCAGGAAAAGTTCTAGGGCTCGCTCCACGTGAGCGCAAAGAGTTGTGCAGCCGAATTTGAGCCGTGTGGGCGCGGGGTGGGGCAGCGACACTCGGAAGACGAAGAAGGGTGTGACATGGCACGTGATTGACTGAGTGGACAAAGAAGAAAAAAAGGATCCACGAACAAGCTGCTGACTTAGCAAATGGACCAAGTGGGATGCGATACGACGACAACATACAGTAGAAGCCACAGCCACAGCCAATAGGTGTAGATTCCACGACATGCAGTGGGTAGTGGGTGAATCGCCCAATTGATGATGAATGATAACAGTCTCTCTCTGCTGCCGGCCTAATCAAGCAGAGCCAAAAGCGAAACCCGAGCAGTAGCAGAAACAATACAGCCTTTTACACTTGGACGATGCATTAAATATTCTGCCGTATTGTCAACCATCATATGGCCTGTCCCCTGGCTCTCATTGTACACTATACATATTAGTACACCTCTAATGATACGATAACTCGCGTACTCTATACCTCTGCGCCTGTATGGCTCTCCCCCCCAGCCAGCTCTCCACCAAAGCTGTGTCTTCACCAACATCGTCCCCCACTAGCCATAAACGTACGTCAGCGCAGCCGCAAGCCTCGCAACCTCTACGCGACAACGTTGAACCGCAGCGGCGCATTTTGGCTCTTGCGGCATCGCCAGTGGTGAAGCTTAATTTCAATTGCCTGGTACCCTCCGAGTTGATTGGCCTTGGACCTGCGTCTCCCTTCGACCCGAATTCGGACACGAAACAGCGAGACATTATACGGCATATCGGAACACATTACGCTTAAGGGAGTGACATTGAGGGACAAGAAGGACAAGAAAGAAGAAGAAGAGAAGAGATCGGTAGAGCAAAGAAGAAGAAGAAGAGGATAATACAACTTACGCTCTCTCTCTCACACAACACACGCAACGCAACGCAACACAGCACAAGAGGGAGACCGCCACCATGTCCATCTTCTTCTCAACCCCCGTCGACATCGACATCGTCCTCGACGATCCCGATGACCGCACCATGGTCGACGTCAAGCTCGACAAGAACCGCCGCGAAAAGGCGCCCCTGTACATGGACGGCGAGTCCGTCAAGGGCGCCGTCACCGTGCGGCCCAAGGACGGCAAACGCCTCGAGCACACGGGCATCAAGGTCCAGTTCATCGGCACGATAGGTACGCAGCTTGACTACTATGACCAGAATCCCGGCAACTTGCGCGGCCGGTCCTCCTCATCCTCCTCATCATCCTCCTCACCCTTTGCCGGCCTCTGGACTGCGCCCGCCATCCGCTTGGGGCTTCAGCAGCGCCGACTCCTTACTGACGGGCTGGTAGAAATGTTCTTTGACCGCGGCAACCACTACGAGTTCCTCTCGCTCAACCAGGAGCTCGCCGCGCCGGGGGAGCTGCAGCACCCGCAGACGTTCGACTTCAACTTCAAAAACGTCGAGAAGCAGTACGAGTCGTACAACGGCATCAACGTCAAGCTGCGCTACTTTGTCCGCGTCACCGTCTCGCGCCGCATGGCCGACGTGATCCGCGAAAAGGACATCTGGGTCTACAGCTACCGCATCCCCCCGGAGATGAACAGCAGCATCAAGATGGACGTCGGCATCGAGGACTGCCTGCACATCGAGTTCGAGTACAGCAAGAGCAAGTACCACCTCAAGGACGTCATCGTCGGCCGCATCTACTTTTTACTCGTCCGGCTCAAGATCAAGCACATGGAGCTATCCATCATCAGGAGAGAGACGACGGGCGCCGCGCCCAACCAGTACAACGAGAGCGAGACGCTGGTGCGCTTCGAGATCATGGACGGCTCTCCCTCAAGGGGCGAGACGATCCCTATCCGACTCTTCCTCGGCGGCTTCGACCTGACGCCCACCTTCCGTGACGTGAACAAGAAGTTCTCCACGCGGTACTATCTCAGTCTCGTTCTCATTGACGAAGGCAAGCCTACAACACCCCGTCCCCCCCAATCCCCAGCTGTACTATACTAATCTTCATTTCTCTCCAATCTAGACGCCCGACGATACTTTAAGCAGTCGGAAATCATCCTCTACCGCCAAGCCCCCGACACTCCCGCCATCCAAGCAGGAATCCAGAGCGTACCTCCTCCTCCCGAGAACAAAATCACCGCTGTCCAGGCATGAAGTTAAACCATGGGCCAAAAACTTCTTTGGGTCTTCTTTTTTTTTCATGCAGCGAACAGCAACATTGCCATTCTATTTTGTTTTCTATTTCTAGCATAGGGGAGGGGTCTTAAACTACTGGCGTTAACGGGAGATTACGAGTGTCGTGTGTGCGTGTGGTTTTTTTGTACGAAAATGTGTTGTCGTAGATAATATATAGGTACATATTATAACGATTATCCCAGTCCTAAAAGAAGATGAATAAAGGAGAGAAAGAAGGAAAGGAGACAAGAGGTCCAGTAAAACCAAAATATTGACTCTGGTGATGAAGCAAAAACAAACAGTATATCCCCTCATTTGATCCTGTGCTTATTTCCCCCCAAGGTATCTAACCCATGTGACCCTTTCTTCTCTCTCATCTCCTCAAGAATTGAGAGGGTACAGGTATTAATCTACATGCAAAACATTTTTCTGGTTGCGGGTTTTCGTCTAACATTGATTCATCCACGCCTCTTCTCTCGCCATAACAATCTCTCCCCAGCTTCCCATCCTTCCGGGCCAAATCATGCAATATCCATTATATCACCCGCCTCGAATCCAAACTGATTATTCTGGATCGCGGCAATCCGATCCAGCTCATCCTGGTACTGCTTCCTGATATCCGCCAGCGAAACGACCTTTCGCTTCGCCCCCTTCTCCCCCTCAGGAATGCCCTCATCAAAGATCCACGCCTGCTTAGCATCCACGCAGCTGAGTGCGTTGATGAGCAGCAGGTACTGCTTCGTAACAGGCGTGTCGAGCACATCCTCACCCGTAATTTGATCCCCCTCGCCAGCCAGTCTCAGCTTTTGGATTTTGTCGAGAATGACGGATGCTGCGCCCCGGAAGTTGTTGTGCTTGATTCTCCACGAATACAGGACCTGGTGGTATGGGAAAGCATGCATGACGTCCATGATAGTCTTGCATCTTAGTGAAAGGATATCATCGACCTCTTGCTGCATTCCAGGGAACGTTAATGTCACAAGCTCAGAGTTGTGATACGTCTCGCACATCTTATCCACGAGTTTCCGCAGGTTGTAGTGCCTCAAGGCTTCATCCTTCATTGACAACAATGTTGTGTGGGCCAGCTCAAACTGGGACGTGGCCAATGCCGCGTTGAAAAGACGGCTCAGCATGTCTGTCTTGATGCTAGCATTCTCTGGCTTGGCCCCCGTGAACTGAACGGATAACCGAGCAAACTCAACCACGTATGAGTACGCTCTTTGCTTCTCGAATAGGGCGACAATGTGTGAATAGTATTGAGCTAGTCCGCTGTTCAATAGGTTCCACTCCGTGTCGTCAAGCAGACCACTGCTATGGCGCTCAAGCTCAACCGTTTCGCTGCCTGCGACAGGGGTTAGTGGGGGTTCATTATATAAACACATCATATCAGACTTACCCATTCCGACAGCTGCCTTCTTGAAGTTGATAGACGCGGATTCAAAATCTTTCAGCGCTAACAAAACCCTGCCGTGGATGTAGATCGAGAAGGGATTTTGATCACAGAACGGCTCAAGATCCAGAGCCAGATCCGCTCTGTCACGCTTGATGAGGGAGCACTGGATGAGTGATGGAGATACCTCGATATCTCCATTAGGAGAGCAGAGATTGGTAACGAGGTCAGTAATGCTAATGGCAAGTGGCTCACCGGCCAACCCCTGCAAGCCTAGCAAGTGGCCTACATTGGCTTCCAAGGCAGTCACTATTTGGACGTCTTCTCCCCTTTTTGTCAGAGAAGATAGACTGTGTTCGGGTAGCGGAATGGCCAGCTCGGTCTGTGATAGCCACTTAAGGAGCTCCAGCCTCTTCAATGTCGCAATGAGTTGCCGGAAAACAGTTCCGACATCTATCCTGTGGTGAAGGGCGTCTTCTTCATTGTCAAACTCAAACTCCATGTGGGCTAGGAGGATGAGCTGGCTGAAGCATATTTTCCATTGTAGAGCTATATTCTCTTCAGCCGCCGTTATGACGAGCTTTCTGCCAAACTCCGTCAGAGGATGGTTAGGGCTTCGGCTCTTATCATCTAACGGCGTGACAAGGAGACCCAGCACCTTTCGGTAGAGATCATTTGTTACAGCTGCAAAATTGATGTCCAGAGTGTCGACCACCTGCTGAGCATCTTCGTCTGTGATGCCTCTCCAAAAGCTAGCTTTATCTGAGAAATATTGTATCCGCTCAAGATCTGTCTTGGAAGATTCTCCAAACAGCTCAGGCCTTAGTGCGGCATTGCAAAGCTGCATTAGGCTGTCTGGGAATCCCTCCACGAGCGTCAGTCCGGCTCCGATCAAATCAGCTTGTCGCACAGACCCTTGATCCGGCGTAGCTAGGTTGTGGTAGAGTCGTTCCAAGTGACTGCATTCCCGAACGGAAGAGATGAGATCCGCACAAACTACCCAAACCATGTCGGCATCAGTATCAATGATCATGCCGATGGCTTCACCTCTCTGTTTATCAAGCTCATTCAGCAACCGATAGAATCTTCTCCACTGTGTCTCGCTTGATGATCGGAACTGCTCATAATCCATCTCTCCTGATGATCCGCGATCCAGAGAAGCAGTCGAGCCCAAGACTGAGCAGATGGACTCGGCCAATCCGCGCCCCTTGTTGTTCTCCTTCGGAGAACCTAGCCCACGCTCATATATGGCCAGCGCCGCTTCTAATGTCGCCTTGGTGAACCTCCCTGGTTGCAAAATCATCTGAAGCCACTTCTCCGTGACATCGGTAGGGTCACAGGGGCCAGATGTTTGCACATCAAGACTTCGTGGCTCGGAATACACGCCGTCCCAGCTATCCTCCCATGACTGTGCCATATTCTTTCGATCCAGCTCTAGACGCTGTACTCGGTATGTCATGTTGTTTTTCCATAGAGTCCACAAGCTGATTTGACCTTCCTCCGATGATGCCAACACGAAATCCGCTAGTGTCCAAATATCGGAAGAGGATGGAGTGGCTGGGATCAAGGTACATTTAGAAAAGAGATCCTCAATGACCACGTTATGGGCATCCTTTGCAGTAATCTTCCAAAACTTGAATTCTCCAGTGCCAATGGGGGAGTAAGTTGCGCAGATTCTTTGCCCACGAGTTCTTCCAACAACTCGTGTAAGATTGTACTGCGCCGGATCAATTGACCACTTGCCCATTTCTTGAGGCGACCTCTCAACATTCAACATGTCCATTGTTTGCAGAATCTGGCCGTCGTTGACATTCCAGATACGGATTCGGTGGTCGAGGCAAACGGTGACGGCAAACAGGCAGTTCTCGAGCCCAAAGTCGGTGATCTCAATGGATGTCGCAGTGCTGTATTCCATGTTGGCTTTTCCGTACTTGATCGTGTGCTTGCCCTGGAACGGCAAGAGACTTCGTAGGTTCTGCGCCCATCCTTGAACATTGAAGAAGGATTCTCTCCACAGCGTAGTAGATGCTAGGCAAAAAGAGTCAGGCACATATGAAAAAATGAAGAAACAAAAAAACTTTTCATAGGGATATCTCTCTCCAACTTACCGTCATCTCCCTTTTGCTTGTCAAATCGAATTATGCCGCCATCGTTGACCGTAACAAGAAGCGTATTCGCTGACACAGCCACCATTCGATGAGGATACTTGAAACTGAGGCCAGCCGGAGACTGGACCTTGCAGATATCAGGCAGGCCAGCATCCACGGCGCCTCTTCTCTTGAAAAGATCCGGCCGCAGGGTAAACGTGTATAGGTAGCAGGCCTGGTCCAGCACATGCACGCACAACGCATCGTGCTCTTCCGGGTCCGAAAACACTACGCACCCCTGCTGAATCGGCACTGTGAAGTGAAAGTTGATAATCAGAGACGCATCTGCCGCCTTGTCCTTCTTGCTAACATCCACTGCTCGGATGCTTAACAATGTACCGTCCTCCAGGACTCTCCATAGGAAGTTCCTCGGCGAATCGTGCCATTTCCGCCGGTATATCGACGCCGCAGTCGCCAAGTTCTTCAATCGGAAAGTCGTCTCGTCCTCAACATCGTACGATAGCTTGGGGCGGCCTCTGCTGCCAGAGCCGGAGGGCACTCGAATGGTAACGACCGATGATGGGGAGGGAGGTTCGAGGTTCAAGCGGGTCTCTTTGAAGAGATACTGAATCTCACCCGAATCCATCTCGCCTCCCTGAAGCGCATGCGGCGTGCACTTTGTAAATTGAGGGGATGGCGGTGATGTGGCTGGCGCAAGTCGTTCGTTTTGGTGATGCTCAGAGTCGGTCGCGTTGCAGGGCAGAATTTCTGTTTCGACTTCGACGTCGCGCGGCGCTAGCCCAATTGGGAAACCAGCTTGGCTGCATAACATGCAGGCATTTACGGAGCATTCAGCATGGCATGGAATTGAGACGGCAAAACGAGATGAAGATAAAAAATTAATGGGAAACTATAAAGTGAGGATACATTATAATACTTTAATTGATCGCCATCTATACTCTTGCTTTCAAGCATCATGCATCTATCCATCCATCTGCCTCCCCTTTATAATTCCCCAATCAAACATATAAGAGGCAAACAGCCATTCATCCATAAAGAAAACGCCAAAAAAAAAAAGGCCATAAGCCTCTCCCAAATGACTCCGATTATTCATTTCTCATGCAAATGCAACATTTCTCCATTATTCAGTCTTTCTCCTTCTCCAAGTCCTTTGGCGCAGGGTCACCAATACCGTCCTCGCCAATGGCGAAGAGTGTGTCGCTCTCCGGCAGACAAGGACTGTCGTAAATCTTGGCAATTCGAGTCTCGCCACGACCCTTCTTCAAACTGATTCGCGTTGTACTGGCATGGGCAATGATATTGCCGCCAATAGGCTTCTTCGGATCAGGATTGAACATGGCGCTGGGTCCACCATCTACCTGCGCAACGACTTGGTTGGTGATGACAACGGCAATGCCGAATTCGTCTGCAAGTCGCTGCAGGGTCCTCATGAATTTGGCCAGATGCGTCTGACGATTTGAAAGCTCGCCTCGGCCAGTAAAGTCTGTTCGATACAGTGAAGTAGCACTGTCGACGATGAGTAACGAGAACCTCGTCTCGCACATCATGGCAGCTGCCTGGTTCAGAAGCTGAAGCTGGTGGTCTGAGTTGTATGCTCTCGCGTATGCAACATTATCCAAGACCTCTTCTCCGGACAGACCAAATCGATTGGCAACGGCCAACAATCGGACAGGTCGAAAGGTACCCTCAGTATCAATGTACAGACATTTGCCTTCGCCACCACCCATGTCGAAAGGCAGCTGGCAGGTCACAGCCAGAGTGTGGCAAATCTGACTTTTTCCTGTTCTGAACTCTCCAAACAGCTCAGTAACAGACCCAGTCTCTATACCTCCCGCTAAGAGTGTGTCGAGGTTTTTGGACCCGGTCGTGATAGAGATGAGTTCACTGCGGCGCTGGTGCATTTCAGTGGCTGTTGTAAATCCCATGGGCACAAGCTTCGATGCTTGGACAAGGTTAGATTTCGTCCTGTCTCAAGAGAGTATGAACACAACGACCGTACCTTCAGCCAAAATCTTGGTCGCCTTCTGCTCTGAGATGCCCTTGATCTGTTCCAAGACCCTGCGCGGGGTATAAGCCACCGACTCGACCGTGTTAAATCCGCCGTCAACAATCAGTTGAATATCACGCTTTGTCAATCCAGCAACTCCCTACAAAAATGAATCATCAGCAAGGTCCAAGCCTCATTATCAAGCGTCATCACCAATCATACCTCCAAAGCAGACAGCGGCGTGGGCGCACCAGGTCCAGTCATGCCACCCTCGTCGCCCATCTGGTTCTCTTCGTCGTATTCTTCGCTCATCTTGATCGCCAAAACCAATTGATTTGTTCACAAAAAGAAGGAATTAAGCGAAACCACGCTATGCAGAGAATTTTAAAGACTCGGCAGCCACAATTAGGCAGAACTGAGGCAAAGAGACGAGGTATGTTGACAAGCAAGGCGCGGGTCGACGCGTCAAGTCAGGCTAGCAATGGGATAATTTGACGCCAGATCACGTGATCCTGCTCTTGATTTCTAATTGAAGAGCTGTGGAACGAACAGGCATCCATGACACATATCACATTGGTAATGCTTTGTTTAATGAGAAGAAGAAAAAAGAGTGTATTATTGCAGTTATTGCTCTATATGCTAGTCACCAAAAGAAAGCCAGTTCCAAACAAGTGCAGACGTTGAAAATAATCCATTGATCCCAAATCCCCCCAACTCCCATTGATGCAATCGAGAAAGGCAGACAGCAAAGCTAATCCCAAGGTAGATTGTAGTATGACATTGCGCGGTAATGTGTCTTTCCGAGTTGTAAGATGGTTTAGTTGATGAAGATGCGGTGGGCCTCGTGCTTCTTTGCCTTGGGGACGGTGATGCTCAGAATGCCGTCCTGGAAGCGAGCACTGACTTCCTCGTGCTCAACCAGAGTAGGGAAGTGGAAGCTGCGCGAGAACTGGCCGATGCTGCGCTCAGTGAGCCAGTACTTGGCCTTGTCGGCGGGTTGCTGGGGAGCCTTGTTCTCGGGCTTCTTCTCCTCTTCGGTGGTGACAACTTCAAAGCCCGACTCGTGCTCGCTGGCCTCGTCTTCATCTTCGACAGTGGCCTGATGGGAGCGCACAGACTCGGCCTTCTCAGAAGCAGTCTCTGTAGAAGGAGTGTTTTCGGTGGAAGCAGAGGGCGATGTGCCAGCAGTGTATGTGCGCTCAGTCTTGCCGCTGACAACTAAAGTCTGGGCGTCGGAGAACTCAATGTGGACGTTCTCCTTGCCTATGCCGGGAAGCTCACCGTGGAGCTCGTAGGCCCCGGTGGTCTCGCGCACATCAAACTTGGGCTGCCACTGAGGAACTGGCTGGCGGCGGACATGGCAGCTTCTTCCGTTCTGTCGGCTGTAGGTGTCAAAGTCGTCAAGGAGACGGAAGAGAGGCGTGAGAGAGGCCTCGGTGGGGTGGTAGAAAGTGCGAGGGAAGAAAGCCATTGTGATTGTTGGGTGTTGTTGTTTTTGTGGTTTAAAAGAAGATGTCAGAGTGGATCTTGTAGTAGAATTGGGAGATTGGGAGATGTGTTTTTGTTGGAGTGCTTTGCTTTGTTGTTGCTTGAGTGTTTGCTGTGTATCTGAGTGGTGTTCTGATGAGGAAGGGGATTTCACTTCTGCTTGACTTCATGGCGCACTTTATAGTTGATTGCATCACTTCCATTAACTTTAGAATCAGGCAGGGAGATGACGAACAGGATGTTCTAAGAATTCAGGTGAATCTACTAGCATCTACCATCGAACAGTTACGAATGCGCCGTGCTTCATAATGCTGCTTACAAGCTGAACATGTCACCATTTGGGCTACCTAACCGTGGCGACTGCGCGCAGCTTCTGGCAGGCACTAGAAGATTCCACCGGTACTAAGCAGACCCTGTAAGTGCCTAATTGAACTCGACAACGTCTCTCTCTGTATGACAAAAGCCAAAAAAATACCAAAAAAATTAATACAATGGCATATCTACACCATCACATAATCCAGATTGCAGCTGTCAAAGGAAGCAGAGCTATAGAGTTTGCACCGCGCTCTCTATTCACATCATTCTTGTACCTGATGCCTCTCTTCATGCGTCATTGTGGCTCCTCTTCTAGGCTGGACGACATGTGGCGCAGACGCCACCAACGCAACCCAGCCACATCAAGCTACTGCCCTCACTGACTTCTTCTAGGTTAGGTGCTCAAGAGACCAGGAATTCACGGCAACTCAGAAAAACGAATGTTTTCAATGAGTTGATTGTTATGCTGTAATCAATCATATGAACTCTGCAAAATTTTATTGAATTTACCGAGAATCATCCAGTGCTTGTTGTCCGGCCATCAGCCACTTTGATCAAAACTTCTGCATAACATCTATTTTATGCTTACACGCTTCTAATTTCCGGGCTGTATAAGGTCGACTTTATCCTCTCAAACAGCCACATTTACTAAACTTTATACCGTCCTTCTAATGCTTACACATATCCACTTCTTGTTTAGCGTTCAAACAAATGCTCACCTGATATGGGTTTTTGTAAATCAAAGATCACCTTTCACAAGGGGTTGTAATCCTATCCACTGTAGTCGCGGCAATGAACAAGGGCAGTCTTTTTGCCACGGGCACTTAGCTTTGCTGTAGAGGCCTTTTCCCTCTATGGTGACCACGCTAATCACAGGAGCAGAAAACTAACAAACTGGCAATTTGGCAGCTATAAAGATGAAATGATCTATTCTTGCAGCATTAAAAAAAAGAGATTGCATTAAGAAGACCACCTATGGATGCTCCTAGCCGCCTGTCCTTTTTCATTGACCCGATATTCATAGCGTCGTCTCCATCATCATGTAGGCGTCAATCCAAGAACCTTGGATCTAAAATACAAGGCAAAAGATTTCCTTAGCATTCCCCAATAAGAGCTAGGGCATTAAGGAAGGAGAACAAGAACAAGAACAAGAGCAAGTAGCCAGCATCACATACGGCAGAGAAACATGAAGCCGTGAGCGAGACCAAGTCTACTGAGCATATGATCCCATTTGTTGATATCTGGACATCGTACCAATAGGTGGTCTCGCGGCTACTGATTGGCCAGAACCTTGCCCAGTGTTGAAAAGACCAATAAGCCTTTGACCGACAGAAGGCTCTATTTCGGTGCCATCTCGCGCAATCTTGACCTCTCGATTAGAATTCCAAGGGTTTCTCAACCCACGAATCCTGTGAAAGGGAAGACGAGATGTCGACATCCACTCGACTCGGAAAGGCTTTCCCCATGCTTTCTCTTCCTCCTCTTCATTGGCAATATCATCTTTTCCGCTCATAACACTGGCCTCATCATCGAGGGTCTTTCCAGAATCATCTTGATATATTTCCCAGAATATTGTTCCTCTACTTGGATCACGAAGGATCCTGCCTTTAGGAACATATTCAGTCGCGTCCGTGAGGACTTCTTTCGGCAGTTCTAATTCGTTCGTCGATCGCGGTACGGGTGCAAACTTAATGGTCGAATCCAAAGACGGGCTAAACTCGGATGCCATTCGTGCATATCCGAAATATTCGCCAGACTTGTTAGCTGAAAATATTAAATATACGTTGTTGCATTGCTTCGACACGTTAGCCAACAAAAGAATCTCTGCAAGGCTATGAACAAATTCTCTTACCCTAAATGCACCATTCAATGTTTCCTCGTTATGAGATTGCGTGGCCCAAATTCCCGTTCGTACACTAAGCTCAAGGTCATCAATTGTCAAACTTTTTAGAATAAAAAATCTATCATGGTATTTCGCTGGCCCCTCTGACGAGACAGCCGTTGAGTTATCCGCGTGATCGGTTTTAGCAGTCGAGTTTCCATCGTCGACTTTGACTGCAGCCTTACTCCTAGCCGTATGGATCGGTTGAGAGGAGTTGGCCGTGCCTGAAGCCGGTCCGGTTGGCGGAGATTGGCCATTGGTGCCATCGATTTCATTCCTTCGTAGCCTGCTGACAAGGCGAACCGACTGGAATCTAGATTCGTGCAGTTTGAGTTGCGCAGATATGCAAGAGGCCTCGTCTTTGAAATTAGCAAAGGCACAATTGCTCTTGGCAATCAGGAAGAGAGATTCGAGTCCGGTTGTCTCCTTCGAAACGTGGCGTACGAGGCTCATTAAGTCGGTTTGGGGTGGGAGATTTCCGATCCATACGGCATTTCCTAGAATAACGGCATTATTAGTCGTCTATCGCAGATGAGGAAAAGAGAAGACAGATAAGAGGGAGAAAATGCAAAGTGAGATAGGGAAAAGGGGGCATACCGGTTTGTCGAGGCTTACGCGACGAGCTTCGAACAGAGCTTCTCTGCTCATCTTGGTTAACTGTGATAATTTTAGCTGTTGCGCGTATTTGTTGAAAAGAGAAGGAGAAGGAAGCGGGGAGAAATACCACGAGTCGATTTCTCAGTTGGAAAAGGCGAAGGTAGACTGTCTAGAGGCTGGTTATGGTTTAGGGCCCCTGTCGACGCTTGTTGGCCAACTTCTGCTCGAGAATGCTGGCTCGGAGCGACAACAGGCTGTACATTTGGAAATTGAATTGGATATGGAGCCGTTTGATGGTAATAATACTGTGTGCCTGGATGTCCCATGGCTAATGGGGTCGAGTAATATGCCACATTTTGTCTCTGCAACATTGCTGTGCCGACCTGATTGACAGGCAGATGTCCACCGCCATAGTACGGTGAGATTTGTTGAGCTGGTGGCACATAGTAACCCTGGGGCACCACATGTATTTGCGAAGGTCCGGTGTACTGAGGAATCGGTGGCATTTGCTGAACCATGGGCGGTGACAGCCCAGCAGTGTATCTCGGTTGAATCCCTCGCTGATATTGACCGTGGTGATAGTTGTCTAGAGGTAGGGCGTTCGCCATAGGAGCCATGAGGTATGGGCCATTGCGATTAACGAATGTCGAAGCGGGTGCCGATCCCAGCGGAGGAACCGAAGTATGCTGTAAGTTCGCTGGATTGTTGGGCAAACCTGGGTGATTGTCGGGCCCAGAGGCCTCTTGATTTTGAGGCATTACACGCCCCTTGGTGGCTTCCGGCAGCACGGGTTCGACGTTCCCCGTCCCAGAGTCGGAAGGAATCGAGATGTCGCCCATGGAAAAGGTGATTCTGGGCAATAATCTAGGTTGCTGGGTATGCTGGGTACTTGGTCCGCCAGAACAGGTGATTTGCTTTGGTGTAGCCGGTTACAAGGGGTCTTGGGAAGCGTCGTGTGGCGGAGAGGTGGGCTGAATAATCGTCGTCCAGTTCAAATTATCTAGTCAAATCGAAATTTCTGATAAGGTCCCAGTCTCTCACATGCAAGGAGCTATATCTTTACATACTCCGGAATGATTTAGCCCAACGTTTGCCACAAGTGTAATGCCTGTAACGTATCGCGTCCAGCGGAGGAGAAGTCTGTACCACTCCTCTAAATGTCAAGACTGTGGCAATGTCAACTCTTTCTCCAGTGATAGAGTACAAGTATTCAGCGTCGATAGTAGGGTTGGTGACCGTTCAGGTGACGTGAACCAATGCTAATTGGCCTCAGGGGTGCAGGAGACACGATTTGCCTCCGGGGCGGAGCGGCAAGGAAGGGCCAGCCCGGTCTGGGGAAATCAGTGACCCGGATAATGCACCTAATGCCACTGTAATAAGAGAAATGTGCCTGTAACAGGGGTGATAATACCCTATGGGGGGCTTTTGGCGAGACAATGCACAAGTTGAACAGGGACAGCCACAAAGCCGGCAGTTCCTCTTTAGAGAATCCACCCTCTGCAGTAGGATTCTGGCGACGACTGGCAGCAGCTCTACGCCACTTAATTGAAAGAGCAATATGGAGTCAGGTTATGGGCTCTTTCTAGAAGAAGACCAGGTTTGTTGGTTGGGACAGTCGATGACAGGTGACTGATTCGAGACCCAAGGAGAACAACGGCCACTAACCACATCAGATCGTGCCAAAGAACCGGGTCACATTCACATACCAGGTACGAAAAGTACGTATAGGCAGTTTTCGGTGGCGGCTCAGCTGCCCAGGTAGGTAGTAACTTTGAATTGGAAAAAAAAATTAAGGGACGGCGGAGCTAATCGTTCGTTTCACACCCTTTGCTGTCCACACCTGCGGAACATTGCACGACAAGTCAGTGCTAAAATGGTAACACCCTGTCGGTGAGCAACGGCTGGGCTCCAAGATTCACCACTTACCAGGCAAAACCGAATGAGCAGCAATTGGACGATGGGTCCTGCGGCAAGTAGGCGAGGGCGTCTGGAGATGCAGCCTTGCAAGTCACCCCTGGGCAGGGCGTGGTTTCAAGGCGAGCTCAGTGAAGATCAGAGTTGGAAGAGATCTCGACCAATCTCTGTACAGCTAAATATACAGGCCGGCGACGACGATCCGGATATGCCTGGGGCGACGAATCGAGCAAGATGACAGGCGATTCAGGCTTGAGAGCTACGACTGCCCTACCCGATTTGTTCTGTCGGGGCTAGGCTAGGCGAGGCACTTGAAGGAAGAGTTCTCGATGTGAATGCTAATTGCATACACTGTGCCTGATCCAAAAGAAACTTTCTTGTTGGTTTTTTATGCTCGAAGCCTGAAAGTTGCCTTGCGGCTGAAGATACGGCCGCAATGGGCGACTTGCGGTATCACAGGCTCCTGGCACAGTGTGGCCAGGTTGAATGTACAAGCAAAGCACGAACCACGAGCAGGATGCTCTTGGGAATTCAGACGTACCCAGGTACCAACTTGGACAACCCTACCTAGGTGCTCGACCTAGGTATGTCTGGACCGAATCGATTGTGGAAGCGGAGATTTGCATAGCCCCTGGTCATACTAAACATAGCCAAGACCACAAGAGCTGCCAACATTGCCGGTGCAAATCTTCGTAGCTTCGTCAGCAGGGACGATGAGCAACCTAAGTGGCTTATCTGCATGAATTCTTATGATGGATATGGAGTGTCAACGAAGTGGCGTTGGGCCTGACAAGCGACCACCTGCATGTACTAAGGACTGGCCAGGTAACTTTGTTATCCATCCAGTACCGTCATAAGTACCCTGCTTCCAAGCAGGGCAAGATATTGTGACGGTATAACTGTACGGCATTAGCAGCCCTCAGACGCCTATCCTAGCCATGATGGGAGGAAGGGCGCTTGGGGGCGTGTGGGCAAGGATGGAGCTAGCCCATGGATAATGGAGCCCGCAAGAAACCGGCAGGGGAGCAGACAGCCAGGTCGCCACAGGGATAAAGGATATACAGAACAAGACATGTTGTCTGTACAGGCACAACTCGGACGCGAGCTGGTGTCAGTCAGCTGCTAACTGAGCCCTGGACTAACATCTGAAAATGTGGCGGGTAGGTGGGCAGCCATTGCGAAATCAGACGCCTCAGTCACACGAGGTTAAAACAAACCGGGAACCGGGAACCACATGTGGCTTTTCCTTGTTCGCCACCAGGGAGCTATGTCACGATCCGTGGTTAGAAGACGAAAAGCATCACTCCGCCGTCAGTGGAAGTGATTTCTGCTTCATCACACTCGCCGCTAGCCTCATTCCAACTTTCAATCCACATCGTGTGCAATGCCACCAGTTCGGCGTCGTAAGCATCTTCACACCACCCAGAATCATGGCTACGTGTTCAACTATTTTCGGGGCATTCGGTTGCCAACGTCTCGTTGTATAGGCAGACAGATTCAAAAACAGGGAGCAGCTCTCGGGGGCAGCTGACTTGCAGACACGGCTTCACCGAGTGGCTCCGGTCGGTCTAAAAACGCAAAGCATTTGATAGATCAAATTCTTAGTGAATCTGAAAGTTATGGCCTCGCTTTTTCCCCCCAGTAGACGGCGCGCCACTTGGTCCATAGAATTAGCCATCAAGCCACTTGTGAATCCAGTTGCGCTTATGGATATGAAACGAGAGCCCCGTTGGCATCCACCGATGGATAGTTTATCCATAGCGTGATTGTGGCTCTGATCGGCAAGACTTATCCCTCTTGGACGTGTTCTGGCTGACGGGCGGAATAGCATCAAAATGGCAAACTCGTTTCTTTGTCCTTCTCCCTCTTTCTTATCCCATCATGGATCACGAGCCATGGAGATGCATGCGCAAGACAGGGCTAGCGATGCAGCCCACCTCCAACCTCCAACTTCCCCAGCCCTCTGAAGTCCGTCCCACTCGCTGCCCTGCAAAAGCAACGGCTCGCAGCCGCTACAGCTTCAGAGGCTTGAGAGGGCGCCCAGGTCCTAGCAAGCATGATCGGCATTGAAGGACTGTGAGAGTTGAAGCTTGCGAAAGCTAGCCTGTGGCAAGTTGTTGGTTTGCGGTCCATGGAATCTGTCGATCACTTTCCATCTCTGCGACTCCCGGCCCACCCACCACGTCCTTTTAGTAGCCAAGCCTCCTTAACGCAAGGGTGCGAAGCCCATCCCGCGACCTAAAATTCCTAATCGACTGCCTTGCTGGTCACACACGCCACGGCATTGGTCCCAGCAGGCCTCAATTGATGATGGGGATGGGGAAATGCTGGCTTCTCGATGATGTGAATATCGGATTTCGCATGGTGGTTCCCCATACACTGGCCGGCCATCGAGTCCGTCTCCGTCTCTGCATCGCGGGCCGCTGCTGAACACGCCTAGAAGGACGGCTCCAGTTCGTCTCCCTTGGGTTGGCACGAGCTGATTGATTGTCCAGCCATGCCGTGCCATGCCGTGCCATGCTCTGCTATGCTCGACATGACCGTCGGCAATTACTCCGATGCCACAGAGGCTTGCTGCCCTTGAGGCGCTTCCCCGCGAACACCGCCACCCTGGCTTGGACCCTTGACTTGGACCCTGGCAATGAAGTCAGAGCCACAAAAGTGGACAGAGCCAGAAAGCAGGTTCTCGCCAAACCTTGACCCCTCGTTTAACTTCTGCCCACGGCCGAGTAGCGCAGCCCATATCCGTATGTAGCCATATCCATTATCCACACCCAGCTTCCAACATCCAGGAACGTCGTTTAGTACCGAGGATTGCGCGCTTGCAAGTACCTACTGGGCAATTCGTCAAAACGCTACTCCGTAAATGGCATTGTGCTTCGTCCCTAAGCTGTGCTAGGCAGTGGAATCTCGGTGCTCAAGACGAGGGCGGACAGGATGCTCCGGATGAGAACCAAGCCGGCACTTGTGGGAAGTGGAAAATGCACGGATTCCAAAGCCGCGCTTCGTAATTCCATGGTAATAGCGCACAACTTAGTCGGTGCTCGATGTAGTTACTTACTGCAAGGTAGCAGGTAGGTAAACAGAAAACCACAAAATTAAATTTTGAAGCCCAACTCCCAGGGCTGCATGTCTCACGGCCAGTCGATTTTGTGTGCATTAGCGGCTGCGCATGACTGAGTTGCTGCATCTGAGTACGAAAATTGCAGGGCTGCCACCGCTATCTCGAGGCTTATCCAGCTTGCTGCTGCAAGGGCGCCGATCTTGCCTGGCTTGGGCAAACTACGTAACTGCTTCTCGCACTCTATTCGAATGACGACATGCTCATGGCAAACCTGCTTCTTCATCTCGAAGTTTGCATCTTCACGAACTCCCCGCATTGTGTGACGTAGACAGCTTGTTGTCGTGTTGTTCGCGTTGTCGTCCGAGTCTTTGCTTCGTCGTCCGTCCAGCTCGTGCGGCTTCAATTGCACCCTCTGCGTCAAGCCCGGGTCAGCTGCTGCCCGAGATCAAGCCGGGACGGAGCTGGAACGGTCCCGTCACGCCACTAATTGCGAGATCCATGGCCGATTGCGAGGCTCGTGTCTAATCCTCCGTATCGCCGGGGGGTCTCCCAATCCAATATGTCTCAGCTGTCGGACCATGTACGAGTCCAATGCGCTCACAAGTCCTCGCTGCAAGCTGGGTTAATGCTGACTCCTGCTTGCTCTTCATAACTCCTTCATAGCGACCTCGCCTTGGTCAATGTTTTTCAATTTTAGATCGACAGCTCCTCTCGCGCTCGGCATTACTCTGAGCTCTCGACCTCGGCCCACGGCCTCAGCTCCCATTGTACCCCAGTTGTCCGGTGGCAAAGTGTTCGCAGCGTTAGTTACATCCGGCCCCGATCAACATTCAAACACGCGGCCCAGGATTGCTATTCACAGCACGTAGGCTTGGACGGTGGATCGTCATGATAATCATGTGCGGACGAGAGAGCACTTCAGGAACGCCGTGTTCAAAATCCGAGCTCTGAAGCGCCGTCAGGAGAGCTTGGGCCGCTACCCAGCTTTCGCGCCACGATGGCTGCATGGCCAGCTCGACTCGTCGCTACGGTCACACTATATCCGCCCAGTAAATAATAATATCGGCAAAATCTCTTCATCCCTACTTTCCGACTGTCTATCCCTACTCCATGCGCCTAGTGGCAAATCATCGATGCATGATTTCTATTGGATAATCATCCGCTGCTGTACTGGGATAACGGGTGCACAAGCTGCAATTCGATGGATATACTTGCATATCATGTTGAATAGCGCCGTGGCTTTGGCCTGCCTGCGCTCGGCCTCCAGAAATTGCGCCAGAGGGGGCTCAATGGCATCTTGCGGATTCAAGAGGGGATTCCCCGCCATTTGATCTGGCCCTTCTGCTGGCATTGGGAGAGGGGGAATGGGATCGGCCGCCGCACGCGCGAGCTTTTGGTCAGCCTCGAGTGAGCCGCTCGTCATAGCTGTCCAGGGAGCTCTCACCACGTGGTAGAGGCCGGCGTTTGCTGCTTGCCACGTATACGTTGTAGGGCTGGATCCTTGCTCTTTGCCGTTAGGTCCAATGCAAAAGGCCAGGCAGCGAGGTGCGTCTTGATATGCAGAACTCTCCGTGGCATGGGAGACTCTTTCAGCCCCCAAGCTGCTGCCACAGCCGTGTGTTCATACTGACTTATCTGATTTTTTCGTGGTGATCTGATAGGATGTAGTGTCCGGTCATAGACATGGGTGGAAATGTCGAACTGGTCTTTTGTTATGAGGGCGAAACAGGCATTGCTTCCACCACCTCTGACAGCCCTTTGAGTCCAGGTAGACAAGGGTAAAAGATAATCGTATACCACCTTTACAGAATCTTTCACGACTTGGAGAGAAGTTTTTTTTTTTTTTTTTTGTTTAATTCTTTCAACATCATGCTGTGCTGTTCCTCCAGGCTGTGCTTAGTTCTCCTCTATTAATAGTGTCTTCAAAAAGCAAGATTATGCATAACACCACCACCAAATATTTTCCAGGCAATGTGCAGCCACACCAAATGGCATTGCAACCCCGCAGTCTCGACAAGGGGAATAACAGCCTCTGATATACGAGGTTAGATTTGGAGGTATTGCCTAACAGTCAGCCTTACCTGAGATTAGCTTGACGGAGCTACAAATCAGAGGCACAGGATATGAACGGCTTCAAGGAGTCCGAAAAAACTCGGCATTGCCTCTGCAGCAAAAGTCGAAAGAAGAAGAAAAAATACTGCAGATTTAAGATAAGGGCAAAATCCAATGTTACCTGGTTATCAAATAAATGCCTGGATCCCAATGCTTTACCGCTTTCAGATAACCTAGAGCTCACTAATACGACAAACACCAAAGAAAAAAAAAAAAAGAAATTTCCAGTTGTGGACGCCATCTCGGCCTTTTCTTGCCATCACGTGAAAATCCAACGGTCCTCAATCACGTCCGTCAGTCCGATCCGGTCCTTTTTGGCCTCGTCCTCGTCGGAAAAATAGCTTCTGTGACTTTTCTGTTGAGGCCGCTGAAATCAGCTCAGCTGCAGCACATCTCCCCGGGATTGGCTCTGTTGCCAAGGCCGGCCATCCAACCACAGGCCCCGAATGGACTATTCTATACGGAGAGCTGCTAGAGATGGTTGCTTTGTCTCCGCCTTTCGCTGATCGGGCTTTCGGTGGAGCTACACGCAAGCACTCACGGCCACTAAGAGCTCGCAAGGAAGGCAAAAAACTGATGGCTGTGGAGCCGGAATGTTACAAGTCTAAAAGCCGGTGCTGCATATGATTCTTCTTACACCGCCTTTGATTCTCTTTGAGTACGAGGTACGTTACAGGTAGATCTAGATGCGTGGGTGGTGTCATCGTACCTAGTTGTGTGGCTACGAGTACATACGAATATCCTGAAGCGGAGCTTGATAAGAGAAACCGTGGTCACGCGGGGAAGAGCCTAGGGGTGCGTCCAAATTATCGCTTCTTTGGCGTTTGTTTTGAACGGCTATTATACATCGTTACGCATTCCAAAAGAACAAACACAAGTCATATCTAGTCCTTCTTTAGAGGCAGGAAAACCTCTTCAATTCCCTCCTTTGTGATAATCAGCATCTGCAGAGAGTCACCAACCTCAATGTGACGCTCCACAGCACCGTCAAAGGCGTCCTTGACAAGAGTCTCAACCTGTGGCCGTGTCAAGGGGTGGCGCTCCCTCTCCTTCAAGGCATGGCCCTCTCCACTTCCGGGGATGTACTGGTTCTTGAAGTTGACCTGGTTGTCCAGGAACGGCATGATCAAGCTGCCCGCAGCACCTCCAGCTCGGCATTGTTCTCTCTCGTAGCTTCCAACCGGGTCGTAGGAGTATACCGCACCCTTGCCCTCCTCGTCAAGGCCGCCAAGCATGGCATGTGTGTAGTATGGGAAGAATCGCTTCTGGTAGAGAATGGTAGACAGGCGCTTGGCACATGCGTTGAGCGTCATTGGCTTGCCATGTCGGTAGCGGTAAATCTTGCAGACGGTGTCCAGGCGATCACGCAGAGCCTCGCCATCGGCGGCGAATCCACAGACTGACAGAACTATGGTAGCATCTTCTTGGGTAGCAGTGGTGCCGCCAATCTTGAAGACCTTGGGGGCCATCCGGGAGTTGATGCTGTAGCCGCTGGTGTGACGGGTATCGCCGGCCATGATGGTAAAGTCGGCGCCGGAGATGGCAAGGGTAGAGCCGCCATTGTCGGAGTAGCTGAGGCCATGGTTAATGCACTGCAAACAAGCAACCAAGGAAGCTGGGTAGCTTACGGATTGAAGCGGTGCTCTCGAGGCTCTCCATGAGCCGTCTTGGGGGCATCTGAGAAGGAATAGTTGGGCCCGTTCATGAGCGGGTTTTGGCTGAACATTGCGGCCATCTTTGCGGATGCTCGGGAGTGTTTTCTGGCAGCTCTGTCGACGAGTGAAGTGGTTGATAGCTGCAAACGATGCCCTGACGTTGGCCTCTGATGCTATATCGCAACAGATGCACGCGTCAAGTGGGAGCCTTGCTAAGCCAAGACTGGGGGGTAGCTCGGATGACTAAGCCGCCAGATTACCTCAATCAGTGACCACCCCCTTACAAGGCGGCAGAAGGATTGTCATTTCGCGTTGGGCGACAATCCCGACTTGGAAGTCGCAGAGAACCATCTGCGCAACTTTGTGGGAGCTCTACTACCAACTAATAGTGCTTAACCAGAGCTGCGCGTATTGCGATTGCGACCATGACGCGCGACACTCGCGCGCGAGCGCTGGAGAAGATAGCTTCGCTATCGGCAACCGGCCCCGCGACTTCGTTTGAGAAATCAGACCTCGACCGGCTGTGCAAGGCGTGCCATTCGGGAGCAAGAGGAGGCGAACATGGCCAGGCCGGGCATAACTCGAAGCCGAATGGCTCTCTGGGGAAAATCCCAATGGTCAGTAAACTCTCGCCTCTTTGGCTTACATGTGGAAATGTCAAAAAAACTAATTACTTAACCTTGTTTTAGTCCATTCGCGAGTTCGAAGTGCTCCTAGCCTTATGCAAGACCGCGCCGAACATCCAATCTAGCCAAAGCGCCCAGAAGCTCTCCTATCGACTGATTCCTTATATACTCGACATCCATACCCAAGTCTTTGTTTCGTCGCCCTTCTTTCGCAAGATCGAGCCATCCCCGACAGAATCGCTAGCCTTCCACGTTACGGCGGCACTGTTGTCGCTTGGAAACAACTATCACGAACTTCACGACGATATCTCCAATGGCATCTGGCACTTTGCCAACGACTGCAATAAAGTGGCCGAGAATGTCGTGTCGCCACACGTCGGCGATCCTGAAAACCCCCATCTGGATGACGCAATTCGCACCGCGACTATTGCTCTGGCTCTCGTTGGTTTCCTTGATGCTGTGTCTGCTCAGGCAGATTTCTGGAAAGTGGAGGGCCGGCTAGTCCTTATACAAAAGATTCGTCAGCTTCTCTCAGAGCCCTTCTTGGTTGCGGTTGAGACCGCCATCTCTACGATCCGCAACTCTCTCAGCCAAGACCGGGACGTGAAAGAGTGGAAGAGGCACCTGCGCCATTATGCTGCCTCGGGAAGACCTCTTGGAGCAATGTTGCTGCAGCGCAGTTTTATGTGGCTGGTACTGGCGAGCAGTTCGTTGATGGTTGCGGATGGAGCACGCCTTCGAACTACGCACATCCTGGATATTCTCATGTCCAAGGACGGCAGTCTGAACGCTGGTGATATAGAGGCCCATACCTCCTCTATCGAGACGTATACTGGTCTCGCAATAGAACAGATGCACTACATCGAGGCTGGTGCGGACTTTGTGCGACTTGGCGCGCACTCTCAGCAACAGCTTGCCTTTGCAGTCAAATCTGCTGCCATGATAACCTATCTGAACTGCGCCTTGCTTAATGAAGAGGTTGCAGACGCGGATATCCTCACCACATGGCTTCAGGAGGCTCTGGAAGACCCTCTGCAGATGACTGATGAAACTTTGGCATCCACGGTTTTACAATGTCTGGCTCTGAGCTGCCGTATAGCGCCTTCGTTTTCTTCAACCGTCAGCCGCGCGCTTCCGCGGTTCCTGGTCCAGACTGTGCCTCAGGGCAATACCGTTGGAGTAGCATCAAAGAGTTTGGCATATGTTCTAAGGCTGCTTTCCAAAGACGCAGTCATCAGCACTCTCTATTCCTTGGGCAATGTGTTGAGTCCAGGTTCAGATGGGACCATTACTGGCTTGCAAGCAAATGGTACCGCCGGCGAAGCGAGCTTGGTCCCTATATATGTTAACAGACATTCTACGGGAAGCGCCATTTCTCTTCAGATGAACGGCGAGGAAGAAACGGCCATAATTTATGGCAATGTTGTTCAGGCGATATGCGGCATTGCGGCAGCATGCGAGGACGAAAAGATTACGGCTCTTGCACAGTCCATGCTTCTACAAAAATTGGACAAGGTCAACGTCAGCGTAGACACCCAAGTTATAGCTGGCGCAGCTACGTTGGCACTTAGTGGTGGCCAACTGGAATTCCGCTCGCTCCTGAAACTGTACTCAAGGATATGCCATATCGGCGTTGTGGAGAAGAAGGACTTCCTTTTGGGCTCGGTGAGGAGAGCTCGCGCCCACATCTCCGCTCGTTTGCGTCGGGACTCGCCCTTGTTCGACATCTATTGGGAACATCTGCTGGATAGCATTATTTCTCTGGGTGATGCTCACGCGTCTGGGCAAACCAAAGACTCGGACGTGCAGTTGGCTGCTCAAGAGATTGGTGAACTGCTTCACCCTCTTGCTGTGTTCATGGCCAGCAATGATCTTGCCTCGGAGCCACTGACAAGTGATGAATCTAATGCTCTCCTTAGAGATGCATGGTTTAACATTGTTGTACATGGATTTATGACAACCACCGAACGTGGCAAGAAGCACATTGACGAGCTTCGCATGATTGCCGTGCACTCCCCAGCTTTGGTAGCGAGCCAGCGTAGCGAGCAGGTTGAGAGTGATATCGAGCTTAACACTGTGCTGAGACGAGGACATAGCAACGAACGAGAGGCAATGCAGAAGAAGCTTCTTAGCGAGCTCATACCATCAAAGGCAGCTGATATTAAGAGCCTTAGCTACCGAAAGGTTATTTTCCTTCAAGCTGCTTACCTGGTTGAGAGTCTCCGGGCAGATGCTGGCGATTGCACCAAGGCGTTGACCTACTTTTTGGAGCCTGCCATGCGAAAGGGCGATGTGAGCAGCACTATGGAGGGAATTGCTGCGGCTGTCGTGGACAAGTATTTGAGGAAGACGCTCGCTGGTATTGATCCGAGCTTCTCCTCCCAATACGCCGCTACCCAGCTTGTTTCCATCTTCTGTAACTGCTGCCATCGCATCGAGCGAGTTCAGCAGGCTGCATTTGCTTGTGCAGACCGTATCATTAGGGATGTGCCTTCGGCCTTGTGCCACAGAACGTCTCTCTTTGCTCTGCTGGAACTCCTTTCCCTCTTGTTCACAAGCTGTCTTGAGGCCGAGACCGATATATACACGCCACGGTCGATATTTAGTTCCAAGCTTGGCGACGTAACGCTCGAGCTGTCCGACGATTACGATTTCCGACGGTGGACTCTGGACATGCTTAACCGCAAGGCCAAGGCGTGGGTTACCGCTGCTATCAACCTGGCGCCATTGGACGTTAAGGGTCTTCTCCAGACATACCTGTCGGAGTTTGAAGACGACGGTGCATATGGCCATGTTTCACTTGGCCGATCTTTCGCTTTAGAAGTTGGATCCATTATTCCTTCAACAGATAACAGGCTACAATCTCTTGACCGTGTCGGAGACACCGCTCTCAACACAGCATCGGATTTAATCGCCCAGTATACAACTCGTCAAGAGTACCGCTATGGCGAAACACTGCCAGACCGTGGGTCTGAGTTGATAACCTTCATGAACCTAAACCGACGGTCGTCGTTTGTCCAATCTACGGTTATCGAGAGTGCTAATGCGGCCACCGCTTTGGCCCATATTGAGGCTCGGATTTTGAGCAAAAAGTCTACTTCTTTGACTGAGGTCCGCGAGATTCTCAGACGAGCAGCCGCCCTCTTGTGCCGTGGTGGGAAAGATGAATCAGCCGTTGCTCGTTATCTAGTGAACATACCCTTTGCCCTGTTCACAAAGCAGTCTATCAAGCTGGGCGTCTCGCTATGGCTAGGCGTAATGAACGAAAACCCACAACTGGAGCCCAAGCTGCTTAATTCCATTGCTCAGCAGTGGGAGTTGAGCATTTCTCGCAAAGTCGGATTGTTCCATCCTGCTTTGAGCCATCCCGACCCGTTCTTTCTCAAAGAAGAAAACTCGCCAAGTGAGCTGGAAATGCTAGCAAAGAAGCGACAGTTGGTACATGACATTTTGTCTCCTCATGCTCGCCTGTTGCAGTTCTTCAGCAGCCACTTCAATGCCACCAGACTCGGCTGCCCTGACATTCAGAGAATCTTCATTCGGATGCTTGATTTAACTCTGGACGCCGTTAAGAACTGCACATCTCATCCACTAGCGAGAGAATTGCGTCTCCAGATTGTTCTCTTTGGCTTGCAGGTTTTGCGATGGAGCACAATCATTAACGCTACAGCCCAATTTCGCCTCAAGGGCAAGATTCTGGCTGCAGGCCTCTGCTGGTTCAGGAACTCTCCAAGGTGGTCCTTTGGCAGCAATCTTGTACAACTGAAGACCGAGTTCCGCCTCATCTCAGATGTCCTCTCCGCCATGAAAGTAGTTGCACCCATCGGTGCTAATACGAGCGGCGTTAACTCGCTGCGATCCAAAGAACTGCTGCTGCAACTGCTGCTGGAGAATGAGCAATCGCGTCTGACAGTATGGATCAGCCCTCTCAGCCAGCATCACGCTCACTTGACGATCCATCACAACTCCTCGAAAGCAGCGACGGAGGCTGCTCTTCTGCCTCTGGTTCATACAGCCTGGTTCCAAGATCCTGCTATTGCTATAGAGTTGGCTACGAGATTCCACTACCTTCGCTTGACTCGCGAGATCAGATCCCTACTTCTTGCGATGCCGGAAAAGGCTATATCTGAACCGGAAGCCATTCCCCTCATGTTCGGTGGACATCTACCTGATGATGTCGGTTCACAACTCAAGGTAAACCCCCTTCCCCCCCCCCCCCCCCCCCTTCCTCTTACTCCTACCTCACAAGCTTGTATGTTGGATAGTATCCTGACGCAAATTTTTAGTATCTCTTATTCTGGGAACCAGTGAATCCTCTCACTGCCGTGACCCTCTTTCTGCCAGCATACAGAGACCATCCTTTCCTCATCCAATACGCCATGCGAGCTCTTGAGAGCCATTCACTCGATATTACTTTCTTTTACGTGCCTCAGATTGTGCAAACCTTGCGTTATGACACTCTCGGATACGTGGAACGATATATCCTTGAGACTGCGCAATTTTCTCAGCATTTTGCTCACCAGATTATCTGGAATATGAAGGCCAACGCGTACAAAGATAACGACGGCTTAATCCCCGATGACATCAAACCAACTCTTGATTCTATCATGACCAAGATGGTCGACAGCTTCACCCCCGAAGACAGAGACTTTTACAAACGAGAGTTCGCCTTCTTTGATGAAGTTACCAGCATTTCAGGTAAATTGAAACCATACATTAAACGGCCGAAGCCGGAGAAGAAGCAGAAGATCGAAGAAGAGCTGCGAAAGATCCAAGTCGACGTCGGCGTCTATCTTCCCATCGACTCAGACGGCATCGTCATTGGCATTGATCGCAAGTCTGGAAAGCCTCTTCAGAGTCACGCCAAGGCTCCTTATATGGCAACTTTCCGTGTCAAGAAGCACAAGAGTGGGCTCGAGCAAGAGAATCGGCTGCTTGAGGGAACTGGGGATGGAGAAGGCAAGGAGACCGAAGACAACACTGTGGAGATATGGCAGTCCTGTATCTTCAAGGTCGGAGATGACTGCAGACAGGACGTGCTGGCGCTACAGATGATTGCTGCCTTCCGAGGCATCTTCCACAACGTCGGTCTTGAAGTTTTCGTTTTCCCGAACCACGTTACTGCGACGGCCCCGGGCTGCGGTGTCATTGAGGTGTTGCCCAACTCAATCTCCCGAGATATGCTTGGCCGTGAGGCCGTCAATGGTCTCTACGACTACTTTGTCTCCAAATACGGCAACGAGGACTCTCTCCGCTTCCAACAAGCTCGCGCCAACTTTGTCAAATCCATGGCTGGCTACTCTGTCATTTCATTCTTGCTTCAATTCAAGGATCGCCACAACGGCAACATCATGATTGACGATGCCGGACACATCCTTCACATCGACTTCGGCTTCTGCTTCGACATCGCCCCCGGCGGCATCAAATTCGAGCGCGCCCCTTTCAAGCTCACGAGCGAAATGATGGCCGTCATGGGAGGCTCGACAGATCACCAAAGCTTCAAGGCCTTTGAGCAGCTCTGCATCAAGGCCTTCCTCGCCAGTCGCCAGTACTGCGAGAAGCTCAGCCACATTGTCCAGCTCATGATGGACAGCGGCCTGCCGTGCTTCAAGCCGGAGAGTGTGCAGAACTTTAGGGATCGCTTCGTCATGGACAAGACGGAGCGGGAAGCGGCCGACTTCATGAAGGACCTTATTAAGAAGAGTTACTCGAGTTACAGTACTGGTATTTACGACCAGTTCCAACTGCTTACCAACGGCATTCCATATTGAGCGGGCTAATCCAGCTGTCTACGAGGGGGGTTTCCTTTTTATCACTTTACATTCTTAATTTCCGTTGGGAAATCGCCTTTGAAACATATGTTGATGCTTAATACAAGAATAGGGGGGTTATAGAGGGGAGGAAAAGAGTGAGTTGGGGGTTTTAGCGATGCAATATCCAATGCAGACAGAGTATACCAGATAGTAGTTTCCATTCATACCAAGCACGAAAATAATATCGATTGCTTTAAATCTTTGTCATCCTGGAACCCAAAATTAATCTACGTCTAAAAACAACCATTAGCGGAACTAAGCAGTAATCTTTACGCCAGCACATTAAAAATACCAAAGTAAGCAATCAACGCGAGATATCTCACGTCATCCGAGACCTTTTTATTTTATTTTATTTTTTCTCAGCGGGGCTTGTTCAAGTGCGCATGTCATGAAGCAGGCTGCTTGAGCATATGTGTGGGCGCATTATAACTCAGGTAATCTACGTGGACAAACGCCCTGTCTACGATGGGCACCGACTCGAGGAAATAGGTCAGCACCTCACTCAAGTCATGGCTATCCTTGAGCGGCGTGATAGCTGAGAGCACAATATCCACCTCAACGAAGAGCTTGTCGCCCGCGTGATACGCGCGCAGGTTCTGGATCTGGCGAATGGCGGTGGCAAAGCGCATGGTGAGATAGAGAAGCAGGTTTCGCTCATCAGGCTGGGCAGAGAAGCCGGTTAGATTGCGGATGTGTTGAGCCGAGGTGCGGCTCCAGATGGTGATGACAACGAGGGAGAGGAGAAGACCACCGGAAGCGTCAAGCCACCAGATTCGGCCATAGAAGCCAACTAGAGGGGTGGAGATTTCAGCGTCAAACCCAAAAGGTATCAATCGGAAAAGATAAGCAGCCCAGACGTACCCAAGGGAAACAAGATGGAGCCGATGTTAAAAACGACGTCCGTGATTGCATCGTCAGCTCTGTGTGGAATAAGGGTCAGTCTATGTAGTGGTGCAATTAACGATAATCGACACGAGGCTCGACTTACAAGGCTCGGACACTGGAATTTTTGACGAGCCGGCACCACAGCCAACAGCCACCCTTGATTACAATAGTCGATATCATTATAACGATGGCTGGCAAGCCCAATTGGAGGACTTGGTGGTCTGGCCCAGCAAGTCGCTGGATACATTCCAGGCTGACTTGACAGAAGGAGGTCACCATAATGACAGAGAAAACCAGCACTCCAAGGGGTTCCAGCCTAATGTGATCGAACTGTTAGCGAGAATTCAGAGCCTCCCAAAGTCCAACGCATAGTAACGAACGTACCGTGATCGCCCAATGGGATAGTTATGTTGATCCCGCTGGCTTGCCGAAATCAGTCGTGTTGTGGTCCAAACGATGGCAGTACTCAGCAAATCGAGAACTGCATCAACTAGAGCCGCAAGAACGGACATGGACGGGACTGAGATGATGACGGCAATTTTACCTGCCAGGAGAATGACGTTTGCAATGAGGTTGATCCAAATGGCCAGAGCTACAATAGGGTCGTCGTGGTCTAAATCGGCATCTTCCAACCAGGGAAGATTCGGCTGCGGGCCAGTTTCCTTGGGCAAAATTACTGGTAGGGGAGATTGCGGCCGCGAGCGCGGCTCAACAGCCTCATCGTCCTGGTGCTGCAATAGAGGCAAGTTCTCCGAAGAGCGAAATATATCTTTCGGGGTTCGCCTTTGAGGTAGTGCCGCTTTGAGTGTAGATGACGAGCTGCTATTGTGTCCGCTAGCAAGATTGTTAATCGAGCCGTACGACCCGGCGATCTGGTTCAGGTATGACTGAGTCTGGTATGAGGCTTGGGGGGTTTCTTCCGTAATAGTATCAGGGACATCAACAGGCCGGAAAGCCGAAGCCTCAAGTTCGTCTGCGTATTCGTTCAAGAGCTCATGGGGGATCGATGAGTCGAGAAGACAGTCAATGTACATGTACTGCTGGATCAAGGAGTTCGTTCTCTGATAGTATTCACGTCTTAAAGACAAACGAACAGTCAGCCCCTCGAATTTGTACATTGGCCAACGACACCAGAACAGTTCTTACATAGGCTTCTTCATGCCATTGAGCTGCTCCTTCGTCTTCCAATACCGCTCCCAACGATATCGTGGGTTACTTCTCCCAATGAGCTTCAAGCTCCGCGCCTGCGGGCCAAGGAGGATTTGAGACAGTCGATGCTCATCTCGCAAGAGCCTCTCGATCTCTTCATCTTCATTACGCATCCGTGCATTGCGCATGGACCCTGTCTCTTCGTCCTCTACGAGATGGCGCGGTGTTGGAGCTGCTGACCGCAGGCCTGTTAGGCTTTGTTGAGATCGAGTCCGGATCAGTGATGTCAGGGTATTTGTGCGGGTATGCAGGGAAGAGTGGTAGTAACTATCGTCATGGCTAAGCCAAGGCCGGTTTGGCGAGGTCATTTTCTAAGACTTTGTGCAAAAACCCGCGCCGTCCCGATATGTTCAAAGTCAATTGGATGCATAAAACGAAGAAACAACAGATAAGGTGAAGAATCTGAGACGTGAAAAGTCCAGCCGCCGGATGACGTAGGCGCGAAAATCCTGCTCAAACTCGGCTCAATCGCCTTCTGCCATGTGGTAGCGCGAAGACAAGGTCCGCGAGGCGTCAGCTAGCTGAAAACTGTTGTGCCTTACTCGTACGCGATAGGCCGCCAAGATGGCTGTTTAGATTGTCCATTACGAGGTACTAGCAAGCTGCTAGGCCGCAATTTGAGGTCGCCAGGTAAGCCTCCCGTGCTTTGGAAAAGCTAACACGGCGTCATTGGTCCAAGCGCAAAACAAGGTTGACAGGCGTGAATCGAAGACGAGCACAAGGATGCATATTCACGAGAAACGGGCAAACTCTGGTCGATGCCAATGGTCTAGAACTGCCCAAAGACTCTCACAGGAGGAAGACGTCCGGCTCGTCGGAGAGTCGGAGAATAAAGACGGGCGAGAAACATTGCAGCTAGCGCAGCATAATTGTACGTAGTGTGTAGCTTTAGCCCATGCTTGGTTGTGATATCAAGTGCCCGCTTCCACCGATCCGCTGAGTAGTGCCTGGCCCCGATCCGGCTGATGTGATGTCTGGTGGCGGCATGTAGCTCCTGGATGTGAGAGACCAAGAACAACCGTATTTTGTACGAAGCACCTATTGTTTAGAGAGCGTCAACATGTACTCCGTAGAGGCAGATGCATTGCTGCTGGGACGTCTCCTACTTGGATTTGTGCCCGAGACCAGGCGCCTTCTCGTCTCTGCCGAAGCTCGTCTTGGCCAGTCGCTTGTAAGTGAAAGCAAAGTAAGGCTTGGTGGCGGCGGAATGCAAGGGAAATGATGATACACCGGCGCATGGATACGATGTCGCATGTGATACTGAGCTGGGGGCCGGCTGAAATAATCATGTCTTGTATTATAGGATAAACTATCTTGTGGTGTCGTGCTGACAAAGCTCATCTTGCTTCCATTTCGCGGGTGGCAGGAGCGGCAAGCTTGACAAAACCATCGAGGCAGGAGCAAGATAAGGTAGAAACCATGTCTCGCTAGTGTTGGAAATTCAGCATTTCTTCTTTATTCTACACCACCTCACAGCGCCAAGGTACTACCTATGTAAGCCCTCATACGTCGATGCTGCACAAAATCGCAGCTTGCCAGCCCCATTGGTCAATGAAACTGACTTCTGGATGCAGTCGTCTCGGCTTTTGACTTTCTATGCTGTGTTGTGGCATCCGTTCCTGGATCCCGGGTAGTCCGTTCCTGGAAAAAAGCCAAAGCACGAACGGTACTCGCGCGCTGTGTTACGTGGTACCTACTCCCTACAGTACCGTACAGCACACGAGATGATGAACCTTGATCCCCCGCATGCATTCATCAAGGATCGAGAGGCCCACTGAAAACTTTCCCTACTGTCGACTATGCCTCATCCAGGTGCGTGTTGCTCGGGATGATGTCTGATGCTATTCAGTTCCAATGAGCAAGGAGTCTTCGACGTCGAAGGAGCTCTTGCTACTACTACCTACTACTACTGTTGTACAAGACCGTCTCCTGACAATAGCGAGTGGACTGCAGATGGAGCCAGCATACGGGAAGAAAAAAAATTTGCACTTTGCTAAGGGTATAATTTTTTTTTTCTTCACTATCGCCGACCATGGTGCCTCCAGTGGGCCTGCTCGATGGCGACTTCCGCAGGTCTGCGTCAAAAGCAGATGTCATCGTCCGCGATCATGGCCTCTTCGAAGGCGACTGTGGAGGTGGGACTTGTCCACACCCGAGTCCACAAAAGTCTTGCACACAGTTGTGTGTGAAAAGCTTGTTGGCGCCGATCGCTCTCCCGAAGACCTGCTGATCTCTGCTCTCCCTGAAGATCAAGAGACATTTGGGCAGCGCAGCCGGCGCTTGGCACTGGCTTGCCCGAGGATCAAAGCCCTGTGCTCCGTATTGCATCACAGTTCCTATTGTGCTTGACGAAGGTTTCGTGTTGCACACGGAGGAAAACAAAGGCAACTACTGCAGTGGAGAGTTACAGCGAGAACCACCATCTGTCCGAGTACCTTGCGTAATACCCGGCAGGGAGGCATTGAGACAGGCATTGAGACAACGACCAGAGGAAATATTCGACCATGCCGAGCCTGTAGTGTTCCGTCACGCCAAGTCGGAAGTGGCGGGCGCATTGATTAGGCGTAGATGGGACCTGTTGTGCGCAATACTGGCACAGCTGAAGAAGACCTGAGAGCTGCTCCATCTGAAAGCCCGACAGTTTTGCTTCCACCACTGGCTAAGAGGCGCGCTAGCCAGTGGCGACCGTTTACCCCTGGAGCGTTGCGACGATGAGAGCTGAGATTTTAACACGCCATATCACGCAAAGAGGAAAGCTCCTCAGCAGGCCGGTTGATCGGTTTGGACTGCAGCTGCACGTTTACTCCCCGTTGGCTGGGCGGCTTTGCAGCCCCAATTATCCACCTCCTTGGCTATCCTGGGCCAAGGCCGAGAACACGACATGCTCTCCTGGGAGGGGGAAATTTAAAAAAAGAATCAACGGGGAGGGAAAAAAAAATCAACCAAATGACATGGACAGGGCTCTCCAGATTTTGTTTTCTTTTTGCCATGACACAGCGCTCGCATTCCAGTCTCGATGGGTGCCAACGCAGTTCATGCCCCTCCAGATTCAATTCCAACAAGTTCTCCGGAATACTCCGTATTAGTATGCAGGTATCAGGTACTCTTCCATGCGTGCCGACTGCAACCAGTCTCAAACAGCTCTTCGGAAGCAGGCCATGGAAATGGGACGGTGCACCCCTAACGCCATCACCGAAAAGTCAAATCTCTTGCGCCTATGCATGCATGTACGAAGGCTCCAGTTAAATACAACTCCGTGCTACATGCCTGCGAAGCATGTGCATGCGCGCAACAAACCGTGCAAGCTCAGAACTCCACCGAGCTGATGAGGCCGTCATACACAGCATCAATGTCTAGCTGACGGCTTGGTCCGAGATGGAGGCTTTGCTAATGCGAGTGAATCCTCACAGGCAAATTCTGCGTGAGCGAGGCAGCACGAGATGCTCTTCACGGAGTTCGGCGTTGCACATGGCGCTGGCACCTAACTCCCAAGCCATCTTGGCAAGGCGGGCTTACAGGCGCAAGCACCGGTATTGATACCGCAAATAATCACCACCAGCGATGGATACCAGCCGTATGGATACTTCTCGTATGGGCACTGCTCGTACCTCGCGGCGCATCAACTGAAAGCCAGCCATTCCGCGTCTCCACTCGTGATAACCGCCCGCTAACTGGACTAAGCCCCAGCCTCCACACGGTTGCCGCCCGGGCTGATGGTACAGGCACTCGTATCTGAAGACAGCAGGGAGCAGAGAGCTGAGAATCAGAGCGCATTCTTGGGTGCCGAAGCATCGCAGGCCGATGCTGTCTGTGTCAGTGTTGTTGTTGTTGTGATGTGCTTGTGTCCGTCAATGCTCGGCGTTCGTTCCACTGCGGTCTGAACCCCCGGGCGAATTTCCCACCACACCTGTCGCAGCCGGAAACCCAACCACACCACCTGATTCGCATCCAGTCTTTCATATCCTCCACCGTAATGGCTAGCGAGAAGAGGCGCCTGGATCCTCCGTGTGCAGACAGGGGAGCCAGAAAGGGACAGCAGCCAAGCAGGGATAGGGGCGGGCTACCTGAGCACTGAGCTCCGTCTCTTGGCCTGGCATCCATGGCTTACGAGATCGGCCTAACAGACGCAGCCCAGGCTACCGACAGGGGACCAATCTGATGGATGGTGAATGGGATGGGATGGATGGACGAACTAGCCAGTCAATAGCCGGCACGCATCTTAACGCCTGGCCAGGCCGTCCGTCGCTCTCCTGAAGTTGCATCCCTTTTTTTCTTCTTCTCAACCCCTTCTTGTCGTACGCTGTCTTGTTCCTGCCGCTCTCTTTCATCGCCCACTGACGTCGAACTCGAGGCTCTGGGTGCCTTCTTCTCAGCGAGAGCTTGGATTATATTGCACTGTCTCGTATAGCCCAAGAACACCCTCCGTTTGGCTCATTTCCCCCTCTTTGATAGCTGCCTCGGCTGCTCACTCGTTCGTGTTCGACTTCTTTTTTTGGGCTTTCTTCTCCGGCATACCTTTCGCTCCTCGCGCCATCTCTTGGCCTTTGTTTACTCTTGTTCCGGCATCCATCATCATCGCTTTCTAGCTTCGCCTTTTCGCTGTATTTTATTCTTTTGTATTTTCGACATTTTTTTCAACCTTCATTTTCTTGCGTTGTGTCTTAGCCATTACCTCTTTAATCTCTCCATCCCCTCTTATCCATCGCTATTTTTGCATCCTTTATTGGATCGCTCCTTGAATCACAAGATAGGAGCCTGCGCGCTTGCATTATTGCGCTGTAATCCCGAGATTAATGTGAGTCTCTCGCTTTTCTTTGCCTAGCCTTGCGCATGCCGGACGCTCCCGGCCAACCACCTGGTCATGTCTCAGCCAGAAATACCTGCCCACCGCCAGGCCAGCTTACCAACAAAGAGTCTTTCTTTTTCCAAATCAACCAATTCTTCCTGGCTTTGTCACACTCACGGCTCGTCCTCTTCGACAAGGCGGAACGAAGACCAAGGGAAAAACGATATGCACTGGACGGGCATTTGCTAATGTTGAATATTTCTTTATGCAGCCACCCAGCAAACTCTGTGTCGCCCAACGAGTTTGACGCGATTACGCCTGACAGCCACTCAGACGATCTGTCATTCGTCGCATTTGTATATTCATCACCGGACCTCGTATCGCCAGGGTCCTAAGCCTGCTGACCCGTTCCCACAACTCAGCGGTCGGAAAATTGTTGGGTAGCGTCGGAAAAAAATCGCCGTCGAGCTGCAAGATAGGAGGTGCAGTCAAAGCCCTGACTAGAGACTTCCCGTCGTGTGGTCTTCATGCCTAGATTCTCAGTTGCCTTTGCTAGGCGGAAAAGCACCGCAGACGACATCGAAAATGCCGAGGTAACGCCACCTGGACAATCTTCGTTTAGAGTTTTGGAGCGACACGACTATTCGGGCGTCAAATCGTTTGACGGAGGGGCGAAGATGGCAAAATCCACTGGAGCCCTGCTCCCCAAGCCTGATTATCAGGCAGACGACAACATGTTCTCTGATATGAAGGCTAACCGGTGAGTTTCAATCCTTTCTCAATGCTTTGATTTTTTTTTTCTCCCCCCTCATCTGGTAAAGGGAAGGGGGGGATACGCTGTGCTGTTTGGCCCATGTTTGAGATACTCAATCATGGGAAGCTATCGTCTTGGCCTTCTGCATACTAACTGTATCGTTAAGTGGCAGCGGCTTGTCCAACACCACGCACACCACGTCTACCGACACGTCTTCACGCCACAGCAATGCATCGACAGCTCCGTCGTCGGCCGACTTCAGTGGAGGCAACTTGTTCCACGATGACCATCGAAATGGACCACCCAAGAGTTCGTCATCGGATATGCATGGCCGTGGGAATTCCAACAAATCCATCGGATCCAAATTCTTAGATCGGGCTGGCCGTACCTTTTCGTTTGGTGGACAGAAAAAACACACTATCCCCCCACCCCTGGAGGACCCTCTTATGCCGGACTTGCCGCCACCTATGCCCATCATGGCTGAACCAGGACGCACTGGATCTAGAGGTACGACTACATATACGCAGGCCCCAACCATTCCCCGCAAACCAGCTCCCCGTAATACCAATGTTCTAGACCTTGGTAGTGACTTTGGATCAATGTTTTCAGGATCAGGTTTCGATAAGAGAGCAAGCATGGCTACGCTCAAGAACGACGACTTGGCTTCTCCCCGGCTCCTCACAGGCAACCCTCAAGGCCAACCATTCCCACGCAGCCCGGATACAGCGACACCAGCTGAGCCGTTGCTCAGCTCGTGGAATACACCGAAATCCAACGTGATTGTTGATGATTATTCATCGGACAAGAGCGCCTCACCAACATACGAGAGCCCCCCGCGAGTCCCGGCCCATTCATCGCCACGGTATCAGTCTCCCGCTCGACAGCCACCGGCCAGGAAGTCGCCGCCCGCTGAGCAGCCACCCGCTCGCCAGCCACCACCAATGAGTCCGGATGAGGCACAAGACGACGAGGATGCGCAGCTCCTGCAAGAAACTTATACTGCTATTCAGCTTCTTTCAGCCGAAGATGATGAGTTTGATGAAAACCCACAGCAGGGGCGATACCGGCGGGAGGAGGATAATTTTTCGGTGACTCCACGAGCCAAGCCTGCTCCTAACCCCAACTCTGGAAAGAATGGAGACGGCATGCATGATGCCAACAGGGCTCGATTCTCGAAGCCGAACATTCGATATGTTCCCCCGGATGGAGCACCTCGGAACAAGGTGATGACCCCGGCTGAATTCGAAAAGTACCGAGAGGACAAGATTCGCCATGATAGAACGAACAGCACGTCGAAGGATGACGATGATGAGGATATCAACTACGAGGATGAAGAGGATGAGGTTGAAAAATCTAAGCAGCAAGCAAAGCAGAGACGGAAGCAGGAGGCCCACATGGCTGTGTATCGGCAGCAGATGATGAAGGTTACTGGCGAAACCACTCCGACAAATGGATTGGGCATCCCAACCTCAATGAGCGCACCACAGCTTGGCCATGTGAAGACACCTTCGCTTGACCCGGCAGCGGCACCACCACCCATGCTAGCACCCGCAACTGCCATATCTGGCGCGTCTGACGAGGGCGATGATGACGAGGAGATCCCGCTCGCCATTTTGCAGGCACATGGGTTTCCCAACAAGAATCGACCCCCAACCAGGCTCAGCACGATGGGATCAAACCCTAACCTCCGAGCCTCAACAATGCTCATGCCGGGGCGCCCATCATCGGCTATGGGAGAATCTGCTGCTTCCCGACGCCACTCCACCCTCCCGGCCTTTGCCCGAAACTTGCCCCAGGACCCTTTTATCGGAGCAAGCATTGCTCAGCCGGCCCTTCGGGAGTCTCTATCCTTCAATGATATGGGTATGGGTCCTAAGCCACCGTCACCGCTACCTCCTGGAGGTCTTGTTGGCGTAATTGCCAGCGAGGAGCGACAGAGAGCGATGCGACGTGGAAGTCCAAGTGTCGATCCGTCAAGACTCATGGGTAGTGGCTACAATACTCCTGTAGGTGCTGGAGTCGACCCTATTGCCGGGATCCCCTCACAAATGATGTACCCCCAGGCTCAGATGGGAGGTATGGGCGGTATGGGCGGTATGGGAGGTATGGGAGGTGGAATGCCCGGCATGATGCCTCCTATGATGCAGCCGCCAATGCTTAGTGCTGGCGACCAAGCTCAGCTCCAGATGACGCAGCAGATGTCGCAGTTTATGCAGATGCAGATGCAATTCATGCAAATGATGGCCGCGAATCAAAACGGTGGTGTGCCGCAGCAGCAGCAGCCGCCGTTCCAGCAGCCCTATGGCAGTTTGATGGGCAATCAATCCATGGTTGACATTTCTTCTCGCAACTCCATGATTGGCGAGCAGACTCTGGAACCTCGCCGTGGCGACTACGGTAGTATGCGGACGATGAGCATGGTTCAGCCCAGCTCGGCGCCGATGGCACACCCTGGATACGCCGGATCTATTCGATCATCCATCCATGGGTATACGCCATCGATTGCGCCGTCAGAGCGGAGCAACATTGGTCTCCCCAATCGTTATAGACCCGTTTCACAAGCCGTGGGCCCTCCCGGACTTGGCCATCTGCAGTCGCAGTCGTTCTCAGGTGCCCTGTCTGTCTTGGCTGACAACAAGAACCGGACGTCGATGAGGATTGTAAACAAGTCGGCCTCCGATGACGATGATGACGAAGAGGGCTGGGAGGCGATGAAGAACAAGAGAGACAAGAAGCGGTCTCTCTGGAGAAGCAAAAAGAATTTGAGCTCAGTCATCTGAGCGGAAGATGCCATTACCGAACTTGCATATCTATTTCCCCTCTCCTTTGTCTCATCTTATGGGCGAAGAGCAGATGTGTGTATGGATGATGATGAGCATGCATCTGTCTGTGATGCAAGCGTGAATTTGTGCGAGCGAGTGCAAGTGTGTGTATGTGTGTGTGTCTCGCCTTTGTCGAGTAAGGGGCGAGCACGAGGTCGATAATTGGGATTTTTAACTTTGGACCTCCTCTGACGCTATGCTTGGATAACTTTGGTCCGTCATATTATGCAGCGCGACCCAATATAAAGAAAAAATAATTATTTGACAGGCTAGATGTTTTGGGATGTCCGTTTGGGCGTCAATGGTGGGAACATTTGTCTGGACGGATTCGCGTCACGCATGATAGAAATGGCTCTACGCCGTAATTGAATAATTTGTCTGCAAAGGGCTCTCTCTTTTACATTTTTCTTCTTTGTTTGTCTGGTAGAGGGAAATCATGGCTATAAGCGACGGGAATGAAAAAGATGAAGGCAAAAATATCGTTGGGAAATCAAAACGGATATATCAACCTGATCCAAAGCGGCCAATCTCTTTCTTTCTTTCTTTCTTTCTTTTTTTTGTAGCTAGCTGCTAATAGGTGATATCCAACTGAATAGCTGTATCATAATATCTGAGCTTATGGAGCCGACACTTGGCTCTATTCTTGCCAATATCTTGCCAGCGTGCCTTTTATATGATGTTTCGTAAAATCGCTTCTCGCAAATTCCCTAGTGTTGTGTTTTCTCTCCTCCTTTGAATTCTTTGAAAATAATAATCTTCTTTTTTTTTTTACTGTATGTAAACGTAGCTTTAGCCCTGGATCTTTCCGGTTGCCCACTCGTTCTTCTTGACGCCCATCTCCACAGCCGCTAGGCCCCAGTCTTCTCCGTGGTTGTGGCCCTTGCCATCAGGGCTCGTGCTAATACCCGCGCGGGACTTTCCTTGCTCGTCAGTGAGGACGGTCAGGACGCCGAAGATAACGGGGATGCCGATATCGAGCTGGACGCGCATGAGGCCCTGAGAGACGGAGTCGGCAATGTACTCAAAGTGCATGGTCTCGCCCTTGATGAGTACGCCCACGGCAATGATTGCATCAAAGGGTCCGCTGGAGTCGCCGGCGGAGAGAGCGGTTAGGTCGTGGGTCGAAGCGCCGAGGAGATCAGTAGCTGAGGGAGCACCGGAAGCATTGGACTGGATTTGAGAGGCGGAAAATAGCCTTTTTTCCCATTGGCACACATTAGCAATCTAGGTTGTCTCGGTTGCTAGACGAAGAGGAGGGGTGAGAATGAGGGGCAGCAATACCGCTGAACAGCAATGGGAAGCTCCCACGCGCCTGGGCAAGACTGAATCACAATGTTGGACTCCTTGACGCCGCACTCCAGCAGCTTGGCCTTTGCGCCGGCCACGAGAGGGTCGATGATGGTGGTGTTCCAGCGGGCGTGGACGATGCCGATGCGAAGGCTGGAGCCGTCGTGGTGCTGAGGAGCAGGGCCCTTGAGAGAAGACATGCTTGGCAGTTGGGAAAAGGTGAGAAAGGGAGATGCTGGAGGTAATATTCAGGAGTACTAGGTATACTTATCCAAGAGTGCTGGTATGATGTCGAGGTAAAGATCAGAGGTAAATAAACACTCCGACAGCAGCACATGCGATGGAAGCTCAGCTTCGGCAAGCTGACTGATCAGACGAATGCGGCGGGGCACAAGCACGACGGCGGGGTAGGTGCGTCTGGGAGCGGTAGCTGGTACTTTGCGCTGGAGCGGAAACGTCATTTTCTCTGCAGGAACTGGCTGGCAGGTGACCCGGGCGATGACCTTGCAAGCAGGTCGCTTTGCGGCGCTGCGATTACGAAGCCGCTACAAAGCCTTACGGTATTGTGCGGGTCTCAGACCCTCTTTACATGTGCTGTTGTCGAGCTCATACGAGGTAGCGACTACTAGGTGGTGCTGCCCATTGGCAATTACAGGAGGTGCAGGAATTCGCAGCTTCCTTCTGCGTTTTCTTTGATTCCCATCATGATTCACCGAGTCAACAGCAGAAGGAGCGATGAATCAGAACTCCAGTATGTACCTACTTATTGGAAGGCAAGAGATGGTCATAGAGGTACTGGTAGTTTGCTTCAATTGATTTCATTTCGCCGCAATCACCTTTCATCTTGCACGGCAATATCGTGAAATTTCCCAAGTGATCATACCTTTATCCGTATTCCTATATGCCGTGTTAACTCCAATATTTACGATGCCGATATCAGCTCTACCTCAACCCACCGTCCGTCATCTTGGCTCCTCGGTCGTCATCACTAAGCCTTGCGACGTGGCCAAGGAGCTCCTTGACAATGCCATCGATGCCGGAGCTAGCTTTGTTGAGGTTGTAGTTTCTCCCAATTATCTCGATACAATACGAGTGCGTGACGATGGCCATGGAATCGATGTTGAAGATTTTGATGCTCTCGGCCGACATGCTCATACCAGCAAGTTGAGAGCGTTCGAAGAGCTTGGGTCGAGAGCCAGGGAGACTCTTGGTTTTCGCGGCGAGGCCCTTGCGGCTATGAATACTCTGGCTGCTATCACCATCACGACTCGAACGGCCAAAGATGTTGTAGCGACTCGTTTGCAGCTCAAGCCTGTCGCTGGAGGCGTTGATAACAGACAACCGGTATCGGCTCCCGTTGGCACAACCGTTCATATCACCAAGCTTTTCGAAACTCTGCCTCCCAGAAAACAATATTGTTTGAAGAACAGCGCCAAGTACATACAATCTACGAAAGATCTCCTGAAAGCTTACGCCCTAGCCCGACCTGACCTTAGACTGTCATTCAAGGTTCTTGGAGAGACCACTCACTGCTGGTCATATGCCCCAGTTTGCGCCGGAGGAGTGAAAGAGGCCGCTATACAGATATTTGGAACTTCCTTGGCCAATAATTGCGTCCATGTGTCTCGCAATTCAGGATGCGATCAAACAGCATCTAATCAACTCAACCAACAAATACCCGAAGATTTCATATTGGAAGCATTTATCCCCAAGCCTGGTTTTGATGTCCAAGCTGTCAAGGGAAAGGGATTTTATTTATCCATTGACTCAAGGCCGATCTCGTCTAAGGACGCCATTGCTAAAAAGATCACAACCATTTACAAATCATATCTGAACCGGGCGGCTGGCACCGGAGAGCCTTGTGCTAACATACCTAACCCCTTCGTACAGCTCGATATTCGGTGTCCCCCTTACAGTTATGATGCCAATGTGACACCGCTAAAGGATGAAGTTGTGTTTGGGAACGAAGATACGATTACGGCCTGTTTTGAGGGACTTTGTCGGAGAATATACCCTCAAAGATCCAGCAATGTTTCTGTCACAAACCAGAGAACTTTAGGGCACGAGAAGGATATTGAGACATTGAGAGAAGGTAAAGCTGGAAGTGATGGCATCCGGTCATACTTGGTGATCGATGATGTGTCCCATACTCGGACCCCAGACTCTTCTTCGAATCCCCAGCCGCTGGGCAATGTACAACAACTGACCGCGGCCCAGGGAACAGCAAACAGAGACCAAACAACTAATCAAGAAAACATACCTTCGCTGCTGTCCCACGAATCTTGCACACAAAGCGCAACCTCGTCAGCCAGAATGAGAACATCAAAAATTGTAAACATGTCACGGACCAACAGCAATTCTACTGATGAGGATGGCACTGCCAACAGCGTCGATATACAGGTGCCCTTATCGCTCATGACAGCAACCGTTATCCCCTCTAGCAAACGGGCTAGCGGGAGCTTACGAATCCCCAAGATGTCTGCATCAGAGAATATCGAAAGATATCTCCTCTCAAGCAAAAATGAAACCTTCCAGATAGCGACGGATGAAACAGCCACCAAGAGAACCTACCCATCTTCCGTGACTTCAACATCGCCTGCGAAGCTCCCCGACCGCATACCTCTTCAGCCTTTGACTGAGTCCATGTTAAATGCGATGAATGGCATAGCAGATTCGGAATCTGACACTTTAAGTGGTGGATCTGATATATCAGAACCGGTCAACAACACGGAGAGCATCGTTACTACCCATCAAAGACAGCAAACATTTCGACGAACATCTCCCGATCCTACAACGTCATCGTTCGAGCTTGAGCCCTTGGAATATAGCTCCCCGAATCAGTCGAGAAGTGTTGCGGAGTGGCCAACACCTCCTTCATCTGGCAACTTACGAAGCGCGAGACCATTTAATTCCCCATTCAGACCTCCACTTGGGGCTGCACAAAGAGACAGCCCAGCTAGTAATACCGCGTATACACGGTCACGGCTGAGGGCCCCGGAGAGCGGCAGAGTAATACCATTTACTTTGCCAGGGCAAACCCGTATCCAGCGGCCAGCCGCACTTGGACGGACTGCCCAACGGACGGGCTTGCTGGGAACCCCTATGTCTGATACAGGTATAGGAGTGACTCACCTTCAGCTACACCCCCAAAGAGTACATGGGTTGAGCCTCCAGGGAGACAACATGGGCCAGAACTTGACACAAGATCCTGAACTAGCATCACGGCCGGATACCCGAGATGATGTCTCACAGCCGTATCTCTCCTTGCATGGACCGGGTCAGTACTCGCATATTACGCAGACTCCCTCAATGAGAATTCTACCCCCCAGTGTCACAGCTCAAAATGATCCGAGTGCTGGCAACAGTGTCTCAATGGTTCAGATGCCGGATGCTATATCATCCACCTCCTTAGTTCGCGATGGACCACGGGATATTACGCCTCATGGCAATACGAATGACAACACGGAAGACCCGAGGCTTTATCTTATCAAGCGGCGACGTTCACAGGCAAGACATGGCATTGCGAGACGACTCTCTTCTCGTCGGCTTCCCCTTGAAGTAATTCCCCATCACTTGACGATGCAGAACACTTCCACTTCGCTCGCGCCTTCCCTGAGAAAGGTTAAGTTATTGGCGCGACGAGTTCGTTTGCTGGACTATGGCTCCATACACGGTAATTGGGGACACGCCGTAGAGTTTAAAAGCATGGAGGAGGTTACCAAGCTGGAAAATCGTCTCCAGCATGCTGTGGAAGCGTGGAAACAAAGTCTGAACAAGGCTGTTGAAGTGGAATATAAGCTACGGTCAGTAGCAAAGGGCAAAGGGATGAGTCGTTGACCGCTCTCCAATACTACTGGTGTTGGTAGTAGCCTAGGGCTTTTTGTTGAAGTAGGCTGATGAGGAGCAACGCTGAGATGGGTAAAATGTTTGGAAGGAAGCCTCGAAGGACGCCCCAACGAAGGGTTAATGCAGTACCTACAGGTTGACGAGCTATCTAGCCTAATACATTGTCCATTTCATTGATAGCGCTATAGAGCACAGATGCAAGAAAGCTGTTGTATGGTTCTCGGTATTTCGGCATGCCACTATCATTTCTTACTACCAAGGTGCCAGCTTATTCGGCTAGGAAATAGCTGTCTGCCGATCTTATGCTATATTCGGACCTTAAAATATTAAAGCTCTGAGCATTGAGCATTATGAGGCTACGGCCGGGAGATCCGGGAGATGGTTAGCCAACGCGAATCAAGGAAGCATATTCGAGGTGGAAAGTGGGCTGTCTCGACTGGCAACGTCATGGGAGGTTTGGCATGTCATGTTGAAAGGTGGATCAGCGTCTATACGGTGATGCCGGACCGGCAATGCAGGCGTGCTGTAGAGATACAGGGGGTTTGGAACCCGAAATCTCCTGCGTTTTTTGGGTAGTATAGTAGCAGCATGACCGGGGGGAGCATCAAGATCAGGTTTTGCTCCGTGAAATACTGTAGGCATTGTACAGAGCTGAAAGGCTACTCTTCTGGGAACAATTTGGTAGCCTTGCAGAGGGGTTGGACTTGATCGGGATATAAGATGCGATCGGAGCAGTCAACAGTGGCCGTTTTCTCGTTTTATTCCCTTGAAACTTCGTATGCTCGTAAACAGAGTACGAGAATCTTGTGGAGGGCGATCTCGTGAAGGCCCATGCTTGGGGATGTATGTACCTGTACCTGTACATGGACTTTGGGAGAGCTGCATGGGCTCGTATACGCGGATTGCGTAGGTGCGGAACGGACTGGTGCTTGTGACGAGGTGGCATGAGGACATGAGGACATGACGATGCTGGGAGCCCGATGGAGTTGTCTGTGTGACGAGCAGGATTTTGATGCCGTTTTGAGTTTGAGTTGACGATGGCTGCTTGTACCTGGGTACTTGCAAGTTCAACGTTGGTATGCCTCCGGTATGAGGTACAGGCAGAGATACTGTACGAAGTACATAGCACGAAAAGGTTAAAGTACCCGTAGCCGTACCGGTACCTACTCATACCTACACGCACAAACATGCACGCAAATGTCCAATCACCAATCACCAGCGCCAATAGGGGGTTGCAACCAGCCCGGCCCTGGATCGGTTTAAAAATAGGCACGACGAGTCCTAGCGGCTGGGACGAGGCCGGCTAGGATGAAAGTCGCCTAGGCGGGAGGGACCCCGGCGCCAGTTGCGCAGGGCACTTCGTATCTGCTGATGATGGGTGTGAGGATCGACGCCAATCAAGGAAAAGGTGATTTTTGCTCTATTTCTTTTTTATTTTTTGGGTTTCGCTTACTGTCATTGCTGCATCTTGGAGGGCTGTCCTTAGTAAGTGGAATAGGTAAGACAACAAAAATACAGTCCATAGGTAGGTATGATAAGGTATGGATGAATCATGTGTGCTTGCACAGCTGAAAGTGAGGTGCTTATTTAGTAGGACTACTGCCGCTAGCTAGGTAGGCTTATGTTGGTGTTGAAATCGGACATGGAGCCCTACATAGCACAAGCACGAACACACACACATTCAAGCGGCATGAGAGAGATCAAGACCAAGACCTCCATAAGATCCACCAGGCCAACGTCACCACTTTTCTCTCTCTCGTCCCATGTCATGTCTTCTTCCTCTACCGGCCTGTGGTGGACATGTTTCCCGCGTGTCAAACACGATTCACAAATCACCTGCATCCGGACCTCGTATTGCTCACTAAGCAGATCTGAGAACGGGAGGCCGTTGGTGGGAAGAGGAGGACCATGGTGATGGCAGTCCGGTGCTAATGCGCGGGGACTCGTAAGTTTCTAGAATTAGCACTCCCGTGCGGCGATAAGCTTGGAATGTTTCTTGCATGAGCATTTCGGAGTGCAGATGGAATGGATACAGGCAGACAGGTAGGTAAGTACCTAGGTATACGAAGTAGCGCACCCCGTACCTATGCAGGGCTACTTTATTTTCAACCCACTGTTGGTAATGGAGGAGGAAGAGAGAGAAAGACAGGGCAGGCATCATCTCGATACCAATACTCAAGCTTGTTGGAAATACACGGTGATATCGCAACATGTCGTGATGAAGCCATCGTGAGATAACGTGCTAGACGGGGGGCACTTGCAGCGGTACAGTGCAGGAGCTCGTAACAACGCTGGAGCTTAGAACGGGTCGTTTCAGGCCATGGGCGCCACAGCAGGTGCACTGCCACTGTTTGCTCCGACCGGCGGGCGCCTCTTTGGGGAGATCCATGTTAGACAGAGACGGGATGTACCGCTACTGTACATGGTGTAAAGCGCCCAGGACACTGGAAAATAAGGTAGGCACATGTAGCGTCGGCGGGATACGAATCTGGACGGACGCTGGATGATGTGTGGTGTGTGGTGTGTTGTGCCTGTGCACGCTGATGGGCTGGGTTCCTTGCTCGTGGGAATCTCGAGAACAGAGTAGATAAGGTTCTTCTATTAGCATTATCGTAGTAGGTAGAAAGAATCAATTAGATTTGGCAGACACTTGACTGGAAACCTAAAGTACCAGACATCAACACTGACAGGTACCCAGTAAACCGAGTTCTCGCTAAGAGTACAGGCTTCAATAGCTGTCGCTAGGGTGACCCGGCCACGCTTCCAGGCGACACCTGAGCTGGTGCTGGTACCTGTAGGCGCTGCCTCGCCTAAGCTCCAGCACCCAAAGGCCACTCAACCGCGCCGGGCACGACACTGCCACTCTTCCCACTCCACCCTAGCTTCTGGCCCAGCTCCCAGACCATCGTCTGCGCCGTCCAACATTTGATCTCTCCCGAATTTTTTTTTCCTCTGCCCTTTTTTTCTGCATCCAAACCATTCACGTTTCTAACCTACAGTCCTTCGTTTTTGCCCTTGCGCCTGCTCGCACAGCCCTTCTGCTCGCTTTTCCCACTGTTTGGCTGATCCCGTTGCTCTGCCGCTGAAGATGCGCGACGTCTGAATGAATGCCTGCAGAGATGGCCCCCTGGCTTTCGATGCCCACGATGCATCCATCTGGTCGCCATAGTTGCGACAACAACCACAGCAGCCACCACGACACCCGCTGCGGCCATGAGTCGCGCACGCTGGCCGCAGACTCAGCCAAGGGCCAGCATCGCCCAGCATCGCCGCAGGTAGCCGTCGACTCTCGCTCGGCCTTGCATTTGCAGGAATCAGAATTCATAGAGGGGAGCGCTAAACGAGGCTGCGTCATCCGAGCGCGAACGACCTGGAGCATGTTCGCACGACCGGCTTGGCTCGTCCTCGTACTGCTCACACTCGCCCTCGTCGCGACGCCGGCCGCCGCTGTCCTGGTCGAGTTCGACAACTGTCTCCCCGACTCGTACCGCTTGAACAACCCGCCGCTGCTTCAGTGGGAGCCCTTGTATGTCGACGCCGTGTTCGACACCAAGACGCCCAACAACAATCTCCGAGTCATTGTCTGGGGGAATGTTACGGGCTCACAGAGCTTGGGGCCGCTTCCCCCGCCGAATGATCCATACTGGACCAATCCGAAAGAGACCAACGGCAAAATCGAGCAGACGCCCTATATCGACACTCTTGCTACGACGCTGATCCGGAGAGTCAATGTCTTGACGTACGAACCGTGGAACGACCGCTCCAATTTCTGCGCGGCCAGTCTCGTTAATGGGACATGTCCGTTGGCACCCACGTTTGGCAATGTGTAAGTCGCCCGCCATCTCATCATCCCATCATCATCGCCCCTCCTTCAAACCCCCCACCAGCTGGTCTCCAAAAGGCACTCACCCTTGCTGGGTTACAGCATAGTGTGACCAGCTGTACCTTGGCAATGGCATGCCATAATACCGTCGCAAATAGCTAATATATGCCTTCTTCGTCATGTAGTGACCTCCCCTATGGACTTCCGTCGGTGAATCTGACCCATGACTTTTTCTCTTCATACGCCTTTAGCTCCTTCTCTCTTACTTTTCTCGTCATCAATGGCGACAAGGCGGCCACAAATATTGGCTGTATTTCCGCCGTAGTCACCCCTGACCTGGGTGGCCTCTCCTGGGTGCTCAAGTTCATGCCCCTTCTGGTCCTGCTCTTTGCTGGCTTTGCGGTCCCATTTGCTGGTATCTGGAGCCCCTGGGGCACTACCAACGTCTTCCACTGGACATCCAACTATGGTCGAGACGCTGATTTACTGAGACTCGTGACTCCCGGGTTTGGTGACTGTCTGCAGTACATTCAGTTCATCGTCCTGACTGGTGCCTTGACGCTTGACTATCCTGGCTTCTTCCAACCTGTTGTGAGCCAAGTCGGATGGTCAACCCTCATGTTTAACGAGAGCTTTGTCGCCCACGCCGAGCCCTGGCAGAATGTGGTGGATGGTATCTATGTGACTAAGAATGGCACAATATACGGGCTGCAAAAGATGGCGCAGCTCATTGGCATGTCCCAGGCCGAGGACGTGTGGCCGGGCATGATGGTGTGGCTCTGTGTCATAATTGCCTCCGTCATTGTTCTCATCCAGGTCGGCTTTGCCCTCCAGTGGATCTTCCGCAAGATCAGAAAGACTACAGAAGAGGATCTGCGGGCAAAGAATATCCCGTTTGTCATTGGCAACGTGGTGCGCATTGTCTTCAATTTCATGCTGACCCCAATCGTGGCACTGTCATGCTTCCAATTTGTCGTCTCTGGCCAGTCGCCGGGTTGGACTGTTGCCTTGGCCGCGCTGACACTAGCGGTAGTTATTGGCTTTGCCTCCTATCTGCTTTGGCTGATAATCACTACGCGGCCAAAGTCAGTCCTGTTTGATGACTTGCCTACTGTCCTGCGGTACGGGCCTCTGTATAACACATACGCTGACGAGGTCGCTGCATTTGCTCTTATCCCGATCCTGCTCAACGTCATCAGAGGTGTTGCTATCGGTGCTGTTCAGCCCAGCGGCGTTGCCCAAGTTGTACTTTTAGCCATTTGTGAGGTCATTCAGATTCTCATGATCTACGCATTTCGGCCCTACCAAAGAGCCACCTCGATGAATATCTATCACAGCCTTTTCGCAGTTCTACGGTTGATGATCATCATGCTCATGGTTACCTTTGTGCCCAGCTTGGGTGTTACCGAAGGCCCAAAGGGCTGGATCGGATATGCCATTTTGCTGCTCCATGCCTGTGTACTCGCCCTCGGCTTCTTCCTTGGCGCTGTACAGACCATCATCGAAGTAATTGCGAGGTTGTTCGGCGCCGGTGGAGACGATGTCACTGGCTTGACTCGTGGTGGTCTCTCCAAGATCTTTGGCATGAGACAGCTGTCCAGGAGAGTCAACCACCGCCAGGGACCATCTCGAGCCAGCCAGCTGTCCACCGCAGCCATGCTGGATGCCGATGATAGCGGAAAGTCTGGCTATGTGATGCCGAGTGGTCGAGTCCGCAGCGGTTCCGTGGCCAGCCTTAGCGGTGTCCTTACTCACCACCGACATCGAAGCAGCTCGGCTCTTGATAGTATGTATTCGGCCGTACACCGAAATGTCGACACTGCCAGTTCGTACATACCCGGAACGCCGGGTGAAGCCAGTACCTTTTCGTTTCTTGCGTCACCCTCAGCTGCTCGCCAGGGGCCACCTGGAGTTGTTCTAGAAGCCTCTGATCCCTACTATCGCCCCCCAAGGCGGCGCCGTGAGATGACTGGTGATTCCGGACAGTTCGACGGGGAACCACTCGTCATTGAACCTGTCCTTCAGGTTGGAGGACTAGCCCCTGAAGCCCTTGATGCAGCGGCAGAAATTTCACGAGGAGCTACTCCGGCGCCTGGACACGGTAATAACCTTTCAATAAGCTTCCCCGCGAACCGACCAGATTACTCAACCCGTGAGGTTGACTTTTACTATGGCGTCCGGGGACCTGCGCTGAACTCAGAAGGCCCTGGCAGGAAGCTTGGAACAGGCCCTGCAGACCCGACTGGGCCGGCGGCGACGGCTGCTGGATGGTTCCGCAGCTTGATATTTGGCGGCAAAACTAAAGAGAAGGGCAAGGGCTTTGAAGTTGTTCGAAGTGCCAGGATGCCGCCAAACATGGTTCGAAATGGAGGCTTCGGCGATGAGACACCACCAGAAGGCATTCCAGTCGCGATGGGCGTTATTCGAAACGGGCCCATCGATTCAGACGATGACGAAGAGCCTCAAATCAAGAGGCCAAAGCGCCGGGAAGGCGAGCTGTTAACAGACAATGGCGACCCACAGGACTCTGATGACGAGCCTGACAGCCCGGTCACGGATAGACTCCCTCGGGGGCGGATGTCTCAATCCGTAACAGCTTTGGGTTCGAAGAGAACCGAGGCCTCGCATGATGGAGTTGATAGCGATGGTGTCAGCGAAGAAGATTTGTCTGATGTTGACCTTGATGTGCCTGTCATTCCACGGAAGAGTTCTAAGAGACACTCGGCCCTGCTGGACCGCAACATCCAGCTCACGCCTCTTGTCACGATAGAGTCTGAGACGATGCGTCCTGGTAGCCCTGGATCCCTGCAAACATTCCAGACTGAGTCGAGTGCGCAGCACGGTGGCGTATCGTTGCTGCCTCGCCTCCCGTTTGAACGGAGAGGCTCTGACCGGCGCTCAGATCAACGGCCGTCTTCAAAGTCTTCGCTCGATTTTCCTGATCTGAGAAACATAGACTCGGCAGCACATGATGACGATGCTGCCGGATTCGGAACGGTTTCTCAGCACAGCATCAGCCGAATTGATCCTCATCATGCTGATGATGGCATGCTGAGCACTGCTGCATCTGTCGTAGACGATGCACATTCACATTCCGGAAAAGAGGCTTGATTCCAAGAGACAACTGCTATGAGTCGACTCTTGTGGACAAACCAACGCCGATAGCATGCAAGGAAGAAAGAAGCACAAAGAAAAGAAAAGATTAAAAAAAGCAAACTCTCCAAGAGATTGATTCCGTCGTCTGCAAAGTTATGGACGGCTCAACTGCAATTCATCCCGCTTCAGCAAGCTTTAGCGTGTCTGGCTGCTCTTCATTTCAGCTTTTTCTTTTTTACTCATTGGCTTTGTTTCCCTTTTTACCCTCCTTGATTTAATTTAAATTTTTTTCTTATCTGTATAGAGTCATATGGACATGTCCCAGCGAGATACACGAAGGCTTTAGTGGGATGGGATGACGTGATTAATTCCTCTTTCTCTTTTTTTCCCTCTTTTTTCTTTTTGTCAAAAGGTCAAGGTTGATACAGAAAAATCGTTTCGGGATCTGATTAAGGGGGGGTTCTTTACCGGTAGCTGGCGTTCTTTTGTTGTTTTCCCCAACCCTCCAATCTTTTTTCCCATTTCGGTACAATAAGAGGGTTGGGAGGCATTTCATTTTTTTTTCTTTGTATTTGTCATTTGGGAGGGATGGGATGGATTCGGGATGTGGGCTATATGTGGCTGTGTGTATAGGATCATGAGCGTTATTTGAATGGCCTGGGAGGGGGACTTTAGGCGTGTAATTAATAGTAGGCCCTGGTGGGTGTAACATGGCCAGATATATGTTGATCTTAAAGATGATTTGTGCTTATTGGCAGCTATGATGTGAAGTTTGTGCTTTTATTTTTAAGCTCGGATAATGCGCCGTGAGTAATCACGATCAATGGATACATCTTTACTTCGAAGGCTGTAAACTAGTATAGTCATTATAAGAAGGAGGAGACGGAAGCGGAACGCATCATTAGTAGGAGATTTGTGAAAAGAAAAAAGCAAATGTGTTCTGAAACATGCATCGCCATCATGGGGTATAGTAGCTATATAAAGTAGCCATATACAAACGCAGAGACCATAGCCACAGCACCTTGGCAATCATCCAGCCAGTTTCGTATTTTCCACCAAGCCTCCCACTCTGTATCTAAGTTTTAGCAAATCATATCCAGCAATCCGCTCTATTTCACGTTCAAAAACCCAATGCCCGACCTCGCCTTCTGGACAGCCCGCTTCAACGCCTGTTCCTCCACATCGGTCCACTTGACGCTCAGTTCATCCCACTTCTTGCCAGGCGTGTTGTATTCCTTGCGCCATTGGGCATGCATGTGCTGCAGCTGGGCCATCCTGCGCGGGTCTCCGGAGCCGCTGTAGATGATGAAGGCGGTGCAAGGCGGAAGAGCTTCATGGATGCGAACGAGGCGCTCCGTGAGTCGGATGAGGGCCTGCTCCAGAGGAGAAGATCCCTCGGATGCAGAATCGGTCCCGATGGCTTCGGATGCGGCGTCCACGTCCTGGCCGGGGGCATTCTTATTCCACCACCCTTGCAGGGCTTCCAGCTCACGCATTCGGCCCCAGACAAAGTCCACTCCGCCGCCCCTGATGACCTCACCATCTTCATCACCGAGGACAGCTCGGATGATGTTAGTCGTCACGTCCTCGTCGGATCTGCACCCGAGCTGGTGCGTGGCTCCCGCGCCGAGACCCTTGGAAGGGTCACCCCAATCAATGGCAGCACTAGTCTTGCCAACCTCAATGCCGCCGACGGCAGCGTCTCCTCCCTGAGCTTTATAAGCTGTACCGGCACGTGCGAGTCTGCGGAAGAGATTCTCCCCTTGCGCGTCCGATGATCCCCACAGCTTTCCCTTCTCGCATTTCTGCTTGACCAGGTCGAGGCAAGTTTTGGCGTCTTCGATGCTGTTATGACCTAAGGCGTCTCCTTTCTGGATTTCTCGGGACAGGTACTTTTGGGCGAGCCATTTGAGTGACGACTTTAGAGGAGGGCCGCGGGGATGAGGGTATATAATGGAGGTGTCGACAATGAATGGGTGAGCAATCTGTATGGCTTTGGTGTCTGATTCGAGGGAGTGGCCCACTAGAATGGTGCGCGGATGTAGAATCTCAAGGAGTTTCCCCTGTATGTCGCGGAGCGTAGTCGTCACGGGTGCCAGCATCTCCTCTGTGATGCCGGAAAACCGCGTAACGTAGTCGGTGATGGGCTTGTCGGGTTTCACAAGCTCATCCAGCACAACATTTCCATCCCAGTCGATGAGACTAATGCGAGTTAGCGAAAATTCGCTCTCGCCCGTCATGCACATTTCGCAATCAACCGCCAAGATCTCTCTGCCAGCCGTGATGCTGCCCTGTTCGATTTCTGATTCGGGGACATCGCCATCTTCCAGCTTGTTGACTCTTGTGACGACCCATCCTTCTGGGGCGACAAAGTTGTCTCGTCGTGGTCCTTCTGGGAGAAGAGCCGGATGAATGAGGTAGCCGTTATCCGTTAGTTCGTCCGCAGAGGCCAGAAACTCTGTGATGCGCGTCCGCTCATTCCTCCATCCGTGGGGCTCCTTTGCGGGCTTCACGCCTCCTTTTTGTGACGTCTTCTCCTTTGGCGCTGGGGCAGTGAGGAACGCAGCCAATGGCGAGTGCATCTTTCCGTGCTTGTCATCACCGGGTGTTTTGACGGGCCACAGATGAGGGAACATGTCGGCAAATGGCTTGAGTGGCTCTGGCAGCGTGTCCTTGTCGAGCTTGCGAGGATAATAGGCATCTGGGGAGCTGAAGGGATGGGAATCTTTATCCCCATTTCCAAGATTATCTCCGTCCACAGTCACATCTCTAAGATCGTTGAAAGTTGCATAGTCGACGCCCTCCTTGAAGAGAGCCTCTTCAAGACCAGGCACCATGATGGCCACAATCTTTCTGAACTGCGGCCGATGAGTAACTCCAATCCACTGGGGGCCCGCGCCATCGGCAAAAATGTAGGTGATGAGATCGCGCAGGCTGTTGAGACTGAGCATGGACTGGAGCCGAGCGCTGGATGAAAAATTCAGGCCAGGGTATCCTCCCTTGCCCGGGCGAGGCACCTTCTTCGCCTTCTTCTTGGGCCTTGTGACGGTTTGCCATTCTCCCTGGTCATCCATTTTCTCGTCTTCATCATGGGGGCTTGGTCTCTTGAGGCTGCCTTCGGTCTGGTCCAGGGAGAACGATTGGGCAACCATATTGTCAGTGACAGCGTCGGTCATGTTGAAGGCTTTTTTATCCTTTAGTGTTCGGAAAACAAAATACTTGAATAAGCTTCGAAGGGGTGAGGTGTCCGCAAAGTCTGGGTAGCTCTTTGAATTCCAAAGGAAAGAAGTGCTCTCTATGTTGAAAACAAACAAATGCTGCTAAAATGAGGCCGAGTCTATCTCAGATCATACTGCTAGGGCAGAGCAAAGAAGTCAGCGCCCACAAAAGAGATGAAGACTATTGTTGTATTTCCTCCGTAAGCGCCATACGGGATAACCACTGATCCAAGGCGAAATGAGGCGCAAAGGTGCCCAGTATCAAGGGGAAAAAGTCCAATAGCGAGGATGTTTTGCTTAGGCGAACTGCCATAGCCAGCTTTTGGCAGTGAGGATTTCTCAAGGCTGCCGAGCTTATCTTATCGCTGCCCCGTAGGCGGTTTTTAGGCCAATCACAGGCCAGTCGCAGCGTCCAGGATTCGCTGGCTGCAGCCTCGCGGCTCCTTCACGCGACGCTGGACCTTCGTTTTGGCTGCTATTATTCGCCCTCTGGTTGACAACAATGAAGTGAGACGCGCAATCCCAACTTTGGCATATCGACACTTCTGCTTCCCAACTTTCATGTCGCTGGAGTTGAAGGTCCAATAGAGTCCAATTTCCTACCAATGCGTCAAACCCTGTAAAATAACAACATCTCTTTGAATCCTCATTCACATCCTGTCCTTCACGTTCGGAATCTCAAGGCCGCAGAATCATGGACCTAGTCGCCGTGAGATGTGCCAAATGCGACTCCAAGCTGGGCAATCTCGCCAATCAGTGGACGCAGATAGGCAAGAAATACATTACACCAGTGACCTACGTTGAGGACAAGAGTGAAACAGATAAGATCGCTGCAACGGGTGCGGTTCGGATAGGTGATGCGGACACTTTAGTCGAGGGCTGGTATGATATCCTCTGCCAATTATATATCTTGTTTCGTAAATACACTCACTGACAATGAGATGCATTCTGGAATAGTGAGCTTCGGGATGCTGAATGTTCAACATGTCACACAAATATAGGCCAGAAATGCTTGACAAGTCCCTCCAACCACATATTTACCAGGTACACATGCTCCACCTCATTCATCTCAATGCCATGCTAAGCGGTGCAGCGGCCAGATCATATTTCGCCTTACGTCCATATCCCTTAGAGTGGCCACAGATCTTCGTCGCAAAGCTGAACCCAAGATACAGCGTATCCTTCAACTTAGGGGCCAGTCAGCCGCAGCTCAAGGCAAACCGTCGCCCCCGAGTGTAAATGGCAAGGCCACTCCTCAAAACGAACCCTCTCCAAGCAGAGACAGGTTCGACATCATGCAGATTCAAACAGATCTCGAGGCTCAACAAGACGAAATCCAGCGTATTGGCGCGGCTGGATTCCAGGTCATATCGACGCTGAATAGCACAGTCGCCCGCTTCGAAAAGCAGATGCGGCAGCTGAGCGACTCCGTTGCAAGTGTCCGAAAGGATGGAGAAGGACAGCAGGCCGACATCAAGTCTCTCAAAACACAGATGAGTGACGCCAAGCGAAGTAACGAGAGCGACGCCGTGATTGCTCGTCTGGATCAGCAGCTTCAGACCACGGACAGAGTGATCACGGAACTTCGGCAAATCATCCAGAAATCCAAGATAGAGACCACGACTCTCCGAATTGAGCTGACGGCTGCACAAAAGGAGATTTCAGAGGTGAAAAGGGCAAACGCTCGTCTTAAAGAGGACGCCACCGAAGCAAAGCAGGTAGCGCAGGAAGGGATCGCCACGTCCAAGCTGTATGCGTCTGAGGTGGCATCTTTGAGGCGAGAGATTGCACAGCTACGGTCTGAAATTGGGGAAGAGAATATACACCACTCCTCAATGGACGAGGACCCTTCCATCACATCGCACCAGCTCGACATCCTCGCCAGCAACATATCCAAGATTGGAAACAGGGCTAGCCAGGTAGAGTCTCTGCAGATGGAGTTTGACCTCTTCAGAACTCGAATACAACGGCTAGAGGCTCGAGTAGTCAGTGGCACGCCAAATCCCAATCGAAAAGATGTTCGTGCTTCTCTTGGAGACTACGCCTCCGCGGCTGAGCAGGGCAGCCAGTCTCACTACGGATCAACTACACGCCAGAAACGGCCGCCAGTGAGTAGGGAGGACAGCCACATTGTCAACTCAACTCCTCCAAAACGGGTAGCCCTCTCGTCAGACTATCCTAGCCTTGCTACTGTAGGCTATGTTAGCACTAGCGAGCAGCAACAATCATCACCCGGGAGCATGGCTTTGGTAGAGACTCCCGTTCAACGGCGGACCACAGCAGCATCAACAAAGAAGAGTACTGCAAAGCGCGGTAGATGGGGAGCAAAGGCCTGAAAGAAAGCAGGCTTTGGAGGGAAATATCTATCAGCTAATATGTATACCTATGTGGAATGACCTTGTTCAAATATCGAAATCCCGTCTCAAGATACCTCTTCCTAGACTAGCCAGGGTATTCACCTGCTGCACGACAGCAAACTCGAAGAAAGCTTGGGACTTTTCGCTGTTGGGATCTTGCCGCCAGTCATCAATCAGAGACGTTTCTTTCTCTCTACCTGCCAGCTTCTCAATGTCATCTAGAAGTGCCTGTGCTTTGACAACCAGGCCGAGCTCTGCACCATATTTTTCTGGGGAGTATTTGAGAATCATGATGAGGAGCATCTGGCACAACGACACCTGATCAATCTCACGCAATGATTCTTCGATTTTCTGCTCTAGAGTCACCTTTTTGGAGACGGGCGTAGCAGAGTTTGCCAGGAAAGCTGTTGCCGCGGCGGTATGAGTAGTGAAATTTGCTATAGTGAACAAACTAGCCAGCCGGATGGGATGATACGGCGAAGCGTACTGGTACGGATCGCAAGCCGTCGCGATGAAGCAAGCCACTGCCAAGGCAAAGGCAAAGTTCTCTTCTTCGCCGTACAACATGGATATTCTAAAGAGAATGTCAGGTAGCGGCGTGACGGCCCACAACTCCTCTTCAACCAGGGCTTTGCTCTTGCTGCATTCGCTTTTTAATAGCTTACGTCGCTCTGACGTTGACTCAATTGTCACCAATGCGCTCGATATACGGTCAGCCGACTCGCCATGTCGATTGATAATGGATTGTTTGCTAGAGCTGGTGACTGCAGGATGTTTGCGAAACTTTGAAACATCTGGCACGAGACTCTGGCTGTTGAGATTGACGTTGGGGGAGATGGCTGCGACTTGATAGACATTGAGGTTATCCCGGCAACGAAGGCATTGACATACAAACTTGTAGTGAGCCAGTGCTTCTCTTCGCTTCAATAGAGGATCCGTGTAAACTAGATGATGAGCATTCATGCAAATGGTCAGCCTGTAATAGAGATTGACGCGAAAAGTAAAGAGAGCCTTCTTTAAACACAAAGGGACTTACACGTATAAGCCAGCTCAATCTCGTCACCAGCTCGAATAGGGCTCTCTGCAACGAGAAGGGTATTTCTCCCTATAAACTGGACTGCCGCATTGGGGATGCAGGAGTGATTGGCCATGGCTAGTGTAGGCTCAAGGAATAGACCAACAACACCCAAGTCAGGGTCGAATCTCTGAAAAGAGTTGTTTTGAATCTATTCTCATCAAAAGCCCTTAGTTAGCATCATGACTCTTTGTTGCAAAATGACATTCCTCTTTCCAGGTGATGACTGACCTTGCAAAGCATCTCAGCTGCTCTCCGCACAAGCTCCTCCGCCGTGCCCTTGCCGGAAAACGCACACGCCGCCATGGCCATCATCTCAATGTCTCTCCATTCGTCACCCTCGGCCTTCTTCTCCAGCACATGCCCCTCCAGATCCTTCAGCCCATCTCCAATCTCCCCACACAGCAAAGCCTGCATCAACGCCCTCGTCGGCGTCGGCAACTGCCTCCTTCGGCCCTCATCCTTAATGCCCTGCCGCAGCGCCTTGCACTCGCGCGAATGGACGGCCTTCCACGCCGCAGCTTGACACGCCGCATCGCAGTACGACGCCGCGTGGCAGCGCGAACAGGCCCGAGGATTGCCTGGGCGAAGACAGTAGGAGCAGACGCTGCTGAGGCACGAGACGGTCGGCAGGAGGAGGAGAGGTGTGAAGGGAAAGATGACGGCGCCGGGAGAGAAGGATTTCGTTGCGTAGAGGCCACGGCCTTTGGAGGGGTGAGGCCGGATTTCGAGGGGCGAGGGAGAAGACATGTTCTGCTTCTTTTGTTGGTTTATTTAATCTTATGAGTAGTGAGGCATTTGAAATGGTGAATTTTTGGATGCACACTTTGTTGGTTTGTGAGGCTGTGCTTTTTCTTTTTTTAATGATATTGACCTGGAGGTGAAAAGTTCAAGGTTGAGGTGAGTCTTGGAGGGGCAACAGCGAAAAGGTGGGCTGGTGATGTCTCAAGCTGCTGAAGACTGACTGCCACCCAAACATGATATTAGCAGACGAATAAATTTAAAAGAAACAAAACTTTCACCCTTGTTCTTTACGTAACGGTAGCCGTCAAAAATATGTCTAAATAAAATTCAATGGGTATCTCTATCTTACTACTAGGCGCCTGTAGTAGTCCTGTATATATACTGTAGCCAACACGATGAAATCTCTCTCTATAGCTCGCCATGGTTCGGCAGCTTGCTGTTCGCCTTGCGCGCACTCGCCAGTCTCTTCCGCAGCTCCTTGCTCCATGGTGTCCCATGCAATCGCACCATCATCTCAGCGTGATAGTCCCAGCAACCGTCCTCCAAAGCCGTCTCCGGCGTCACACACGCCTGGTTGCTCAATGCCTGGCCCCTGGGCCACTGGCCAAGTTGGGCGCCCATATCCTCGTCCAAGAAGGTGTCGAGCACCAGCTGCCCAATTTTTCTCTGAGCTGCGGCCCACTCGGCCTTCTCTTGGAACAGTATCGGCAGCAGCTGCTTCATGCCGTTGTCTTCCAAAAAGTGCTGCCTGATCTTGTCGTCCTTGAGGAGTCCGTTGACAGCGGAGACGGCGGCCTTGACCTTTGAAGGAGAGTCAGTGGGCAAGATCGTGTGATGGTAGAAAAGTTCATGGATTGTAGCGCCTTCATGAGAGCATGTCGAGTCCATGAGCTCTGTCCAGATTTTGGAGATCTCGTTGAGTGCTGAAGGGTTGTTGGAAAGGGCACCGGCGAGAATGGCTGCCGCTTGCTGGCCTCGTGGAGTGTAACCCTCAGAGACTGGGCCTTCGGGAGTTCCCATCAAACAGAAGAGTGCCTTTATCACGTCCGTCTCCTCGGTGATTTTGAGTCCGTAGTAGATATCATGAGAGAGCTCTTCCAGCCCCTCCAGCCCGTGATCAAATTCTTCATCACTCGGGATAACACCAGTCTTGAGCATTTTGAATGTCTCCATAAACGCAATAGCTTCTACCTGAGCCTCCCCACCTGGTGCAGGTTCCTTGATCTTGCCAACATTGTCGTATTTCGGTGCACCCTTGGGTACCTGAATGGTCTCTTGCTGCTCCTGTTCGACGAGAACTACAGCTTGGTCGACAGGTAGGCCTTCTAGTGCAGGGTTGATCTCATCAGGCACGTTGATCTTGGCTTCTTTTTTGCCCGTCCAGATATTCAAGCGAACATGAAGTCCATTAGGAAGTTGTTGGTCATCGTGGACTGTCTGGAACTCATCTGTCGGTTCAAACACCAGTGGGTAACACTCGTCTGGATTTGACGTGTGGCAGATTAATTCTCGTTTGTCTGAGCCCGCCTGGGGAGAGTGCTGAGATGCCGATGCTGTGGCGGGAACCGCTAAACATAACAACAAGCCCAGGACGAGGGCAATGATGATTGGCAACGGTCTAGTTTTGGGACGGATAGAAGACATTGTTTTTCGAGGGAGAAATGAATGAATGAAAATTCTGAGTCCACTCAAAGAGTGTATTCGCGTGAATATGTTATCCAATGGTCTGGGGTTCGTATAATACGACAAGCTGATGAGTGGGAACGGCGCTTCTTGCACGCACAATATCGTGCATGCAACGACGCTATACCGGCGAAACACTCAATAAATATACAACAAGAACTTGTTTGAAAAGAACAAATTACAACTTCTTCATAAAAAGAGTGAATGAAAAGTTCTTTAAATGAGTCAACTCATTGAAAAGGACACCTAAGAATATGGACTAGGTGGACCTAAAAAAGCTGTAAGACGAGCAAACTGTCACTGCCAGAGGCGAAATCTGGCTTCTGAATCTTGGCGGCACCTGATTGGCGGACACGGTGACTAAGCAGCCAACATGGAAGCCCGAAGAAGCAGCCTTTTGCCACTGAATTGTAGCGGCATTTGGATGTTTGTAATGGCAGCAGTTGTACTCTACGCTGTTGCGAGTGTATGGTGCAGCTATTTCCATAATACGGGATGAGGAAGAGTTGCAAATAAGAAATTGTTGTCCATTGTCTGATTGGTGCACGTAACTTTGTTCGACGTCATGCCACGCTTTCGGAAAAGAATGACCTGCTTCACATGTATGTGCAGTTCATTGACACCCATGTATCAACAAGAGGTATTGAGAATTCATGTTTAGCAAGTCACTCCCCATAATTTAATCTCTTGAATATAAATATATGCTTATATTAGTATTTTAAAACAAAATTTTATGTCAGCGCATGCTTTTGATCCTGTCTGTGCGTGTTGGAGGATTCGCTGGAATGGCCCCGTGTCTCAGATTTTGGCACCATCTGCTCAATGTCAAACCTGAATTCAGAACACAAGCCGTAGCATAGCTGTTTGCGCCATCGTCGGATCCGTCATTAGCCTACTGTGAAAATTCACAAACGAGGCTGGTCTACAGCTACGACAGACGGATATAAACCAAGTGCATCTCTTGGGAATCTTGCAAATGTTCTATTCCCTTGCAATATCCCTCCCTGCATTACTGGACATCCTCTCCTCGGATTGGCATTGATAGAGATAACCAGGGAGCATCTACCCGCAAAAATGCTGTCTTTGATCCTCGTCTTCTTCTATCTCTTGTTTTGCTCAATATTTGGCGTCCACGCTTTGCCAACTGGGTCTCATCATTTCAAGAGACACGAGCATCTCCACACCCGTGTCCACAGTCTTCGCCTCTCTCGGCCTATCAATGTCGACATGGACGAGCCAGTGCAGAGCCCAAGGAACTGGTCGGAGAGCCGGCTTGAAGAAGGCCTGCTTTATAAAGACGCCGATTCAGCGGAGGGGCGCTTGCTAGAGGACCTGCATGACGAGCTGCCGGCATCTTGAGCTCAGCATCGTGTATCAATTAGCGGATAGACTGATTGCATTTGGAATTTCAGGTTGCTTCTTGGGAGCTATGAGGTATTAATGACATAAAAGGGAATTGCATAGGTTTCTAATGTTTGATATTCTACAAGCAAGACAGATATTTCACTATCAAGGATTATTAATTTCAGGGATCAACCCATCCTCATTTACAACTTACAACGGGAGCTGCATGTGGCAAAAATGATTGACGACGAACCACATGGTTTCACACTGTGTCCGTTACCTAATGCGGCACCGCAGCATTCGCGCATAGCGGCAGAACAGCACGCTCATTAGAAATCCTCCTCTTGTCGTGAGACAGTTGCCGACTCAAAACATCGCACGGCCCAGCCCTTTCTCGCAAACCCGTGGCACAGCATGCGCTCCAATGAATTGAATGGGTCCCTGTTACTGATCGATTAGGTCACGCGTTCTCCTTTCTTTCGAAGCTTCTGCGACATTGTTAAAGCAAGGCCTTGTGTCACGGACTACGGAGTAGAAGCAGCTCCTGTGAAAGAGACAAAAACATCGCCAGGGCCATTGAGGCGTCAATCCAACGTCAATCTCCCTCCCTCTCTTTTTTGCCTTTTGCAGCTGCATGCGAGGAAGCTTATTCGCGCTACACTCTCTTTGACGAATCGAGCTTGCTTTGCGCCCAGACAGATCCTCCTCCGAATGCTACACTACTAGAGCTTGCCATCTGTCTATTTCTTTCGTCCAGCGCTCTCTCCGTGCCCTCGTACAACAGAGCGCGCGTGCGCGTCAACAGTTACACGAAACCTCGCCAAGATGCCTTCTCCGCGACGAATGCGCCTCCTCATGGTGGCGGTCGTCATCACGGTCGTCGTCATGCTATTCTACAGCTCGGGCATGGAGCCAGAAGCCGACGCTGCCCTCAAGGGCTTCTACGAAAAAACAAAGGAGGCCATGGAGCGAGGGACAGCTCGTGGGCAAGCAGTCATCAATTCCCAGACGGGCGCGAAGGCGGGGCATATACCCGCTGACAAGGACGGCGACGGCGACATTGACGATGATGACAAGGTAGCTTCACAGGAGCTTCAAGAGCGGCTGCAGGCCGTTGCGCAGGAGGCAAAAGACAAGGCCAACGAGAAGAGCCCGAAGCCAGATATCCCCAGCAAGATCGTTGGCGTGGGCAGCTCAGCCGAGGGACAGGAGAAGAAGGGCCAAGTCAAAGCGGGTGGTGGTGGTGAAGTAGGGGAGAGAGTCAAGACGGAGACGACGAAGGAGGAGACAAAGGAAGAGCATGAGGCCGAGGTCGAGATTAACAGCATCTTGAAGAAGTCACCCGGTAAGCCATCGCAATAGATCCCCCTCTGGCTACTCTGGTTTACTAACTTGTACGTGTGCGACCCGCAGTCATCATCTTCTCCAAGAGCTACTGCCCCTATTCGAAGCGTGCCAAGGGCATCCTTCTGGAGAAGTACAGCATCACTCCAGAGCCCTTTGTCGTCGAGCTGGACGAGCACCCGCTCGGTCCTCATCTCCAGGACTATCTCCTCAAGAAGACGGGGCGCAGGACTGTGCCTAACATCCTGATCAACGGAGTCAGCATTGGCGGCGCCGACGACATCGTTGCGATGGACAACGAGGACAAGCTCGTTGCCAAGGTGCGCGATCTGGGCCAAGCCCGCATAGAGATTGGCCCGCGCTTTACCAAGGGCGAGCATCAGTAAAAAAATGATTAATCAGAGAGGCGATCCCCTTGGCCTGGTCTTTTTCTCCTTCCCCAATCTGTACCTGTACCTGTGCTTGTGCTTGGCCTTTCTCGCTTGGACCAAGGTTGAGATCGGTGGCTCGCGGCTAATGTATTCTCTTGGAGGGTGTGGGCATCAGGGGTTGATGGTTACTTTTTTCCTTCTTTTTTCTTTTTTTTCTTTTCTTTTCTTTTCTTTTTTTTTTTTTTTTTTTGAATGTCTGGTGTGCAGATGCCAAGTACGCACGCATGAATGGAGTTTTGGCGTTTTTATGGCCCTGTACAAGCATACTGTAGTACCTAAGGTATGGAATGCCGTAGGCACAGTTGCTGTAATATTTGTTATCTCGGGATACTTGATAGGGAATGGCAGGGAATGGGAATTGAAGGCTTGAAATGCTTGTCTGCCTAATACTATAGAAAGAGAAAGCAGAAGAAAACAAAGAAGGGGGGGGGGACGGGATGGATGTGAGGCTCGGTCAAGGAAGCATATGCAGCTACTGTCTTCAATTCGAAACCTGTAATCTCCAGCAATGTATGGATCAATCTAGAATGCATCCTCTCGGGCGCGCAAATCCGCTGGGCGGAAACAAAGGCCGGTAAAGACGATGAAAAGCGCCGGTACCTGGTCGTGTCCTCACGTACAAGCTCGCGATAGCGTGGGCATCTTGCATCTGCTAGCGAAGCATCATGGCGGTTAATATGGCATGGCAAGCGAAAGAAGGCAAGTATCAGCGTGTCTCGCTGTGATGAATTAGGCCAAACCTTTTTAAATCGCGCATCCATCATCTTTCTTCTCTCTCTTCTCTCTCTCTCTTTTTCTTTTCTTTCTCGTTTTTACTTCCCGTTTCCTTTCCGACGCCCCCCCTCCCTCATCGACCTCATTCGGGCAACACACGCTGACGATTCTCTTACATACCGCAATCAATTTACCCAGACAGGCCTCAAAACGCCACGATGCGCAGAACCAGCGCTGTCTCGTTCTAGCCCCGCCGGTGCTATCTGTTATCAGCGCGGTACTGGCATCATCCCCCACTAAATGCAGGGATGCGACTGCAGCGCTTCATGTTGGAGGCGCGTGAATGGCCGGCGGCTTTGGGGTTATCAACGGCTGGGGTTTTAGGCCCAGGTTCAGGTTCGCCGTTTCCATTAGCTGCCGATTCCTCCATCAGTTGTGGCAGCGGAATCCGGATTCGGGTGCAGTTGGGATGCTCGGACAAGCAAGTCTGTGCTTTGCAAAAGCAACTAGTGTTGCTGAGATATTGCCCGCCCATACGGAGTACTCGTACATGAGAGAGAGTCCTTTCAATAGCAGGCATATGTTGCGAATCACACAGACGAGACGAACCGGCAGATAAGAAACATGTTGAGCCATGAATCAATCAGTTGGCGTGTGGAATCAGCGCTTGTCCAGGACTGGCACAGTACCTACAGTACCTGTCTCCCCTCGCTACCAGCATCCGAACTAGTACAGTGCCTAGCGATGGGATGCGCGTGAGAGAGGGAACTTGGCTTGCTTGGATACGCACAGGAAACTGGGGAATGCAGATGAGAGAGAGGCCTGACCTGAAAAAAAGCGTGGGGATGCGCCCCCGGTAAGCTGCCACAGCTCAAGCCATGCCCAAACCAGCACCAGCCAGACCAGGATTCGAGAACGAGACCGCAGTGACCACACCATCAACCGCAAAGCTGAGCAGTACTACTAGGTATGTACGAGTACAGTATTAGGTTATCTATGGACGGTATTATCTCGCTCGCCCTCTAGCCTGGCCTGGGGCTGCTCCTACAGTCCTACGGTACTCCTACAGTACATGGACTAGGCAGTTGGGGATTGCAGCACAATAAGAAGAGCGCCACCCCCTCACGCTTCACTCTTTTTCTCTGCAGTTCCAGTCCCGTCCAAGCCAAGCCCATTCCCACTACCGCAAGCCTGCGTTGCTCTGTTTTCTTCCCATCTTCCAATTGCCCATTGGCCTTTTCTGTTCTTGTCCCGTCTTGAGTTTGTCCCAAGTAGAAAAAGAAAAAAAAGACGACGCAGAAAAGAAGGGACCCTCCCCCATTTAGTGCTGCACAAAGTGGACGTGTCTTCGTTTCTCAATACCTTTTTTTTTCCCCTTCGCCGCTATAACCGGAAACTCTGTAACCCTTCGCCTCGGTCAAGAGACGGTGGCTCACCGACCCGGCCGTTCTCCCGAGTCGCATCATCAAGCTACAACCTTGCGTCAATCCGGGCTACCAGAAGTGCACCAGGAGCAACTGTCTGAGCAAAAAAAGACACTCATCACACTCCTCTTTGAGGGTTTCTTTTCACTTCTACCCCCCCCCTATAACGTTACATTTCTCAATAAACACCAAAAAAAGAAAAGAAAAAAGAAGAAAAAGAAAAAATGTCTGACGCCCCCTCCAACACCGCCTCCGCCCTGCGGCGTCCCTCCACCAGCTCCGAGACATCCTCCCTCTCGTCGGCCTCAACCGCCTACACCACTTACAAGGACAAGGAGGGCCAGCCGCTGCTCGACGTCAACGAGCGGAAAGCGAAAAGGGGCCTGCGCCAAAAGGCCCGCGACATGGTGCACGACATGGGCAGCCCGCCCACCGCGAGACAGGACGCAAAGGACGGCAAGGTGACGCTCAACCACGCTCCGCTGGGCGGCATGGTGGGCGAGCCCATGATGAGGCCGGGCAAGATTTAAAATGACAGTGCCTTTGCCTGCCTATCCTTCATTGGTTGGTATGCCTTGGGGGAACTGGTTGGTTGATTGATTGATTCTGTTGTAGCGCAGCGCATGTGCATGTGCCCAAAAAATATGATGGAAATGAAATGCGAAAATGGTCTCGGCGTTTTTTTTTTTTTCTTGTCTTCGATGGTTCTCTCTGGTTCTTCTCGTTTCGTCTTCTTACCTACTTTATATATATATATATATCTATATATATATCAAATGTATTGAATCATGTCTTTGAATCTTCACTGTTAGTCGGCGACGAAATTCAACAAAAGAAAAGCAAGGGAATAAAGCGACTCTATGCTGTTAATCAAGAATTTCACATGCAGCAAACAAGCACTCGGTTGCATATGCCATAAGAGACTTAAGCGAGCCGAAACGTGCCGTGCATTTTTTTTTCTGTCCTTATTTCTCACACATGGAGCCCATCCATGTTTCCTCCTCCAATCCAAATGCGTGTGGCACACTGTAGTGTAAACATGAGAGAGAAAAAAAAAATCCGAGTGATTCCCCGAGATTTCATAACCGTTGAAATGTCCCATAAAAAACACGCATGCGTTGTCCAGCGCCGCGATTCTATACCACAAGAAAGAAGGGGGGAAAAGAGTCGAAAGGGGATAGAATGATCATCCTAGATCTTTATGTCTGGTTCCAATTTAACCTGCCTCCGTATGCCCCCCCTGATTAAAAAAAAAAGAAGAAGAAGAAAAAGAATGTCCCTTTGATTCCAAATGAGAAACCCGGTTCCTGGATTTCTACCCAACGCCTCCGTGTCGTATCCTCCATAATTGCCTTTGGTTGACTTTGCATTTGCCGTGTCGTACGCTCCAGTACCTTTAATAGTTTGATATTCCGCAATAGATAGAAAAAGTGTTGTTACAAGACTTTGTATAGTTGAGATTGTGCATTTCTTCGCTTCAGATGCCGTGGTTTGAGGGGTCTTCATACAACCGGAATAGTTGTGTCACCCGTGAGGAAGTGCTCAATGGCATCCACGCCAACTTGCCTACAAAAACCAGTTAGAACCACTGATAACTCAACATCAGAAAAGGACATGGAATGCGCAAGAACTCACGTAGTCAGCATCAGCCTCGTAAACTCGTCCATGTCGTCCGGCCTCGCATACATCCAAAACTCCTTGAAACTCATATCCGTGATGCAATACTGCGGCTTCTCACGCCAGGCACGGAAGAATTCAACCGAGGATGTGGCCTCCCAGAGGTGCCGCGAGGCCGTGAAGCTATGGCCATCCTCCCAGAAGTCGTTGGGAGCTGGTTCACCGTAACCGTTAATTGCCTGGCTCATCTGTGAGACTTGGTGGGAATACGAACCTTCTTCTGATTTCAGGACGAAAACAAGACACATTATGGCAAAGGCAATCATAATGGTCCTCCTCGTGCATTCTAGCATGATCCAGCTCTACAGAGAGAAACAAAAAAAGTTAGCATGTGAAATGAAGTCAAGATATGAGTGATGTATATGCAACTCACCTCCCAGCTCTTTGGCGGCTTGTCCCTCGACATAAGAGCCGCTGCTGGCAAGCCCTCCTCCAGCTCATTCTTGACCACGACCAGGTCCTTTACCCACGCCAGCATGACGCTCATCTCCCTCTCTGCCGCCGCCCTCATGCTTACATCGCCGTCGAAGATGCGCATCGAGTTGAGCAGCAGAAGCGCCTGCACTCTGGCCAGCCTGTCGGCGTGTGTAGTCGCTCTCTCGCCATCACGATGGACCTCGCGCACTGCATCCAGCAGCACCTTGAGCGCCCATCCCTTTGTATGCGGAGTGCGTGTCGAGTACGCCGAAGCAGCAGCAAACGTCGTGATGATGGTTTTGGGCAGCTGTGACATCCAGAGGCGGGGGTGCATGAAGGGGGCCTCGCGACGCTGCGTGAAGCCAACGTACATGTCCGATATACTCTGGACAATGAAGCCGATCTTGCTGCGGGGGTCGTGGACCTGCAGGACGTCGGCCATGATGCACTGGTCCTCATGCTGCAGGATAGAGAGATCGCGAACGGGCTGCTGCTGCTGCTGCGACTGAACCGGCTGTGGTTGCTGCGTCTGCAACGGCGGCACCACGGGAACCGGCGGGAGGTCCATCTTGCTGGTGGCATCTCCGAAGCCCAGGTCCCACAAGCTGCCCGGGCCAGCAGCGGCGCTCGCATTCATCAGGTCGACGATGGAGAAGCCCAGATCGGCGTGATGCGACTGAGGCTCGCCGCCGAGCTGCAGCCCCACGTCCTGCTGGAGGCTCTCGGGGCTTGTGTTTGTGCCGGTTGCAGTGCTGAGGCTCTCGATGTCGAAGCTCATGTCGAATTCGGGAGGCATATCGGGCGTGGTGCAGCTGCCCTCGACGGCAGAAGCGCAAGACGACGATGCCGTTGCTGAGGCCGAGGCAATGGGTGGCGATTGGTGCTGGTGCTGGTGGTGCAGCAGGTTTTGCGACTGCGATTGCGACTGCGGCTGTGATTGTTGTGACTGTTGCGATTGCTGCTGTTGAGGAAGAGGAGGAGGCTGGCGCTGGTAGACGCAATCCAGACCCTTGGTCGCACATCGAGTGCATCGCGGAGTTCGCTTGTCGCAGCGCCGCTTGCCTCTGACACAGGCGTTGCAGCTCTTCTGCCGCGATGCCGCGCCGCCATCCGCGCTGATGCGGTCCAGCTTGCGCAGGCCAGAGCCCAGGCTGCTGAGAGGGCTGGTGTCTCCAGAAAAGGAATCCATCGTCGACGTGGGCGGAGAGGCGAAAGTGTAGCTCTGCTGCTGAAGCTGCTCGTACTGCCCGTCGAGCGATGTCATAGCACACAAGTCTCGTGCCGCACGAAGCAGCAATAGAGATCAATTGAGCGGGGGTCCAAGACGATAATGTAATCGAGAAGAAGACGAAAACGAAAAACAAATGAACCACTAGAGAAAAGATAGAGAAACCGTAGAGGGCTGGGGGGTGTAAGTCCGGGGTTGCGTGATGGTGAAAGGAGTTAAAAAGAATCGCGTCGGTGGGATGATAAGATACCGGACCAAGGATGCCCAGCTGCCGCCAAACTCGATTCTCTCGACCGCCCTACCGATCCAATCTGGTTCGTCAGCTGCGAGATTAAAACAGGTGAGATTGGCCCAATGGAAATCAAAGTCTGTCGCATCGCCTCGAAATTCCCTACAAAAAAACCCGGCCAAGCCTCAGTGACAAACTCCGGATTGGACGCAGCAACCCGCGATCAAAGACCCCGAGGACCCGGGCCCAAGTCCGCAACTCCGCTCCGCCCAAACTCCGCAGCTCCAGCCTCGTCACGACCCGGTCGACGGCCCGTCCGGTGCTGCTGACGCATGTTTACTCAGGACGGTTAGCAAGGAGTCGCGAAGGAAGCCTTTTCTTCACGGCAGTCGTATAAAGTTCAAATGTTGGTTCCAACTGATGTCTGCGCCACCTGGACTTGAGCCATCTGCCTAGATCTCCTCCTTCCGTGACGCGGCCTGCAGATGAAGGAACTGGGCCCAGATGGTAAACGTGAGATGCTACAGGTAATAAAGATAACGACACGGTTTCTTCTCTTGACCGCACTTATCAACAGCTTGTATGCAGCAGAATGGGGTCTGTAGCAGGTGATTGAATCGCCATCGTTACTCCAGCCGAACGGGTTAGGCCACAATCACGCATACATTTCGGTTTGTTTTACGGAGTACACGCCGCAGGCCACCTACAGCAAACATCACGGCCCAGCGTAAGGAAGGAGAAGAAAAAGAAATCTAGGTCAAAGCATCTTTTGAAGGACTGGTTTTAAAAAGTCTCGTTTACATAGTTCAACATTCAGTGGCTCCTTCAGCAACATGCAGTACAGTTGCCTTCGCATCGCCATCTGAGCTCAATGATGCACATTGCCAGCACTCTAAACGAGCGGCATGCCTCCCAATCCCCCCCAAGCTTTCTTAGCAAATGGGTATATACCACTACCTCAGAACCAAGCATTTCTCTCCCTTTTTATATGGACGTCCTTTGAGAATATTCCCCTCCCTACTCCACCGAAACCCTCATTCTGGCAGCCCAGCTGAGATTAGCTTTTGGTTTTCCGCCGCCATATTTGGCACAGGGTAAAAAATCAAAGAAACGCCTCCGACCAGAAACAAATCCGGTGACAAAACCACAAGGAGTCCAGTGGTTATGAAAACGAAAGGAAAAAAAGTGAACAAGGTAGTGAACAAAAAGAAAAAAGAAAATTGGAGGAACGAAGATCAAGACAAGAGATCTGGTCCAAAGAAGGGGCGCCCGGTACGGCTGCTTTTTGAGAAAGCTGCCCGTCTCCGCCGCAATTATACAACCGCCTTCGAGATGAAGACGTTAAGAACCAAGGTAAGAAGTGAAGAAACCCAAAATCAAAGGTCTAATAAAACAAAGAGTTCCAAGCCAAGGCTTCAAAAAACATCGGTCTGTTGGGGAATAAGGTTTTTTTGTTTCCATCCGGTATATCTAGTTGCAGAGTGGCTGGACCGCATTAAAGACGTCGTCGTTTGTGTGTGTCTCTCTGTGTGTGTGTGTGTGTGTCTCTGCATATTCGTTCAATCATGCGGGCATGGGTGAATGACATAGAAAGCGTAGTTGAGCATCATTGCGTGCAAGGCGTAGATGAGTGCCACGATAAGGCCGGGCAGCGTTGCGCCTGGTCAAGGCCCTTGAGGCATGAGGCCACCCAACACGGTTCCCTAGTACCGTTCTTGTCGATATCCGTTGGGTCGTGGCGCTTCATACTGAACACCCGTCATAGAATCCGGGCCGTTCGGGATGCCGTTGCTGATGGTCCGAAGAGGCGGCAGCTCGGTCCGGGGCGCGCTGGCATACGGATCGGATGAGTAGGGGGGCGCTTGGCTGACTGGCGCCGGAGGCGGCGGCTGCTGGCCCATGTACTGAGAGCTTTCCATTCGCATTCCCGACAGCTCTCGCCGCAGCAGGTCGTTCTCCGTCATTGCTTGGTTGTAGTGATTTTGAAGCACTCGGATGTGGTCAAGCTGTCTCTGGTGCTCGGCAATGGCTAGCAACGGCTTTGTTAGTCTCATGAAGAGGAGAGAAATACGCGCAAAATACGAACCTTTGGTAAGAATCTCCCACTTCGATGCCTTGGATCCACGCTCCTGTGGCATCAAATCGCGAAGCTGGTCAAACAATTCCTTCATCTCTGTCCTTCGCTTCCGCTCAGCCAGCTTGTGGCTCACACGCAGTTCGGGGGTTCTGCTGTAGGGCTGGGAACCCGTGGCACCGTTGCTCTCTTCAGCTTGAAGATCGCTCAGCTGCTTGTGCTGCATGGTATGGTGGTGCACGGGCGGGAATTCGGATGAGTTCATGCGCGAAAACTCAGAGCCATCGTCGAGCCTGCGCTGACCCGGTGGCAGCCTCGACTCGGTAGTGAATTGGCTGCTAGCAATAGACTCGGTAATGCTGCTGCGACGAGACACATCATACGATGAGTGGTTGTTGACGAGGTGGCTGCCAGCCCTTTGATTGTCAACTCTCTGGATGTCGTCCTCGGGGAAAGCCCAGGCCTGACCCTTAGTCGGCTCGGCTGCACGGGCGATGAGCCCGGTTGTAGGACCAGTAATCGTAGGAGCTGTTCTGACGACTTTGGCAGGTTCTGGGTTCCGCTCAACACTGGGCTGGTATCCATTGGAAATCCGGTGCGCAGCGAGAGCCTCAAAATTGGGCCTGGGGTTTCGTTGCGAGTGTAGAGTGTTCTGGATGGAGGACGAGGATTGGTTGTTGCTGGTGTAGCCAGAGCCTCCGAGACGCATGTCACTGAAGCCCTGGTTGATTCTGCTGTCGACGCTTTCACGCCGGCTACCTGCAACGGCAGCAAGCCCTTCTCCTAGGGTTGCCCCTGAGATGCTGGCCGTGTCCAGGGAAGTTGGTCGATCGAATCTTCGATCCATGCCGTTGGCGGGATTGGGGGAAACCATCGAGGCTACGCTCATGTTGCTCGCAGCTGGGGAGACGATGGATTGGGGTATCATATTGGAGGCGGCGACGGGGGAAGGTGTCTTGTCAACGGATGAATAGCCAGATCCGGCTGGGCTGAGTCCAGTAACCGTAAACGATGCTGCTGAATTGTCTGTTCAGCATATGGTAAGTAAAAAAAGGAGAGGGAGGAACTCTGGAAATTCAATCAGGATAACATACGTTTACTCGACGTTTCGTGGGTAGAGTAAAATCCAGAATCGCGCAGCTGGGGAGCGGCGTGCGAAGGGGCTCGCTCGTCTCTGTTCAAGATGTTGGTGAGTCCAGCCGATTTGCTCGGCAGCATGCGCTGCTGTGTCTGCGTTTCCATTCTGGCCATGAAACGCCTATAGGGACAATCGTGTGGGGAGTTTGTAGTCGAGCGTTGTAAAGATGAAGGTCAGGTAGATATTGCTGGCTACCTATATCGAGCAAGGACAAGACTCGACGCAGACGAGGATCGGCGACGCCGGCTTGAGGGAGTGGCAGGGCAAAGCTGGTGGAGAGGGAGCCGCGCCGTTGTAACGAGTCGACGGGAAGCCCAATGTTCGGTTTCTCACGGTGGTGAGCAAACACGGGTAGGGAATTGGCGGGAATGCAGGCTCCTTGGCAAGCGAGCGCGAAGCGAAGCTCTCGCTCACAGGAAGAGGCGCGAGCGACACAAAGCAGACACGAGGGGCTAGAGGAGACTGTCGCTCGTCATGGGGTTGAGCACTAGATAGCAGAGAACGGGTTATAGTTGTGGTAGAAGCTTGGAGGGGTATAAAGTAGAAGCTGTTGCATAAGATGGCGATGGGGGGGAGAGGGAGAAGAAGAAGAAGGCCAAGGCGACTTTGGATGTGAGATTTTGGAATTGGACTTTTGGTTTGGGGGAGGGGATCGGAGAAAAGCTTGGATAGGCGAGGTACTCTGCAAATGTAGGGGAAGGACTAGGGAAAGGCTTGTACCAACCCGACAGGGCCTCAGGGCGTGGAAAGAACTAGAGGTACCTCTACCTGCGAGTTATAGGCTGTCCGTCAGAGGGACGAATGGGGAGTGCTCGAAGCCGCAGGTACCTCTACCTGCGAGTTATAGGCTGTCCGTCAGAGGGACGAATGGGGAGTGCTCGAAGCCGCAGGTACCTTTTTCAGAGCCAACCGGACGTCGATTGCAACTTGTTCTAGCCACTATCCACAGACACAGACGCAGCACGGGGGAAACGGGGGAATTGGGGGCATGGGCTGGGATTGAGACCAGGACTGGGGGAGAGCCAGCGACATCCACAGCGGGTACCTTGTACGAGCGCGTGCAACAACGGCCCAGCGCGGCCAGGGCAGACAATGCCCAAGTATAGCGTACTTGCGAGCCTATTGCTGGACTACGAGAGGCTAGAGCCCAGGGAGCACGGAGTAACTGTACTTGGCGCGAGGGTAGCCCGTGTTGGCAGCTGTGCTACTGGAGCGTACCATCTCCCAGATCACAGGCCATCCACATGGACTTCCTCTGACCGGGGGCTGGCAGGGCTGTCCATAGTCCATACTGTATCACCCATCATCCACTAGACTGTGCCCAGACTTGAGGCTAATACCACCGAGAATATCTCGGCGAGGAGAGGGGGAAAGCCACCGGTTACAGCAGTTGGTGCTACCAGAGCCAGAACTACTAAGACACAAAGTTGCCCTCGATTGGGCTCCCAAGGAGGAAAGCAAAAAGAGGCAGCGGTGCTAGACTTGCAAGTACCGCATACAAGCCCTTTGGACTCGTGCTACTCCAGACTGGGAGCAGAAGTCAATGCAATGCAGGCAACCAGGTACTACTGCAGCTAGTAACTAGCAACTCGTGCGCATGAGAGCCACAAGGACTGACGGCCGATAGGCACACGCCCCTGGGTTTGGTCCACCTCCCTGTGGGCTGACGCGGATGGTTGAATCACGACCGGGAGCATACCGCTGTGTCCTTCTGCCATCTAGATCTGGCAGCACAGCGCCTGTGGTGAGCCAGGGGGGCCCTCAGTGCTGTCTCTCTCTATCTCCTGTGCGACCTACTTGTACGGAGTAGTGCCGTACTTGCTCAGCCCGAGGCATCTACAAATGCAGTACGAGCTGGCCGCGGTGCTTCCGAGACTGATGCTGCTGCTTGCGGCACTCCCGTGGAAAAATTCAAACAAAGCAGGCCGGACGGGGTCGCTGCGAGGCGGTTCGTTTGGTGGCGACGAATCTCGCCCTCGCAAGCCTCCTTAGCAGCACAGAGACATTGGATCGAATAGCCCAACACGCTCAGCAGCCGAGCTTGTGGCATAACTGGGCTTGCATGGCTGCACGCTACGCACAATACTATTAGTGCCCTATTGAACGGTGGCTCCCAGAGAGGGCACCAGCTGAAAAGCCTTGCAACTCATTTTGTCTCTGTTCCGCCGCCGCCACGGAGCCACCGTCCATCTTGTTCGCTGCCACTGGCCCGGCATTTCGTCAATGTTGAGAATAAACGGGGATGCAAAGGTAGCATGGCGGTCAGTAGCCTGAGCCTGATCCTTGTATCCAGTCTGGAGGCTCCAGCACAGCACACACAATTGCAAGGGACGACGAAAATAGCACTTCTCTCTTCCCAAGCAACCAAGTTCAAATTCGCAAGTACTGGTACGGCACAGCCGGAGACGCTCTCCAGTTCTGGTCCACGACATGGTAGCACTCGCCGTAGCTCGATGCAAGCGTCTCCAGGTTACTGCCTCGTGCTCCGTTGCATTCTCCTCTACGCAATAGATAGTTAGTACCGGATACAACGACATCCAATGGCTCAGAAGCCGCACGGACGGCCCAGGCACGTACAGGTACCTCGCATGTGGACGGATTGGACGAACTTGTGTCCATGTGCGAGGGCGTTTCCTGCACGCGGCGTCGTACTGCTTCTTGGTGATACCACACAAGCCCCAACCTTGCCGAAGGCAGGTGGTAGATGTCTTGGGCCTAGTTGGGACTTTGCATTCTAATTTTGTTCAAGGCCTGGAGCTGCGAGGTTGCGTTGGCGGTAGTTGTACAAGGACCACGCATGGCGAGCATGGGCATGGCACCCACCAGCACCCACCAGCACCGCCTTGAAAGTAGTAACTGTACGGAGTGCAGCAACCTGCTAGCCCAACTGCCAGCTGCAAAGCACGTGTTGGAAAGTGCCTTTTGCCTCCTGTTAGGTTAGCAAGTTAGGATACGATACGGGACATGGATCTTGAGGGGCGGGGGTCTGGCTATAATCGCCGATGGGTGCGAGGCTAAGTTACATTGCGACACGTTTCGCCCTGGGCGGCACTTGGGGATGCTGGCAAACCAACTGGGCCTCCACCCAACGAAACGTTAATGTTCCTTTTCCTGGGAAGTGTCCAACAGTTCCTGGGCGGCATTCGGAGGCTTGTGAGATGAGTAAGAGAGTTGAAGCCGGGTGAGGCTGGTTCGGTTAATGCTTTTGAACGGAGAAAAAAGATTCCATGTTGAATTAGGCAACCGGCGGTATACTGATACGGCAATATTACAGCCAATATTACAGCCCAAGATAGGTACCTAGCAGAAGTGCCAAAGTACAGAGGCGCAGTCGTGAAATTTCAAGAAAAGGCACAACTTGAAGCAAGCCGAGGGCCAGCAGCCTCGTTCGCTGCTCTCAAGTACATGTACTTTGCCTCGTGCTCCCATCTGCGCAATAATATCGTACCAATACAAGTGCATGCTGCAGCGCTCCATGCCTAGGTAGTAGAATGCAGGCGCTTCCCAACTCTCTGCCTGAGTCGAGGCAAGTGCAGCCCGTTTCGCTCCATTCTTCAAATCTACCCTCAACCATATTTTACACGCAAAACTTCATCTTCTCTCCCCACATCAAACAAAGTACTAGGTATGTACAATCTATATATTAATGAAGTTCTTGCTATATTCAGCAACCTATACCCCCATCTTCTCCATTTTCACATGATACGCTCTCATTTCGCCTGTTTGGTTCCGGGCAAGGCTGCTTTCGTCCAATTTCAGATGCTGTGCTCCATACTCACATGCCGGTGTTAGGGAGGCGCAACAAAACTAGCAACGTAGTATACAACAGACATTCTCTCAGGGGAGATTGGCCATCAATTTCAGCACTTAATGCGCTGTGCTGCTAACCCGACAATACGAATCTGGAAAATGAAGATCCTGGTAAGTAAGGCCGGTGTGTGGAAGAGCATCCATACTGTGTACTCGGACCAGGTATACTTGATAGTAACAGCCACTAAATACCCGATTTGTTTCATCACATGAAGAAAGGCTAATGGATTCCTGGTCTTGCAGGGGCCAATAGACAGCTACGGTATTGACTCTCTCCTGGGCTAGCAGAAGAGTCGAACCAAGATACAGCACAGGACGCGGCGACAGAGGTAAATACAGAAACATGCCTTGGTGGCCATGATTGGATCCCTTCGCCGGGTTGCTGGTCGCATACCAGGTAATTATGGACACGCCCCTTCGGCATCCAAACCGTTGGGCGGGCGCAAGCACGTTCTTACCCGCAAAGACCCCTCAACTTGACAAAACGTGACTTGGATGCCAGTGGCAAAATGCTTGTATGGTCAAGAATGAGCCCTGCCATGCCGTGCCGGAATGGACACCGAGGTCTTGACAAGAACGGCTCCTTCTAGCCAAAAGGTGTGACGAGTGTGCCCTCGATGATGACGGCATAAACTGCCTCTGAGGGATGGCTCTCACAGAAGACCCTGCAATGTCCGTTGAGGGTCCTTTCAGCCATTTTAACGCTATCCTCCAGAACCCAGTCGCTACAATGCCGCCTCTCATCACCCCGAACCTGGGCAAGGAGGGGTGAGGGCTCGCTGCGTTTGACTGGCTAGGATGGCAGCCCTTGGGGCGAGCCAAGCCAGGGTTCCTCGTGCCGCTGTGGATGGGATTGACTTGGTGTGCCCACAGGTCCACACCAAGGTGCATATGCGCGATCTTCCGCCGCCACGTGAGACTCGTTCGGCCGCCGCTCTAATTGGCGTGAGGGATATCGGCCATATAAAGTCGGAACCGGAGATAGCGAGTGTTTGGAGGGTGGATTTGCTGACCAACAAGCCACGCAAGATGGGGAACCTCGGTGGTTGATCGAAAACAGCTTGAGCCCAGCAGAGGATCGTCCAAAATCGCTACTACCTGTACAGTTCTACGGAGCAAAAAGTCGTTTCCTGCTGACAACCAAACTACCACATCTTCCACATGCGCAATTGGCAATTGGCCCGAGTTCGTATCTGTACGTTTTAATGTAAGCCCAGGCAGCGGAAGTTCCCCGTAGCAAGGCAGCACGACAGAGCCAAGGGACAACCGGGATTCGATGCCAACGAGCCAAGATCAGAATAACTCGAGGCCGGCTGGAATGTTCTTCGACGCCTCTGCTGCGCCGCCTCGGGATGGCGCTAGATGCTATTACACTTCGTACCAGAAGCAATCGAAAGGGAATGCACGCGGGCCTTCTCTAACAAAACGGCGCGCCTCCGGCCATACGTCGACGACAACGCGGCGCTGATGGGGTGGCAGAAGCTTAATGGAACGATGGAGCGTGTGCCACACCATGCCAACAAGTGCCAAAAAACCTCGTGGCTCGGCAGTCTAGCAGGCCCTGCACGACTTACTCAGGCACGCCGCGCTATTCATCTTTGGGTTCAGCCGGTTCAAGCCAGAATGGGGTGTGGTTGGGTGGTTGAATCATCCATCGAAGCACAGCCCTAACAAAACCACCTCAGCCTAGGAAGGGGGAAAAATTCAGAAGCAAGCCAAGCTTGAGTACGGTGACAGTCAATGAAGTCGAAACAGTTGTGCAAGTGCAGAGGAAAAGCCTTGACTCTTCAGGTCGCATCACTCTTTGCTACGTTCACCAAACAAGGCCCTTGGCTTCCCACTCGTTTTCCCATTCCCATGCTGCCTCGTTTGTTCCCCTTCCTTCTCACAGGCTGTGTGGGTAAGATTATTCTCTTCAAATCCCACAAGATCCACCGGTCAAACTTCGCCCACATGAGAGTCTACCGTTGGTCGTACGTCAAACTGGAAGGGGTACTCGTACTTTGTTTTATCAGACGCCCAGGCGCCAGCAACAGATACTTGTACACATCGTCAGCTTCCGTTCCTAACGGTGTGTTACCCGGTGGCTTCTGCTAGTCTTACCCATTGATATTCTTCAACTAGCGCATCACAGCGGAAGGTTATGAGTGTACAGCCCTCCTCATCATTTCATTATTATTATAGCGGACTGTTCTCAGTACGTCTTGATATTTAACCGTCAGGGGCCTGGCCATCACTCCAACCCACAGCATATGAGTACTACCGCCATAAGCGTGGCGCTACGCGGCTACCAGGGCGAGTGGCAAATGCACCCCAATCCAATGAGCCAAGCAATGGCTCATTAGCCCAGGTGTAAGTGCTCAGAAAGACACTTTTCCAGGTCGAAATATTGGTACAAAACAGGGCTCAGCCTCCTGGGATAATCCAAGGACTGGGCACCAGTGACTCCAGGGCCAGAGTTGTAGGAAAGCATAGAATCGGGGCGATTCGTATGTCGGCCCATTTCACGAGCCCCCCACTTGCAAAAAAGCATCGAAAAGCATAAATACACCCAAAAAAAAGAAAGGGAAGGGAAGGGGGAAACAACACTGAACTCCGCTAGGAAATACGGACGCATTTGTGGCCTTCGAACGGCTAATACAGTAATACAGGTCAACAACGCCTAGGGCGGACATAGCAGGACGATACATAGTACCGCTTCAACTCAAGTGTGGAAGCCATTGGGAATCGCCCACGTGGTTGTCATCCACAGCCCGCTCCCTCCACTGAGACAAAGAATGCGTTCAGAAAGTGATATGATATGCACAGGCCTAGTCCCTCCAGACCGACTAGTTGCTGGTGGATGGCGCGACTAGACGGCTACAACGAGACTCTGGACGGGCTATCAAGCGCCTCTGTCAATAAGCGAATTCGACAAGGGCTGGCACATGGTGCATGTACGAGTGCCCAGGCTCCATACTGTAGCGCACTAATGAACCCATTGTCGGGTCGGCTCTTGATGGCTACTACCTGGAGACTATCGATGAGCCAAGACCGGCGATGTTCGTAGCTGCGTTTAACTGGCTACTGGTCGAGATGTTTGGGTGATCCTCGTCCGTTAGCATTCGTCAGCCATGATCACATTTGATGCAAGATGCACCAAGGCTGGTACACTGACGTTAACACTGACATGCTGCACGCTCACTGTTGCATGCATCGGATCCAACAGCCCCTCGTTATTGGCAAAGGTGAGGGGAGCACTAACACCAACTCGTGCAGGATACACACTTTAGACCTACGTCTCCTTTATGGATTGGCAAAAATCGGTGAGCAGGACGCTCGAAATTGGAAACTCCCAGAGGGGTTCCCCTCATCCTAGGTTGTTCCCAATCTTGTGCATATCTAGAGCGTGAAGCAAACTGAGGCCACTGAAGCATATGATAACATTCTCTTTAGCGGCTGTCTCTCTGCCATCTGAAGTACCAGTAATTCAACACCACACCCGCCGCTGTCTGCGATCTTCACAGCAACTTTAACTCCATCAAGGGCCGTCTAGACCCGAGTCAATCATTTGTCATGAAGAAAGGAAGCATGCAATGGCCCCCTGCGAAGAGGCTTCAGAACGCTAGATAACCACAAGAAATGACGAAACAGCAAAGCTTGCCCAAATTGGCCCCAATACTTGAATTTGTCGGGTTTCTCGCTGCGAGCCCCAGTCTGTCCAACCGCTGAGCCGACACACAATTGGAATATTGATTTGGATGACACAAATGACTTAATGCCAACGACGCAAATTTCCCATTCATGTCACGTTCGTACACGGCTTATTGCGAGGGCATGGTATGGAGCAATACAACACCTCTCTCTAGAGCACATCGTTACCTCTACTCTGTACTGTTACTAGAGACCTGCATGCGGAGTACTCGCGACAATTGCCGTGTGTATACTCCGTACATACAAATAAACGACAAGGTATGGGGCCGTATTAGGCGCTTTGCCTGTGGATGGAGCTATATTGCAGGACATATTATCCAGATTGAGAAACAAGATCGGTGGTCGGCACGCGGAAGCACAACATTCTAGACCGCAAAAGCAACTCCTGAAATGATCTGTCCAACGCCCTAGCGTCCGCCAGCGAAGGGGTGGCCTGGCAGCCCATGCGTTGCTACGCTTCAAACACCCACGACTGAGTTACCTGTGTCCTCCATCAGTGGCTACCCTCGGCCATGTCCCGAGCACGGAAGCCCACTGTTAAAGTGGCTCCAGCAGATCCAGTTGTTGCCATGTTCATCGTCCCATCTTTTTTGCCCGAGTCCGCTTTGCCTTTGTTCCAGGCGAACGAGGTGCGGCTCAACCAACCGCGGAGTATCCCATAGCCAGCTTGTTTCAAGATACAAGAGACTCAAGTATAGAGTACCTCCTTCAGTGTCTGTTATGCTACCATTTGTTAGAGTTTTCTCTCACATTAGGGCCAAAGATGAAAAGGCTGATCACAGGTCGAATCGACGTCTTACAACGCCGGCGGCAGCGGCTCAACTTAGACCCAGGTAACAAGCTGTAAGTAAGAGCCAAGTGTTCAGTACTGCACATGGTCGTACCATGACCCAAGGCAAATCGAACGGGGGCAGCCGCAGCGGCCTGCAGCTTTATTGCCCTCTGCAACTTTGAAGGGGAACTTTGATTGCTACTTGCAGCAGAGCGCGGAGCCGCACCCATACGTTCGCTGTTCTCCCAATCGTGCGTAGTAGCCCTAAACAGGCATCCCAACAACACTGGACAAACATACAGGTACTCGTATGCCATGTACGAGTATGCACGGGTTACAATGCAAAGGGACCGGATAGGATCCCCGGTACCCGATCCGCAATTACATTATCAGATCAAGCCGTGATGTCAGGCACCACAGTGCATCGTCTTGACTCCCTTGCAGTGGCTTTTTCCATTGGTCACCGTAACTCTGTGCGGCGCGCCACCTACATAGAAATCATCTCACAACATCTGAACAGAGGCCCATGCTCATCAGTCTGCAGTACAGAAATCAAAATTGGCTGAGCTTGTCTCAAAGAAGTGCGGGATCGGACATCGAAAGCCACCACTGTACCTGTATACATTTGGTAGCTCAAGCTGTTGTTCTCGGGCAGTGACAAGTCTTAGGTGTCACAATCCCATGTAAGGATACATGATGACTGTGCAGCAAGGGCATTCTATTTCCAGGCTTGTGGGATTGCCTCCCATGTTCATGAGCAGTCTAGTTGACATACTGGCCAGCGATATGCTCCATGAGGCGGACTATCAAAGATGGCTTACAGTGGCATATAAAGAAGGTCAATCGACTGCTCGCGCCTTTCCCCTTTATCCAAGCACTCCCATACTTCTTACAGACGTTGCATGCTTGCCAGAGTTCACATCTGGGAGGGCCTCGATGATAACAAGCTTAACGTGCCGAGTCTGGATCTACACATTAGCTCAGGTTGGGTGGATTCATGTCCAGGATTACTGCTAGATAGATCGACCAGCTCCGGTAGTGATAGAAACTAGCTTGGAAGCTGCATGCCACCTAAAGACGCCAACAGCTAGGATATTGTTGGCCGGGGACAATATTTGCTATTCCGGAGGGCTGGCGCGGCACCCAGTAGCAGCCGAAGTCATTTCCCCCTCAGCTGCCTTAGACCGAGACAAGGGTTGACATTTCAGCCGCTCACTTCTCGCGAGTACACTGTGGCCCATGCTATCTACCCGCCTCCTTCCCGTCTGCCATCGTGATTGCCCGGGATCACGACACAGAGACACTGAGACACTGTCAGACATGAAGCCGAGATTGGAATCTCGCGGCACACCGGCGTACGGGGACGGGACTGATAGAGTAGTGATATCACAGGTTCCCGGCCCGAGGCATAGGAATAGCTGGCATGCTGTGCTTCACAAAACACCACGCGCCCCCTTTGCTCTCGAAGTGGCGCCGCCTCACCGCGCGCCCGTGAAACACGGACCGGCCTTGGCCAACTACTATTTAATTTGGTTTGGTGGCCTATCAGCCTATGAGCACATATGAGCGGACTGTGAACTATGAGGTTCCAACACCATTTCATCCCGTGTCAGAGACGCCAGCCTGCGCACAGCAGTGGTATTTGTCACTATGAGTGTTTGATGAGCATACGCTCCCGCTGCCACATGTCATTCGTCCCGAGAGAGGGAATGTCACCCGTCTTCGCGTCACGCCCTTTGGCCAGTTAACAGCGGTCTGATGCAACAGCGAGCGATCTGAGACTGAGCCGAGTCAAAATAATGACGACCAGTCGCCAGGTCTCAGAAGCAGAAAAAAAAAAAGTCTGTCTGGGACACACCCATTCGGCGAACTATGGGTTTGTGGACAAAATTCAGGTTCGCCGTTGGCCCGTTGGCCTTCTCTATGTCTCTCCTCTATGTCTGTTCTTGCTCTGTTCTCGACCCTTCTGGTGGCTAAAGTTTAAAGCGAGCATTCATTTTGCCCGCATTGTAGGGGGAAAAGCCATCAAAATTCTAGGCCTTCGCGAAGCCAATATTTAACCATTACGTTTTAACTTACCCCTCCCGCGCTGGAATTCTCCGCGGAAAACCTTTGCGAAATGTCTCTCTGTGACAGGAGATCGGGGATGTGTCATGAAGCAAGGAGCCACCACAGCGGCACCAGAGACAAGGAGGAGGGGGGAGAAGAAGAGAAAAACAAGGTAGGAGGCGAGGCGAGGGGGGTGTGTGAACTTGCTCGCCAGATGGGCTGGGTTACTCAAGGCCCAAGAATTGGGAATGCTACCTTTTTGGCAGCTTGGCTGATCCTGTGGGAGGATGAGCAGTACGACAAATGAGGGGAAGGGGGAGGGGGGGTGTCCATGATATGGTGACTGAGACAAAGAAAGGCAAGCATTTTAGAGCTTATGTTTCTCTATTTCTTGATTTTATAGCGGTGAGGCTGCCTGATGGGGTTGTACAGAGTGGACTCTTATTGAATACGCAGCACTTTGTCTGAGGAGCCTGGACGAGCGTGACCATTTGAGAATGAGATGGACCAGGTCTCTGATGCTTTGAGGATGTAAGGTGTAACGAGATCTCCCTCCGAGCCATGGCGTGGCACGGCGCCAGCATTCACCATTCACATGTTGCTCTTTCGGAAGAGCATGGAATAAAAGCCCAAGGGGAGTGTAGTAGTAACACTGTAGTAGCAGCAGTAGCAACAGGACTACCTCAAGAATAGGGGGGAAGAAAGATATCTCTCAGTTTCGGGAGAGATCCCAACACAATCCCCCGGTAGCAGGGCCTGAGTGCAGGACTTTCTTTGCTTTTCATTTTCGTGACCAAGCCCAGAGTGTATTAGAAGGTGCAAACATGTACGTAGTGTGAATGTATAAAACCTTGCTATGAACAGAACAAACTTGTATGTGTGTGTGCTAGTGGACTGAGACACAGGCAAGGATGATGCAAAAATACGTGAGAGTCTTGTCTCAAGCTGATAAAGGAGAATCAACATTTGCCACTCTATATATGGAATACCCATGTAAAGGGACATCTCATCAAACTTGTAAACAGGCATCTCGTCGACCTTGATATATTATAAGCCCAAACAGAAAACACTTCTTTAGAATAATAATACCATGTAAAGAGAGGTAGAATTCTTCATCTACACTAGAATCATACTCAACATCTCCGTATCCTGCGTATATTCAGTGTAAAGCCCTATATCCGCTACATCCTAAACTAATTATACTCTCAGGGAAAGAAAGATGTATTTTGCTCGTTGTATCATTAGGCTTTCCCCCCTTATCCTCCATTCCAATATATGCTCATCGTAAATACAATTTTATCTTGTTGGACCAATATAAGTTAAAACTGGGCAAAAAAAAAGAGGCCGTTTCTTCTCTTCCCATCACTACGCTAAAAAAAAATGCCTTTCATGTTTCAATAAAGCAGGAGACTGCTCAACACAAGGAGAAGCCCTCTAGAACTCAAACTCCGGTCTGAAAATGTCCGGGTCCACGCCGGGGACCGTCTTGTCTGCGAGATCTTTCCTGCCCATCTGCGTAAACACCCTCCTCAGGGTATCATACAAGGTGCTGCTGCGGTTCTGGGCAGACATTCTATCGAGAGCTTGGTCGACCTGTCCGGAAGCCCCATCGCCCAGGATTTCGTACGCCTTGCTGCGGCCAGACTTCTCAATGGTCTTGTGCATGTCAAGAGCAGCAAGGAAGTGAGATGCCGCCTCTTGGTGGCAGTTGATGTTGATGCAGCTCACGCCCAGGTTGTAACGGGCGCGAACAAAGTTGGGGGCGAGGGACAGAGCCTGCTCATACGCAGCAATGGCCTCCTCTGATCTTCCGCTGTTGGCGAGTGTAGCGCCGAGCCTGTTCCAGAGCAGGGGAAGCTGTTCCTGCTGGTTTGTTGTGCCCAGCTCTGAAGAGTGAAGGGCAGATTGGAAGCAGTCCACGGCTTTGTCGTACTCCTCTGCTCCGTAGAACAGCACACCAAGTCCGACCTGGACATCGGGGTCCATGTGCTCGCCGTCAGGGCTAAGCTGGGCAGCCTTGATAAAGAGGCTGGTGACCTTGTCATGCAGCTGCTGTCGGTCGGTGAATCCCATATCCGCGACGGGGTGCAGATTTGCGGGATCCAGGATGGTGGGATACTTGACAGAGAGCCACCTCTCGAGGGTGCGGTATGCCGTGCTGTCGTAGCCTTCGTTGGTATACGAAACAGCCAGACCCATCATGGCATCGAGATTGTTGGGGTCAAGCTTCAAGGCCTGCTCCAACGCGCGAATAGCTGCCGTCTCCTTTTCGTTCTGAGCTTGAGCTGAGCCCAGATATACCCAAGCCTCCACATGCTCTGGGTTCTGCTGAACGGCAGCCTCAAAGGCCAAGGCTGCCAATGACAAGTTGCCTCCCTCCTTCATGACTCGGACACCCTCGGCGAATGCATTCTTCTGCTCGCGGAAGATGTTCTCCTCCTCAAACATGTACTTCTCGACAATGGGGTCGGCAAATCGTCCCCAGTCGTTGACGCCGCCGCCGAGGTCGGGCATGAGGTCCTGGCCCCATTCGGTATCGAATTGATCAAAGTATTGTTGTTCGTTCACCATCGACCTAGCAGCAGCAGTCTCAGCCTGGATTCCTTTCCAAATGGATTCGAAGTCACCAAACTCATTAGTCTCCGATTGGAGCTTATTGTCCATGTCCTCCAGCTCTCGCTCGGCGGCGTTGGCCTGCTTCTCGGCCTCCTTGGCCTCTTCCTTGTCTTGGAGCTCGAGCTGGGCGAAGTGCTCCTCCCACTTGCTGTCATCCAATTCGACCAGCTTTCCCTTACCCTTTAGGTCCTGCTGCTGTTGCTGAATAGGCTGCTGCTGTTGCTGTTGGTACATCGGCTGCATCATGGGCTGAGCATATCCCATTCCCATACCCATCATGTTCATGTTCATGCCCATGCCCATGTTCATCATCGGCCGCTGAGGCATCGCAGAAGACATTTCACCGCGCATTTGAGGCGCCATGGCTGCAGCGGCTGCAGGGTTGGCTTGCTGGAAGCGCGCAAACTCCTCGGGGCTGAAGAGAGCACTCGGCGGGGCCTGGAATACGACGTCCATGCCGGGCTGGGCGTTGAAGTCTTGTGCCCATGCTTGCGAGCTGGGTAGAGGTGCAGCGCTCAGCTGGGCAGCGGGTCCGCCTTGCAAAGTGGGAAACTCTTGTTGAAGACCTGGGGGGGCACCGTTGAGGAAACCGTTCATCATCTGCAGTACCAGACACACATCGTGCATTAGTAATGCGCTTCCCGAGGCACATGTAAACAAACAAACAACTGGTCATGGATCAAATCACGTACCTCATCCTGGGGAGCATTGGCAGGAGAGCTACGAAAGCCTCCCAGCTGGCCACCCGGTCCTCGGCCGACGAGACGGTCCCGTTGTAGTGTCTTGTCATCCTGAACGTGCTTCTGGAACTGGCTCAAGGGGTTGCCAGCCGTCGAGCACTCAGCGCCTCCCATAAACGACATGTTGGCTGTGGTGTGCGGTGTATGCACGTGAGGTGTCGATCGATTGTCGCGTGTTGTCTATGTAAACAAGGAGGAGGAGCAGACGAAGAGGTGGAGGTAGAAGTAGAGGAGATAGATGGCGAATCGAGAGCAGCCCAAGGATGGATAATCAGTTGGGCTCTGCCGCGGCTTGTGATGCTCCAACGCTCGCTAGCGGACTCGAGAGAAGACACACTTGCCGGGAAGAAGCAAGGACGACAGTAGAGCGGCTCCGGCTTTGGGAAAAGATCAAAGAGGCGCTTCCAGGCACGTCACCTGCAGGAGGACCGTTTGTTGTGTGGGGAAGGGCGAGGCGCCTACCGAGGCTATCACCGGTCCGTCCGGGTTGGTAAGCGTCAATCTGTTGTTGGAGCAATGGGGGCTGAGGCCTCAGGGGCTGCACGTGACTGTGGGGTATCAGCAAAACGCGACAGGTGTGGCTTGGTTGTGCAGCTTTTTCATGTGCGTGGTTGGGTGTGGCGGTGCTGTGCATGTACTCTGCGCCAGCTACTGCTCTATCGATAAGATAACTTTTTTTTTCTTTCGCTCGTCAGAAAAGGCATCACGGCCGCTTGGAGTGTAATTCGCATGCAAAAAGCAGTCACAAGCCATTGCTAAATCCCACAATGCTTCGTCAAGTGTAAGTTCTCCAACATCTCCCACGCCGTCCTTATAATCCCCGAAACCCGGCAAGCCAGCCAGCAAATCTAACGCAATCTCTCCCCCCCCCAGAAAACCCCGTAACGCCCGCTCCAAGAGAGCCCTCGAGAAGCGCGAGCCCAAGGCCATCGAGAACCCCAAGACATGCCTCTTCCTCCGCGGCAACAACTGCTCCCAGGTCGTCCAGGATGCCATGAACGACCTCTTCTCCATGCGCCAGCCGCTGTCCAAGAAATTCACCAAGAAGAACCCCATCCACCCGTTTGAGGATGCCGCGTCCATCGAGTTCTTCTCCGAGAAGAACGACGCCAGTCTCTTCGTCTTTGGCAGCACACAGAAGAAGCGCCCGAATTCGCTGACGTTTATCCGCACATTCAGCCACAAGGTGCTGGATATGCTGGAGCTGTACCTCGACCAGGAGAGCTACCGCTCCATCTCGCAGTTCAAGACCAAGAAGTTCGCCATTGGCATGCGTCCCATGATTCTCTTCGCCGGCAGCGCCTTTGAGAGCCCCGTCCCCAACGAGTACACTCTCGCAAAGAGCATCCTCATCGACTTCTTCAAGGGCGAGCCCTCGGACAAGATCGACGTCGAGGGCCTGCAGTACATCGTCTCCGTTGCCGCCGAGGACACCGCCGGCGAAGGCGACGCCAAGCCCCCCATCCACATCCGCGTCTACATCATCAGCACCAAGCGCAGCGGCCAGAAGCTACCCCGCGTGGAGGTGGAGGAAATCGGCCCTCGGATGGATCTCCGGGTCGGACGAATGCAGGAGGCAGACGAGGCCATGCTCAAGGAGGCCATGAAGAAGCCCCGCGGCACCGAGGAGCGGACGAAGAAGAACGTTACCATGGACTCAATGGGTGACAAGCTTGGTCGTGTGCACTTGGGCAAGCAAGACTTGGGCCAGCTGCAGACGAGGAAAATGAAGGGTCTGAAGAGGTCTCGTGACGACGCAATCGAGCCAGAGGATATTATTGCGGAGGAAGTGCCCAAGAAGGCGAAGAAATAAGCTGGTCAACGCATCAGTCTAATGTTAGAAGAAAAGAAGAGAAAAGAAAAGAAAAGGGAGATGATGTTTGGCGTGGTTAAATCCTTGGAATTGGAGTTTGGCGCCTTGGGTGGCTTCATGGTCGGCTCTATCGATTACTGCTATATATAGTGTCCTGAGATTTTCTTATCAAAGCATCACAATTAGATGGAATGATGGGTCTTGATTCACAAGCATTGGCATTCTTAACCGATTCGCATTCACTCATAGTCAGGTTCACATTCACATCCCAACATGTTCACAAGCAGCAGCGTAATTCCCACAGGCAAATAAAACATGACAACGTTCATCAAGAACCCACTACGAGTCCTAGGAGTATTATATGTCGTGCCACTCCCGTATAAATATAAACATGTGGCTCCAAAGAGCCTTAACCACGAACCCCATCATCAGAGCCGTGTTTGTCCATTCATCCCTTTTTCCAACGCCTAATAACGCTTCGACAGTAAAGAAATATATGAGGAGCGACTTTAATGCACGCTTCAATAAAAAAGGGGGATATAAAAAGGAGTCAAGATGAATAATAGCAAAAGCGAGAAGAAGAAGAAATCCCTTCCGGAAAGGGAGAGAGAAGAAGAAGAAAAAAACAAAATTCCATCCATCTTTTCGTGGTTTCCTTTAACACCGATGCCGCCACTTTGAAGAACAAGGGTTCTCAAAGTATGTTGAAAAAAAAAGAGGAAAAACAAAGAAGAAGCTTCCACAATACCAGCGACAATCATATACTTTTGAAGCGGGTACTATGAGTGCAACGCAGGTCTCAAGACAACTAGTCCAGAGGCGGAGGTACCAAGCCATCCAAATCACCGATCACAGGTATCGACTCTATTGACTGCGGTCCTTGGGTGCTGTCCATCATCTTGGCCATGAGATCAATGTGGTTCAGTATCGACTCCGCGGCTGAGATGTTTGTGTCTACAGGAGGGTTCTCCTTGCGCTCCACGCCCCATATGTCAGCCGGGATGGCGTCAGCTTCACCATCCCATAGAGCAATACGGATGGGCCATTCAAGGTGCCTCCACCATTTCGAACCCGTCTCAAACAGACTCACGAGACCCATGACCTCTCGGCGGGCAACGTCATCCAACCACCATACGTTATCCATACGTTTGAGTAACGCGAAGAAACAGGCTAGAATGGCGAGGGCACGGGGTCGCTTAGCCTCAACGAGCTCGACGTAACGCCTTGAAACGGTTGATGGAAGGGCTAATGCGGAGGGAGCGTACTGGTTCTTGTGGGCCCAGTTGAGAACGCAAACAGCATGGAAGTATCCCTGATTGGTTGCCGCTCTGTTGGCTTCGTCTTCTTGTTCCAGCTCTTCATCCAAGTCGTCGAGAAGATGGCCAAAGAAGGATTCAGGGCCCAAAGGATTCAAATCAAGCATGAAGCCTGGCTGGGAGTCAATAACGACCTTGACCGTGGCGCTGTGGCGAATCCACTGCCACGACGTAGCCACGATAGTCTTGACACCTTGGAAAGCGTGGAACCAAGAAAGAGGTAGTGCGTATCGGCGATGTGGTTCACTTAGGTCCGATGGGTCGCCATCTTCCTTAACAAAGAGCCGAGATGCAGTCGCCTGGAAAGCAATGAGACATGAAGTGAGAAATAGGGCATCCGCGTTTTCTGCCGTGATGCCCTTGTTTAACGAGCGGCAATATTCCGCCAAGGTAGACGCAGAATATGCATGAGAGGCCTCAATCATGACCCTGTCGTCGGGGTTCTTGAAGCGTAAATGGAGAGCAGCTACAGAGAGAACTGCGTCAATCAAGTAGGTCCTTCCTTCGAGCGCGAAGCGTGGGACATCCTTCTGCCAGATGTCTGTACTGGCGGGAGAATTCATGACGAGAGTCTTGGAGGTGCTGGTGATGTATTGATGCCATAGTTGAAACTCCAGGAGCCTATCCCCTTGCTTGGTCATGGATGTGATGATGGGGACGGATGGTAGCGTGAGCGATGGCGTTGAGACGGTACTAGGGGGGGAGAGCCGCGAAGGAGATATTCGACGATTATCGTACATGGACATAATATTCGTCGATGGTGCTGCCGTAGTCGCAATCGTAGTCGCCGTCGCCGTCATGGGTCTCGGACTCACTGAAGCCGGCGCGGATACAGGCGCCTGGGGACTTCTGGTGGTAGGGGTGGGAAGCGTATGTAGTTCATCGAGCACTTGGCGGCTCTCGAAATCGCACATGACGCCATGTTTGGAGCAATTTCCGCAGCGCGGATGGACTTCATCGCACTACTCAGGAGGAAACACCAGTAGCATCATCAGTATCTTGTATTCGCAGTGCGCGGAAGAGATTCTCATTCGGAAAGCCAGGGGGGAGGAAATCGGTGGAAACATCGGGGATGGTTTTTTTTTTTTCAAAAGTCATTTTTTGCTGCTCACCTTAATCTTGCGATTTTTACACCGCCGACAACCCGCGCGCGACTTTTTGTGCGACCGTCTAGGAGGCATAAGGAGAGTTGAGATTGCAGTGTTGATGTCGCTGAATAGGTGCAGCAAGGGTTCTAGATGCGCCACGCACTGGTGGCATTGCCACGCGGGCCGTGGAAGAGATGGCTTGTGGTCGTTGGATGGTGTGTAGGGGATAGATCGCGAACTCAGACGTGGTTTTCCGGGTCGTTACATGTGCATTGTGCAGCATCCGGCGAACGTTGAAAGGCTGGAGCTGGAGCGCCTGGGCTAAAAATGAAGGGTAGTACGTGATGCTACAGCGATGGTGGATAATTGCTTCAGCACTCGGATTTCGATGTCTGGAGGGGCGAGGCTTGCCTGCATAACGACGGGATGTTTTACGAGTACGAGGGCGCAGCGAAAGAAGCCTCTTCTTGGTTAATAAGCAGACACTGCCACCACAGATGATCCTGTGAAATGGGTCGGGCGCTCGTTTCTCCGAAAGTGCTGGGCTAATAGCCCGCGGCATCCGGGCCGTTTTGTGGGTGGCCCATTGATGACTGCCGCCTGATCTGCACTGTAAATGTGTGGGAGTAAGAGAGTGGCGTATCTGGGTGAGATTACACGGCCGAGTGCTACGAAATACGGTACTTATACTCCGTAGATGGGCTCAATGTTATTCCCGGAAAAAGCAAAGCAAGAGAAGCTTAATGAGCGGCTGCCACGATTAGCGAGATTGCCATTGGAGTTTTTTGCAGTTTCGCGGCTCCAAAAGCCACGACAAGCAAGCCTTTGCAAGCCCTAGATCAACCCCATATAAGGAGTAAATAGGATCCAAGTTAGTCCCGTAGTAAGGGGTGCTGTGTGTGTACACTAGGGACAAGAGCTGACAGGAACATGCTGCGGCATTCCTCTCGAAGGATGTCCATCGATGGATGCTATGCTACTTGTACCAAATCATGGCAAGGCATTTGTTATCTCTTATCTCCTGCCGTGGGCATGGAATGCTCTCGAAGATGGTGAGCGGCTAGTTGCCGGGATCGACGCACTGCAACCATTTTCAAGCGTGGACGGGCATGCAGCATTTGTATGTATTAGCATTAGTGCTGATGAAATGCTAGTGAGTTATTATATCTTACATACATAGTAATTACATTAGTAGATACCTACTTGTAGATAGCATATCCTGGTGATTGGTTCAATTGATCTCACAGCCAAGGGGGAAAAGAGCACACAAAAAAACAAACCATAAAACTCCATGATAGCCTACTTGACTCTGGAACCTCTTGCAGGACCTACCAACCCTGGCATTAGGCTGCGGAGGCGGAAGCCGCGCCTATACCTACCTACGCAAGGGGGGGGTGTTTCTGGACAGTGTTAGTACAAGAATTTCGCACTGTAACAGCTTGTTCGCAGCCAAAAGGGCATTATAAAGTAAATACAGCTATCTAAAGGCTATCTGATTTTTTTACCAAACAGATCACCTTCCAGATCAGATTTCCCTTCCAACTACAGCTTTTTCAACCTAAAACCTTTCATCAATAGCAGCTATTCAACCTAGCAGCTATCCAATCAGTAGTAGCTGTTAAAGCTGACAGTAGCTTTCTAATTCAACAGCCTTCTTTCAAAAGCAGCTATCAAGCCCAGCAAACTGTCAGGGTCATTAGCAAACTTTCAGGGCTAACAGCAGCTATCAGGGCCATCAATAGCTTTCCAATTCAACAGCTTCCAAGCCCAGCAAGCTATCAGGCCCAGCAACAGCTATCAGGCCCAGCAACAGCTATCAGACCCAGTAACAGCTATTAAACCCTAATAACAGCTTTTACATCCTAACAGCATTTACAATCTAATATAGCGTTCCGATTTTATAGCGCTATAACTGCTATAGCTATAGCACTTAGCTCCCTAAAGCCTAATATACCTTAAATTATATTATTATTTTCTAACCCAAACTTTTTACAACTTCTTTTATTCAACAACCTTAATCCAACGCGATGACCTTAATCCAACGGGACCACCTTAATCAATCAGGGTTATCCCATTAGATCAAAGTAATCCCGTTGGATCAAGGTCATCCCATTCGATCAAAGTCATCGCGTCCAATCAAGGTTTATAAATACCCAGGTACCTAAGTAATACTGTAAAATAACTTAACATTAAATTTAGCCTAACAGGGCTCCTAACAGGGCTCCTAACAGATTTCTTCCAATTAAAAAAGCTATACACGCCTAATAGATTATAAATTTCATCAGCTGAAATACTATTATAAGAATTTACAATCTACAAGGTTATGCCAATCTGAAAGCTTGCTTAAGCTTAATAAATTACATAGAAATTAAAAGATGTTATATTGTGTGTAGCAATAAAATGTCGGCCATTACAGCAAATATTCTAACGTAAAAATCTTGCAGCACCCCTTTCAGAACCCATGTCCAGAACCCCCCCTCCCGCGCGTAGGTATGCAATGATACAGATACGCATTATCTGCGAAGCTCAATCCAATATCCGGCCCGTGAGTGCATGTACCGTGCTCCCGCGTGCTCCCGCGCCTAAGCACCTCGATTGCCAACTCGCGCGGTCGTATCAAAGATAATGGATTCTCGTCACGTCAATGGATGGATGCTTATCTGCTGGGTACTCACCATCCATCTGCCTGTATGTGAGACGGCAAGGAGTACAAGGTAATATATATATGTCCGCACTCCGCCATGCCAGTATTAGGAATCAGCGATAGCGATGCGTACCTATCCGAGGGATTGACTCGTACCAAGCACGTTTCACCCAGCACACGTCAGGTCAAATGCTCAAAGCAACCCACGTGAATGCTTCCTACAGCCATTGTAACACCAGAATCGCCGACGGGGGGGTTGGTTCCCGGCCTTGGTCGCTTTCCGCCTGGTCATGTCGTCAAATAGTCGCTGCTTGGGAAATAAAGTGATTTATAAGAGATTCCACTCGGTGCGAGCTGTGAGCCGGCGCTGGCCGCGGTTGAATCCTGCTAGCCCCCATGACATGACATGTGTTGTGTGCTTTGAAACAGACTCAAACAAGCGAGGGGAAACGAACAATCTGTTCGGCTTCACTCATTGCCGCAGGAGTTTTCCAGCATCCCACGATAGAAGCTCAAATCTTCTTCAAACCCCGCGGTTTTAAATCCCGGGCTCTGCTTTTTTGGCGATGGTTTGTTGCCGTGTACGGAGTAGTTGGGGGGCAAAACGCCGTGCTGAAAACGCCGTGTCACATGGCGCCAGACGCCGGTCCTCGTACATGAAAGTTATCGGAAACCGGATCGACAACTCACCTATCGCCTACAGCAGGGCGAGGGGTTGATCCCCCAAAGTACAGATGATCTAATTGACTCTGGAAGGGGGGGGGGGGCGGTGAGATTCCCAGCTTGGGTGACAGATCGGAATCGCAAAAGGTATCAGTACCTCACACCCGTCGCATTGCGTCGCATCCCATCGGTGCGCCAGCACGTACCGGTACCGCCGTTACCCCAAGCAAATAACTACTCGACTGGTAATAGAGCAGCTGTAATGGAGGTGCGGATGTCGGTCGGGCTTTTCCTGATTCCGGAGGCCAGCGATGGCCGTTGCATACGCCATGACACAGAAGTATCTCGAAATGCGGCGCCATATTAGCAATTGACGGTGGCTTACCAACTTACATACCACTACGGCAGGCGGTTACGAGCGAGGCCGTATTACAAAGGCGCCCTCGACGAAAATGATGTGATTTGCAAGGGCGGGCAGCAATTTCGGATTGCGTGCCATTTTGTTTCGTTTACATAAAAGGGCGTTGAGCTTCCCACCTCGGAATTGGCTCGCATCCATCCCAAAACGAAGCCAGTGACGCATTACCCACCAGCCCGGCTGATGACACCATTTTTAGAGTTGTCTTGCTCTCGTCCCTGAAGTGGAGTAATTTTTTTTTTTTTTTTTGGAGGCTTCTGGCTTTTTAAAAAGAAACTTGCCCGTGTCCACATAAAACGCCTCTTTTCTTTCTTCCCAATTCCTCCTCCTCATTGTGAAGAATTTGATAGATTTTCCGTGTTGAGCTGTCGCGTCGCAAGATCGGAGGCCGAAACCAAAGACGCTATATCCACCTCCGGCACCTTTCCCTTCACGACCTTTTTTTTTTCCAGGATCCCGAACCGCCGCAGATAAGATAAAGAAAGCAGACCCTGCATAAAAAAAAAATCAGCCCCTCCACCAGCGTCCACACACAGGGAGCGATTGAGATCAACTCGGATCTCTTTCCACCACCGCCTACCTCAAATACCTTTTACCTTTATACACAAAATTCACCTCGAACAATCACAATGTCTCCCCCTGTGACCTCCGACCCCGTCACCACGCCCCAGCGGCCCCCGACCCCCGTCCATGCCTTTGGCACTCTAGCCGTCCACGCCGGCGCTCCCATCGACCCCGCGACGGGTGCCGTGATTGAGGCCATCTCGCTGTCCACAACATTCGCCCAGTCGGCTGTTGGCAAGCCCGTGGGCATCTACGAGTACTCGCGGTCGTCCAACCCCAACCGCGACAACTTCGAGACGGCCGTGGCCGCTCTGGAGCACGCGCGATATGCCCTGGCCTTCTCCTCCGGCAGCGCCACCACGGCCACCATCCTGCAGAGCCTGGCGGCCGGCAGCCATGTCATCTCCGTGTCGGACGTCTACGGCGGCACCCACCGCTACTTCACGCAGGTCGCCAAGGCCCACGGCGTCAAGGTCACCTTCACGCCCGAGATCGAGGTCGACATTGCCGAGCACATCAACGACCAGACCCGTCTGATCTGGATCGAGACGCCCAGCAACCCGACACTGCGCCTGGTCGACATCCGCGCCGTGGCCTCTGTCGCCCACAAGCACGGCGTCCTGGTCGTCGTTGACAACACATTCCTGTCTCCCTACGTCCAGAACCCTCTGGAGCTGGGCGCTGACATTGTCGTCCACTCCGTCACCAAGTACATCAACGGCCACAGCGACGTCGTCATGGGTGTTGCCGCCTTCAACAGCGACAACCTCAAGACCCGCCTGAGCTTCCTCCAGAACGCCATTGGCGCTGTGCCTTCAGCCTTTGACTCGTGGCTCGCTCACCGTGGTCTTAAGACGCTGCACCTGCGCGCTCGCGAGGCCAGCAAGAACGCCACCACTGTCGCCCACGCCCTTGAGGCCTCTCCCCACGTCATCGCCGTCAACTACCCCGGCCTTGACTCCCACCCCCACCGCCACATCGCTCTCAAGCAGCACCGCGAAGGCATGGGCGGCGGTATGCTGTCCTTCCGCATCCGCGGCGGCCACGCCGCTGCCGAGCGCTTCTGCCAGGTCACCAAGATCTTCACCCTCGCCGAGTCCCTGGGCGGCGTTGAGAGCTTGTGCGAGGTTCCCAGCAGCATGACCCACGCTGGCATCCCCCGTGACCAGCGCGAGGCCGTCGGCGTCTTTGACGACCTCGTCAGACTGAGCTGCGGTGTCGAGGATGCCGAGGATCTCAAGAACGACGTGCTCCAGGCTCTGGAGCTCGCCGTTTCCTTCACCAAGGGTACCAACGGCACCAACGGCCACTAATTCACCACTCCCTTCTTCTTTTTTTTATTTTTTTCTCTTTTCTTTTTAGTCTTTGGTCTTTGGATGAGTCATGAGCGTTTTCGATCAACTCTTATAGACGGTGAAAGCAGCGTTTAAAGCAGGTCTACCAACCCTGAAACACAGGAAGGGGAAACCAAGCTACAGATGGGGGGGAAACGGGGGAGGACAAAAAGGCAGTATTGGTAATACCAAGCTGGGGCATGATACGGCGTGTGAATGTGATTTCCCCAAATACGGGTTAATCTATTTGTTATGCGGTTTTACTATTTTGGGCTTTTTTTATTAGGCATTGGGTGTGTACAGACAACTACTAAGCTGTAGACCGATGAATGGGATCATGGTTTGAATGCCTACTACATGCATTGCCTCCTTGATTTAATGCGTGACAGTGAATGTGCCAGTATCGTAGAGACCGTAAAACGCACGATTGGAAGTATTTTGGTATGGTTACAGCGTCCATATCAGTGCTGTAAACTACGGATAGAAGCAACTCTGTTTTACTCAGAGTCGGCACACTACAGATTTACAGTTGCACACTTCAGACGTCAAACTGTACAAGAATGTTTCGCATTCTTCTATTGCTCAAGACAGTTTTCCTACTCCCCTTCGCCTCTGCCATGTAAAATCTGGAATCTGAAAGCAAACTCAAAAGGCTCTCCTCCCCAAGTCGACGCGACGGCCACCATTGCTACGCCTTCCACAGATTAAATGCAAAGGTGACCGAATGGCATGCATCAAAGTGCACTATCCACAGGGTGAATCTTTGTAAAACAAAAATGAGGTAGTGAAAAAGAAAAGGGTAAAAAAAAAAAAAGCAAAACGCGCGCAGCCATCATTATGCCCTCGATCATATTCGTCGTCTCGGGTTTCGTTAAGGGGGTGATATCACGTTTCTGATGGGAAACAAACAAAAAAGTGTACTAGATAACAAATTGGGTTTACAGAGAAGCGAAGCCCCTCAACCAAAGCATCGACCCAGTGCCCTTCTTCTTCCTTCATAAATTGCGTACCATTACCAGGGACTGGGGTTCCCAGACAAAAAAGCCAGCGGCTCGGACTCTATGGCTCGTCACATCTAGAGAACGTATGCCATGAGACCAGCAGCGGCCATGGCAAAGGCACCAGATCCAATAGGGCCTTGGGTAGCGGCAGCAAAGGCCTTGGAGGTGCTGGACTGGGCAGCGCTGCTAGCAGACTCAGCCGCAGTGGTGGTAGCAGAGGCGTGGTGAGTGGAGGCGGCACCCTTGGAGGTGGTGGTCTCGGCGGCAGCAGTGCTGGCATCCAGGCTGCTAATCTCAGCGGCGGTGGGAGGGTTTCGGGTGGCACAGAGCTTCTGGATGTTGTTCTTGCAGGCGGTCTGGCCATCCTGGTTGCCGGCGTTGGTCTGAATGCAGTTGGAGAACAGCTGCTCGCAGATAAAGGTGGGCAGGGTCTGGGTGTAGTACTGGAGACCGGGAGCAGAGCTGTTGGAGGCGCACGTGCAGTCGTACGACAAAGTAGCCTGAGACGAACAGGTATGGATCAGCGCATGTTCCCTGTTCCGCACATAGATCGATCCGCGATTGCGGGCAAACCCACCTGGTTACAATCATTCTCGTCGGCGTTGTTGTCGCAAAGAACCTGGCAGGTGTTGGTCTGAGCCTGGCACCACACAGCTAAAGTCAAAAAAGGCCATGTTAGCAAACCATTTTTCTCGCGCCAAAATCGTGACAAACAAAGCAAAAGAGTCGCCCAAGCGCTTGGCGTAATCCCGCAGCGGAAACCTCCTCCACAGCAAAAATGTCCAAGAAAAATGTCTTACCTCGCTGCTGCTGGGCAACAGTGTTGGGGTCAATGGTCATGTTGAGAGAGCTCTTGTAGGTCGGGACCTGGGCCGACACCACAGCGGCGGCAATGGCAACGAAGATGGCGGAGGATCGCATTTTGAAGTCGGGTTTGGCTGACAAACAAATTCACCGGGGTATCAAGGTAAGAGATATAAAACCGGGCACAAAGACGGCAGATGAGCAACTCCAAGAACAGACGCGAGGCGGTGGCTTCAGAGAAGACGGGCTATTATGCTGATGCTGATGCAAATGCGGTGATGGAGTTGAGAGAAGAGGAACTGAAGCCCCGGTCACGGATGCGTCGACTTTTGCGTGCTGGTCAAAGGCGGGAGAGAGGGAGGAAGAAAGAGAGGCTAAGGCTTGCCAGCTGTCAGGGCCGTCACCTAAATAAGAGAAAGCAAGGGCGAGGCCGACGACAGACCATGGGAAAGCGGCGACGGTTTTTGATTACCGCTAGGACATGGGGTCAACGTGGTGCATGGCCGGCCTTGACTTTTTTTCCTCTTTTTTTTTTCCTTCTTCTTTTTGGCCTTCCTTTGTCTCTCGCGACGGCAAAGTACCAGCACCCACATGCAGGTACCTCAAGTACCCAAAGTACCCCAAGTACCACAAGTACTCGATGTACCCAACCCAAAGTACCTCCGGCCCCAGTGCCTGAGATGCTCGCGCGGTGTCTGATAGGCTCCGCGACCCGTCAGGGCCAGACATGCACCAGGGCAACGCCAATCACAGACGTCGACGGCACCACCATCGCCGAGTTGTCCGTATTGACTAGGGATAGGCATTTGGGGCTTCTGGCGGGGGGTTGGGGGTTTTCTGTGATGGTGGTGTGGGCAATTCGTATGGACGCGGTATCATGTATGCACAGGGAGAGGACGAGACTCGGTTGGCCTCTGCAGTACAGTAATATGGCGATACCTCTGGGCTTTAGGTACAGTACCTTTACCGTATTCCACTCGTGCTAATGGCTTCGCGTGGCTGAAGCTCTGTTCTCTGCCGCAGCTTGTGGACGCATCTTGATGTCATGGAAAAAAAGTGACTATGAATACCTTACAGCACCTACTAGATTACCTGTTGGTTACCTTACATGTTTCACGTGGTCGAGACTCTTGTTCCGCTGTCTGTAACTTGTACTGCCCTTCTCAACAGCGCCGCGTGTCTGGCGTTGCCATGGCGGCGACTCACCTGAGTCTCGCAGGCAGGCGAGGCAACAACAACAGCATCGTGAGCCCACCAAAAGCACAATGTCGTAATCGAGGCGGTCGCTGTCACGGCCCTATTCCGTATCCAGGATGCGCGCCAAGATGCTGGGTGCCTTTAGTCCGTGGTCTATTGCCCTGTACGAAGCGCTACTGGCACTCGAGCTAGCGGATTCTTTCTTCAGGGGGCACGATGTGTGATGATGGCACGATAAGGATGAAGCACTCTGGGGGGGAGTTTTATTGCTCGTACAATACACGTAAAGTGCCTTTGGGGGACAGTATTACAGTAAGATTGAATCCGGCGTTTGCAATTGAGTTGCTGCTACTACCGCTACAGGCAACGGAGCCTTGCCCAGTCCAGAGTAGTCCAGCGTCGGTGGAAAATCAGTCTCTGCCCTAGCGACCTTATCCTCAGCCACCGCCTCGGCTACGACAATGACGATGCCGTGGTATGTGGTATGCGGTCTTGTGTGCGATGCGACAAAAAAGAAGGTTAGCTGTGGCACCCCCTCTCCGCCTCGTACTGGATCTGTACATGTGACCGTCGGACGGGTACAGAAGACAGTTCTTTTGTTTTTCTTCTCTCGTCGGCTCCCTCGCCAAGAATCTCTGCACTCTGCACTGTCTCTGTTGGCATTGTCGTCATCGTTGCCACTACAACCATTACAACCAAAGTACCAGAGTCCATACCGGACCCGTACGAGTAGTGTGTGTGCAGGACTCTGTACTCTCAACATCACCAGTGTGTCATCGCAGAGCGCAAGAACTGTCATGCGGCAGCTTCAATGTCACCAAAGGGGCCGTTTCAGCGCTGCTCTGCTTCAGAACGTGCCTGGCCATGCTAGTGCCGTGTTCCCGTCGTGTGTGTTGTATACCTGCAAAGTACAAATACCAAGTCTACTCCGGTTCCGCATCGCAGCACAAAAAAAACAGAGAGAGCGAGAGACAGAGACAGAGCCACGCAATGTCGGCGCCCAAGCTTCCCGCGGCTCAATTCGGCATCACCTCTTCAATCCGCCATGCCTTCGCTGCTGACGCTCATTTCCTTTTGATTTTACCCTGAATTCACGGGGCCGGTTTGCCGTAGCAAATGGGAAAAAAAAAAGCTCCCTCCTTGGCAGAAGAAAATGGAAGCTCCCGCCACAAGCCAGCTGTGAGCTCCGAGGGTGCTGGCCAATCATAGACGCCAATTGCGCCCCGCAACTCGTGCCGATTTCCCCTGGGCCACGCTTGCAGATACTTGGCGGTACTTGACAGGGGTCAAAGGTACCTCTGCACGGGCCTCGGGTACTTGGTGCGCGCCGTCCCTGGATTTTATGGGCCTATCGCAGAGACCGATGAAACCTCCTCAATTCAGACAAGACGAGACACGACCGAGTCACCACGCACCACTTCAGCCTGTACGAGCGCTCTATGACTCCATACACCACCAGCAGGTGAGATCTGCCCCTAGCCTTAGCAGCCCGTCTCTGCATGCAATTCCATCGGGTGTGTGGCTGGACATTTGCTGTGGCCGTGCGCCTCAACACCAAGCATCTGCCAGTTGCGCATGATCGTGACATCTTTGATGCATCTTTCATCTGTCTTGCCTTCTCGGATTCGTATGCTATTACTCGTACAGCGATAATCCCACAGGTATGGGTAATTGTTCGGCTTTTCGTGCCGGCTCCTATCGATAATCGCAAATTTGCTGCCGTCACTGCTGGTTCGTGCCTTGCAAGCGTCCCTCATTCCGGCACCCCAGAGCCGAGAGGTTGGCCTCCTCTTTCCACAGATCCGACCTGACGGGCTCTACGGAGCATTGATTCTCGTCTCGAGATAAAATCTCGCTAAGCCAGCAAATTGCCTTCTCCTTGTGGCCCTCGCCGTGTCTCTCTTCCTCATCGTATCGTCGGCATGCCGCGTACGAGTATTTACATGTACGAGATCGTCCGTGGCCAACTGCCAGGCTCCTTCGCTCCACTCCCCTTATTTCGACCCAGAGAGGGTCACGGGGTCCAAGGTCAACGCCGGCCTTGTTGCCGCTGATTTTTTACACATTTGTCATCGGCAGTTAATTTCCGTTGTTTGCCTCGTGCATTGAGGTTGAGGTTGAGGTTGAGGTTGAAGTTGGAGGGGAAACGCCTTGCCGTCCTTCCATGCCAGGTGCTCCGTAACACCCCACGAACCCGTATCATGTATTGATTTCCTTCCGTACGAGCTGTTTGATGAACCTGCCAACGCGTTTCACGCGGATAATGCAACGGGCTTCTGCTTCTGCTGCAGCCCCTAATCAAGATGAGAGTTTAGCCGTTGTGCAGATAAGTTAGAGCTTCTCTATCTTTATCCGCCTGCAAGATGCCGCTAGTCGCGGCCGCCAACCGCCACAGGCCCCACAATGTACAAACCAGCGGCCATTCCCGACCTGCAGCTTGGGGAAGGTTTTTGATGTGCTTCAGCTGATTTGAGCCTTGCATATGATAAGCTTCTCACGTTGCAGATATTTTGGATGGCTCTTTTCAGTGTTTAGTAGTGCCTTGGTGGATGACCACTGATGCTGTCAAGCGCCCTTTCATATGCCATCTACCTATTCTCAGTACCACAATTGTGCCAAGGCTTCGGTGATACTAATGTACTTTTTTTTTCCTTGGGTAGGTACATAGTTAAATAACCAAAGGAATGACATTATGGGCCTCATTTGTCCCCCTCTCCCTCACCTTCAGTCACAAAATCTACTTGCAATACAAATGTCGTCCATCTCTCGAGTTCATCTCTCCCCGCTATATCCGTCATTGCCGCACATTATATACAGTGCGACATTTGCTCGGCATCAACCCCCCACGCACTCGATTAAACTTCAGGGTAGGCAGTGACATAAGAAAAGGCCCCCGATAAGATAACGAGCATCCCTTTGGTAGCACCATCGACGCTAAGACTCTCGAGCTGCATCTAGTCATGTCATCGCCAATCAAGAGAGCCTCGTTTTATGCAGGCTGTTTATTTATCATCGCTGCCACAGGCCCCCTCTCCAGATTAGCAGCTGTTTGATTCCAAACGACTCTGGCGTGCATAGCCTTCTGTTTCCCCCTTTCCAGGCCCAGATGCATCCCGCTCTGGCCTTCAACCCCTCGCCTCCAGCCCACCAGACGACACGATGAATCGCCTGCCCCCCGAGATTGTTGACGCCATCCTGCTGCAATGCGTTGAAGCTGGCCCGAAGAATTCCGTCCTCGACCTTCGTCTCGTGTGTCGAACCTTTGACCGGATCCTCAAGCCCTACGGATGCCGCACCCTTGAGCTTGAGTTCTCGCGCCTTAGCAAGACCAGGCGCACCACCAGCCGTGGCCGACCTCGGACCGATGCCTTGCAGACGGTTGGATATCACTGCAAGAGCCTCTACATCGACTTGATGGTTCTTCGCGATGAAAGTAAGATTCATACAGTGATCGACGGGGAATATGGTTGGCTAACCAGGCTCTGCTTCTGCTAGTGGAAGTCGACTTTCTAAGCGCAGTCTTTGCCCGTGTTCCCTTGATGCTGGACTTTTGCCAATCCCTTCAAAACCTCTACTGCATGGGCGAGATGTCATTTACCGAGCACGAATACTACGAGACAGTGGAGGCTCTACTCTTCAACTGTCGTAGTGTTGAGCGGCTGCGGCTGAGCCTGCCCTTTCAACTCGTCGGCCGATACTGCAACGCCGCCACCATCATCCTCGCCAACACCTTCAAGGCGCTGGCATCGCGTCCGGAAGAAGACTCGGCCTCTATGAAGGTTTTGGTATTGGAAAATGTCACCGACATTGCCATATGTCACCTCTGGATGAATCCCCTCGATGTGATGAATATCATGCGCACTGTGGTCGTCCTGGAGCACCTGGTGATTGCCCTCCGTCGGCACGAAACGGACCCGCCGCGTGTGAGCATGTTTGGGTCGTGCTTTTGGAATATTATCGAGCACGCACAGCAACTGGCAACCTTGTGCATAGTAGGCATGGAGCATGACGATAGACCGCCCCGAGGATTGAAGCAGACGAGGTCCTACCAGATGCCCATAGATGAGTGGAGAGCACGCGTGTTGCCGCCTCCTCGCATCATGCTTGATAACCTGACATGTCTGGAGCTGAAGCGAGTGGAAATCTCCCCAAATGTGTTCCAACGGCTTGCCGAGACATGCGGAGCCCTCATGGAGGAGCTATATCTCAACGAAGTGTACCTGAAGACGGAGCAATCGCGCGACTGGAACGAGAATTCTAAAAAAGTTCTGTGGGTTGGCATGGCTAACCAGCGGCCTCAAGAGGATGACAGCTGGATGGCCATGATGGTGCGCTGCACTATGCCCAACTTGCGTATCTGCCGAGCGTCGTTCCTCGCCTACGACCTCTATATTAGGGATGACGTTAATACCACACCAGAATTCGACCTCTTCGACCCCTGTGGCCTTGCCCGCAGCCTTTCCCAGCGCTTTGTTGAAGTCGTTATGGGCATCCGCCAGCCTCCCACGCCAGATGGCGAGCTCGTTGAGTACCTGCCTCAAGACTCTCGGGAAGATTATCTCCTTCACCGGCTCACAGATCGACCGCGCGTTGTGCGAGTGACGGACTATGATACCAACGCGTATCAGATTGCCGTTGAAAACACCACGTCAGGGTGGCAGAAGAGCATCGACGGCGTTTTTACCAACTGCAATCCTAACACCCTTGAGGAGCTGAATTTTATTGCTGAGAAGGCGCGTCAAGGCATGGGTGAGATTCATGGGGGTCACAACCACAGAACTGCCGGGAACGGCCGGGCGAATGAAACTACGCATAATCATTCGGCCACCCAGGCAGATCACCCAACTGAGGACCGGCCCTCTAATGATCAGAGTTCTCTACAATAGGCTACATCTGCTTCTGCATATTATCGGCGTTAGGGGGGGAAATGGGATGGATAACATGGATCTTTTCAAGCTTTCTACAATTACGAAGAGGGATATGCATTTGTTTGATACATTGGATTCGTTTGCAGTGTTGACTGCTCGGTAATACTATACTCATCGTTCGTTCTGACACCATTGCCATATCAAGTCTGCATACATACAACGAAATTACAGACGCTGTAAACTAGACATGGGCCCAACCCTCAGCTAGACAGCAAATTATAGGAAATGTCTCTTCACGTAGTATTTCTTTGAGCTTATTCAGGCCGAGTAGACCCCAAGTGAGACAATGGGCATCACGGGTTCTACTCTGTTGGTGGAGAAAATAATTCTGCTGTTCCCCCAATAAAGTTGTAATTTCGCGTCCCGATATCCCAAAACTGCAATAAAAATCAGTTCATATAAGCTCTTCTTGAGTTTTATGTAAACTACAGCTATGCACTTCAAGGTATTACTCCCTATGCTGGCAGCTACTGCAATGGCCTCTCCCACAGCCGTTCAAGACGACCCTCACATGGCATGTCTGCCCCCTTTTCGCTCATGAGCTCGTCTTCCTGTAGATTTATTTGCTAACAAGGGATTAATATTATGCTACGAGGATCATGAAATCAAGTCGGTGTTTTGCAAGACTGGCTTGCTTTTGCCGGCCGGCCTTTTCGCGGTTATACAGCTAGAGCGATATGAACCCTTCCCTCTACACGAAACTAAAAATACATCCTCCCCCCTTTCAAAGGGAGGGAAAAAGGAAGAAAAAGGGCAAAAAGAGATTTGCACTTCTTGGCTCAGCTCCTTCTTCAGAATAAATTAGAAAGGGATGCCTGCGATACGAGCTCCAAGACCAACTTCCCCAACTAGGGAGAATGAAGACGAAAGTAGGGAGCTGAGCTTTCTCACCTAATATGTCTCGGAAGTCGCATCTCCGCAGCATCACCCGTCATGTTATCGTCGATATCTCCGATCCAAGGCAGCATCATGTGAAACACGACTTGCGGAGTAGAAGGAGCAGGTTAAAGGGCGATAAACAAAAGTATCTATATATACTTAGAAAGGGCGTGTGCTTTATTTTGCTTTATTTTTGCGTACCTCTCTCTCTTCTAACGCCACCCGTACGATAGAAACGCATTTTTTTTTCTTCAGATAAAGAAGAGAAAATCCTGAGACTCTATCCAGCTATACATTTTTTTTGTACCTGCAGCCATGATTCTATCTAAGCTTCTCTTCTGTGTTTTGGCGACAATTGTCGCTGCTGCTCCTGCTGAGGAAGCTCCTGTGGCCCCAGTCGTTAGTTTCTCGTTTCTTGTTTTATGAGCTCATTATTACTATTTTCCATATTAACAACAAGAACATCAAGGTAACCCTGTATCATGACCTTGGTTGGACTGGACTCCAGTTTGATGTACGGAGCATGAACACCTGTTTAAAAGTCACTGGCTCCCTGTATGTCTCTCCCCAGAATTACATCACCATCTATGGGTTCTCTCGCTTACAAAATGAAGCTATGGCCATGTGCAGTCAGCGAAACTGTGGCCAACTACGCCCCCTACTAGGTTTTGCACTCTGTATTCGTGGGTTATTCCTTCTAACTCGCGACATCCTATCTTTTCCCAGCTAACGTGGTATCTGCAATTTTTTTTTCCATCTCTAGAACAAATAACTGCGAATCTGACACTGCTATTCTCTACGTTACTACGTCCAACAGCCCGGTCAATATCCGCCGCAACACTGATGTACGGTCGGTCTTCTGTAAAGATGTAAAGAAATAATATCTGGGGAGGGTGGCTTTATATCCCAAGCGGATTTTGACTGTACAAGGGTGAAAAAGGGACGCTGCTTTTCCTAATTTATAATTGTGGAACGAGGGAGAGAGGCAGTTTGTTTATCATGATACTCTCCTGGAATGACATAACCTTTACGAGAAAATGAAGAGATGATTATGAATGCCAGCTGTGGAGTGTTCGTCCAGTTAACTGCCTGATTCAGTGTATTCGCCCCCCCCAAATCTTGTGATATGCAGCTCTGATTTATAGTACTAGATAGATTGGGTATCGATGGGGCAATCGCTTTAAAATAGCAAGCTGAATATATGCAAGGTCCCGCAAACAGCTGATCTGAACATTTCCTTTAGATTTATCACTCAAATACATAACTATAATGTTGCACTAAGATGTGTAAAGACGGGAAGCAAGAAAGAGGATATTCTAATCACATCTGTTCCCACATATCGTGTCTCGGGTACCAATCAATCCCGAAAGCTCGCTGGTGTAACGGTGAATATCTCCCGCAAAGTACGTCATGTAAGACATTGGAAGTAGAAAGTGCTCGATTTAGGGGAATTGTAGAGCATAAAGTTCGCTTGTAGGTATGTGTAGCTAACATTCCTGCCCAAAAGTCATTGTCTTTCTCTAATTATAACGGTCATCAATCTAGAATAGCTCTTATATTGCCTTTTGAGACCCTCCAACGGCTGCTGCCATGCACCTCTCAAAGCTACTCTCATGTATTCTTGCTACATCTGGAGCCGTGGCTGCAGAATATGTGAGTTTATCCACTCCTTCGGTAGACTTTCGTGTCATTTTAATACCAAGGTCACTAAACAAAGATACAAGGCGTCATTATATAGCGGGCAAGATTTGTCTGGGGTTAGGCTGGGTATTTGGTTCCTCGACGAGTGCCTCCGGCTTCCAGCCAACGAGTAAATGCAACCGCGCCTCTTTTACGTTGGTGTTAAGTGATTACTTGCTAACAGATAAAAACCAAAAGATATGGCCATGTTGCGTCGGGACAGACGTATAGCTCTTTTCCTATAGTCTGCTTTTTATACTCGTGAGTGCAGATGTGTAGCCGATAAACATCTTTGTTTTCTCTTTCGTACTAATATCATGCGATTCGAAAGCAATGCAAATTGCACCGCTCCGCGAACTGAGCTATTCACAAATGCTGATGGCCCCAAGAATTTCGCAACGCCGACGAGCCGATCAGTATACTGCAAGTATCGCTAGAAGAGGACGTTGGTACTGTCGCATCCCTTGTAAGGGGGGGGGGGGGGGTTGTTGTATTCATTCCTCTGGAGGTAGTTTAAACACCTACGGCTGCCGTTGCGTTTAAATGATATTGATGTAACCACTTATGGGGCTTGGTATTCGGAGAGCTGGGGATGGTGTCCTGGGTATTTTTGATAAATGAAGTGGAAGAGACAAACACCTGTTACATACTTCAGCATGTTTGACATTAATGTCATGTGTCGATGGGCCGTATACACTGAGTATATCATTCACCTATATCTTTAGACATGGGCATTGGATTCGTTATATTTGATTGGCCTTGCTTGTTTGTATTGGTCAAGAGATCTAAGCTGGTGACAACCTCGGCGCCGGGTTGTCTGAAGGAACAGCAACAGAATTGAATAAACGGCATTGAGAAATAAAGCAGGCAAATAGTGGTATACAGAAGTGGATTAAATGGAAATCCTTTACCCAGTGTCAAACGGCAAATATACTGGCGGAACATTCCACGAGAGAAACATGGCGTGATATGTCTCTGGCACCAGTCAACTTCATGAAGCTTTGCTCGTTAAATTCAGGGACTCTTCAGAATGGTACATATCCTTTGAAACACAAACAAGAGAACACTGGCATAGTAAATACAAAGCTCTAGGTATATATATGTCACATGTGGCCGTTCGCTCGTAGAGAGATTTCGTGTCACTGGTTGCATATTATAGAACTCATCTAATTTTCTCGTCACATCCAGTCGCAGATATGCATTCCATCCAACTAATTCTAGCCTTTGCGTCTGTTGCGGCTGCTCAGATAACCGTCAAACCCCCATTTGTGAGGCCTCCTTCTCTGATTTCTTAGCCGTTGTGCATATGCCCATACATATACACATTCTCCAGTGACGGTTATTAACAAGTCAAAAAGGCAACAATCTTTTCAGGGCCGAGCTTTACGGGGGAATCCTTCCTTGTACCGAGACTCAACGACTGTGTGCAACTCGCCGATAACGTGTATGCCGTCCTCCCTCAAGCCAGTACTCATCGTTCATAAGAAATACTAACTAGTCCACAGCATTGGCAATGTAAACTCAGTGCAACTTACAGAGCTACCGAGCCCCTATTATATTTCTTGCACCCTCTACTCGTGAGTTGCTGTTCTCATCAGTGGCCTTGTCATTGACTAATAATTTGTCCTCAGGAACGATTACTGCCGCGACCCGGCAGCATCAGCCATCTTTTACGCCATGTCATTATTTCCTAACACAATTCTCCCTAATCCGAAAATTCGGTCGGTTTCCTGCACGGGTTCTCGACTTTTGCCCTGAGAGTTGGAAGAAGAGGTTGTGGTGCTCGTGAATGGTGTATTGTGTCTGCATTTCATGGATAGAGTTGAGGAAATGGATCATCTTCCCTCTACGGAAAGATAGATTTGTGTTATGACTATGTAGTTGACTCCTTTGTGTCAAGTTGTCTACTTCATATCAGCCGCAGAGGTGAGGTAATCCTCGAAGCTATTAATTCATTCTACTTTGAAAGCAGCTTGCTCCCTCATTTCATGAACAGTTTCGCTGCCTGTTGAACGACCCGAAGCCCCATCGTTAATAGGCGAACATGGGCTTCTCAGTCAACATCTGGCAGAGCCCGACAACATCTTCCACCACCCGCCATTCGCTTACAGAGGCAAAAAGGAAAACCCAAGCAAGCACCCACCATCACAGGAGGTGGATACAAAAAAAGAAATGGTGATTCCGCCCGGGCTCGAACCGGGGACCTTTTCGGTGGCGTTAAACGTGTTAACGAAATGTCATAACCAACTAGACCACGGAACCTATCATTTTTCATGTCTGCTTGTGCGCTATTTCAGATTCTATTCCGTCAACAACTGCAGTTGTTGGGGAAAATGTTTGGACTTTTTGCAACCTTGGAACGTCATTTACTACCCATTAGACGAAGATATACTTTTGTATCATTATTCGGCACATGATGCTCTTTTACAAGCTCCAAACCTCGCTTGCAGTTCATCGGGAAGAGGTGACATCGTTCGGATCCGAAGCAGCTGCACGGGATCACTCAATTCGATACACAGCCCCCAAACTTCAGCTCCGGACACTTCAAACATCCCCTCATTGTGAGTGTCAATCTACATTAGTCCTAAACTTACTTCTTCAACACGTCATCTACACAATGCGCACGGATCCTACACTCGGGCCATCCCTCGATGCTTGAGACACACACTCATGGCTTCGGAGCCGGCTTACACAGATGCCACAAAGGAGCCGGTGCGCTCAGCCTTGGTCGGCGATGACTTCCGCGAACTTGGCTAGAACAAGAATGAGGATTGAGGGGGAAGCCGGCGCTTGGATCGATTAGCAGTGGTGTGTGCGCTGTGAGCTGAATTCCGAGCTGCTAGTGATAAGTGACAGCGTCGTCGCTGTTGGAGATGCCCGATTCTCTTCGGCGTCAATGCCGCTGCTACTGCAGACTTGGAAGCTAGCGCAAAGTGTAACCGGGGAACAAACAGAAGGCTCGGAGGTTTGAATGTCGCCGGCAAGAGGGCCGTGGGGGATGGAGGTCATGACCAATTACCCCTTCTCGCCAACCTACTTGGACGTCGTGGTGTGGGATGCCTCGAAACAAGCATCAGTCTTGCTCAAGAGGAGTAGTGGCTGCGGCAATACGAAGCAGATTTCCATCACGCGTCTCGGTGCAGGTTGCCTAGCAATTCCCGTCAGCATCCATCTCACCTCGCTTCAACTTCAACAGCCCAAGTATCTGATCAATCATAAAGAATCCTCCTCACATGCTTCGCACAGCTGTAAACCCAACACGCGACATGAAACAGCACAGTAAGCTGGGCTGGCTGCCAACGTGGCTCGCGGGATGATTCCTTGACGAACTTTAGGCTCCTTCGGGGAGGTACAGCTCGACGATTACCAGTATTATCCAAGAGGCTCTTTCGCTCACTGGCCAATGACTGGCGTGCCTTCAACTTCCCTTGATGCGGCTGTTACACGCGCATTCCAGAGCTTGCGTTAGGGCCGCTTCATCCTTCTGTGGTTCTGACAGCCCGACAGATGAGAGGGGCTCTGATTGGACTCGAGGCACGTAAGCGGTTATGCATCAAAAACTCGTAACATTATTGCATTAGCACAGATTCCCCCCTGCTCTGGTCAGGCTTGAAGGATCTTCGGTATGTAGAGACGGCGGTTTCTCGCAGTACTTCACTGGCCGTTGCATAGGTAGGCCGCAGGGTCCAATGGCTTCCAAGTATATCAGGCCCGCCAACGCAGGCCATTGTCGAGGAATGTCCTCATGTAAGCCTAATCTATAGGTATATAATGCTCTGAAGCTGAAGAAGATTAAAAATGGACATAAAATCCAATAGTTCTAGCGCACTTGGAGGGGAAACTTACCTTGACGCCTTTTACATGGGGCTGTGTAAGAGTACCGCACTGATGACATTCATGCTCCATGGTGGATATCATCGACGAGTAATTCACAGCACTCGCCCCCATTAGAAACGGCCGCGTCGCTGCATGCTACATGCTAAGTTGACGGCCGCAACGAATATAATAATCAAGTTCCACCGGAATGAAAATCCACCAGGAGAATCGCAATGATCAGCTCAACCGTCGGGACGGACGGCGTAATTCTCCGTGTCTACTCTGCACTGTAGAAAATGCCGGTCTGTATCATTTAAATGTGGCGTTTCGATTTGCAAAATTCAAACTCCACGTGCCAGGGTCACATAAGGAAAACGAATGCATGACAAGAAGAAAGTTTCATCTTGAGCGTTTAAACCATTGGCAATGGCCCGGCACCGTGGGGGAAAGCGGACCGAGCATACCGTTAGCCAGCGATTGACACGAATGTGTCTATCAACATGAGACTGCATCTTCCGAGCATCCCCGCGCGAATTTGTGCCATCCATTGCCACTTTGCATCGTAGAGGGGACGACAGAGAATAAAAATAGAACCAACAGTTCTGTGCTGCAAGACGATAGCGAGCAGACGGAGCAGCTAGCTCATGTACGGCTAGTCTTACAGCTGCTAAAAATCACGAATTACTTTGGTGAAAAGCTGTGAGAGACAAAACGATGAAAATGTCTTCATCTTGAAATGTCCAATTTGGTGGCCGTGATGATGGATAAGCCGTATAGCAGTTGGCAGAGCTGGCCGTTCATCATTGGCTCCAGGGAATTGAGCATAAATCAGCTATATGAAAAGTATTCACGTGTTCCGTCACTTTGGTTTCAAGATTCCGAGCTGCTGCTGCTAAACGAAAATGCCACCCGGTAGATCTCCTCTGTTTATCCGCCTTAACCGGTGGTCTAATACATTGCCATGGCCAGTAATAGGTACGATATGTTTTCCGGTAGAAGTGATTAATAGACGTGTGCCAGAGCAAGGAGTCGCAGGTCTGGGATGGTGCGGGACGAGAGGAAGCAGTTTAATTAACCCCCCAACTTACAAGTAAGCTTGTCCCTTACTGGTCAATGCCTCAGTTGCCGCACTGTGACACGCTGAGAGATGGCTGATGAGTTGGCACTCTTGCCTACCATTCTTTCCCAACTCTCCTTCAGCTCCGCGAGCCTGAGAAACGGGATGGGCGGCACGGGTGAGCTTTGGCTTAATTCCGCCGCTCGATGGCCATCTTGATGGGTTACATTGGAAAGCAAGGGTCAGCTTGGCGTCCCTTGCAGAGAGAGATATCGAGTGGTGTGCGCGAGATTCTGCGTGCCCTCAAGCTCACAAGAACCACTTTGCCACAGCAAAAACACTAACCACCAGAGCAAGGGTGAGCAAGTGGAAAGAAAGAAGGCCGAATTTCGCTAGAATTAGCGGTGAGCGGAGGAAGAATGCAAAATACGCTTCTGTCTCTCTAATTCATGCATGTTATCGCCCCCTTTTTTTGCTTCCCTCTTTTTTAATCTTCTTTTTTTCTCTTTCTTTTCCCTTACGGCACGTCATTCATTGCCCTGGTCCCTACTCCATAATTGTCAAAAATTTCTCCACACTTTGACCCAAGTGCTATTTGGCCTGGCAGGAAGAAAGACAAGAGGGTCAAGAAGGTGAAACGAAACGCCACCAGCCAGCAATGGGGGGCACATGATCGCATGGAACAAGGGTTCACGAAGGCACTAGAATTGGTTCCTGGCCAGACAGCAGTGGAGAAGCGGATCCCCTTGTTCAAAGTCTCGCCTAGTCGATCTTTCAAGCCACTTCGCGATGGACGGCCTCTCCCGTGATAAGCCAGCTCCACGCGGAATGGGAGGTCAGAGTTGCAGTAAGACAAGCCCCGATATCTCGCTGCAGGCATATGCAGAGTTTTCCTTTCTTTTTAGATGATCGTTATCTGCAAGACACCCGAATCTTTGTACCGCCCAAAGCAAGTCGAGCGGGTTAGTGACATGCACCTCACAGGTTATTACCCACACTTATCCAAACGTGTTCAAGCAAGCGGGCAGTTTTCCCAATTCTGCATTGCCTGCGGCGGGCATAACAAGAGCACATCGGCCGATGTACTCGTAAACGCCCTATGCATTTGAAAGGACAATCGGAGATGAATGCTTCGTGTGCTCCATCTTTCGGTACGAAGTATACGATGCTGGGCATCTTGAAGCCTAGCCCAGCACTAGAGATGGATTATGAGCGCGCCGAACCTTTCCACCGTGATTGTAAAGCTAAAAGCAAGAAGCTACCACTCGTATCCCGTCTGAGAAATGCTCTCTTGGGCTGATCGACGGGAAAGTCAGCTGTGGCGTTTGCAAGTGCTTCAGATTGCCTAGTGGGAATAGCTAGCCACCCATTAGTCCACTTGTAGCAACGACTAGTAGAAAGATTGCGCAAAGTATTAGCTCAGAATGAGATGCCAGCTCACTCGCAGGTCGGCGGTTCTTTGGACCACTTAGACAACGGAGACAGACGCGCCAGGATACGGGAGGAGCTTAGTCTTGAACGGTGGCTGCGGTGGTGGCTGCCGTCGTGGCTTTCTCGATTGCTGGGGTAAGATGCGGGTGAAACAGGCGTCTATACTGCTTCCAACAAAGGTTGGTTTGCTCTGCCAGGGTCTTTGCGCCGAAGCAAAAGAACTGGCACAGTGATCTATCGATTCGGGCGCCAAGTACGAGCACTAGCAGGAACCGCCTTGAGACGAACAGACGCCATTAGGCGTTCAGCCCGCCGTCATTTCGGCGCATTATTCTTAGCGATGGGAAAGAAAGCCTTTCCAGTCCAGCGGTGGAGTCGTTCCGTTCCATGGAGGCGGATACATGGGGAAGAACAAGCGAGCGAGATGCAGCTCGAGTAAGTACAGGTAAACGCAAGTCATTTATTCTCACAGTAGTGCACAGCAGCTAGAGGATGATGGTTGGCTTCCGAGACTTGCGGCTCCTGCCTTGCATTTCATTCAGCACTTACTGGTATCAAGTATCTGTGCTGGTACTGGTACAGATGAGCTTTGCCGGCGATATGCTTGCATTGGCGGTAGTAATACCGCAGCAGGCAGGGAGTCGAAGTCGTATTCCGGCGACGTCCAACAAGGGATGCTGGAAGAGCAATACAGTAGCGTCCAAGATACATTTGCAAAGTGGCTTTCCGCTTCGATGTTAATTTGTCCATCCCTGTAGTATTAGATTTAGAACACAGAATAGAGACGAGTCGGATAACTTATATGATGGAATTGCAACCCACTCTGCCTATCAACCAGCTCAAGCCGCGGGCGAGTCAGGTCTTGAGAAGCTCAGAATCACAGTACTTATGACCCCTTGCATAGGTATGCTTCCGGGTTTGCCGGTCCAGCAATTGCGGCCATGATAGCGGAGAGATGGATCAGTTGTATACCAAGGCGTGTCCATGTGAGCACGACTGCAGGCCGAATCATCTCCGTTGCGGCTCACTCCAAACCTCTTTGGCTTGGGTTGGATTGGTTTGTTATCCCTCGATTCCCATCTCGTTACCACGTAAGTATTTCCCTTTTCTGCCTTATCCTGTCTTGCCCCCGCATGACGATGCATGTCTGAGTACACCGGCCCCTGCAGCCGATTTGGGTGACCGAGGGAGCCCGATCCGACCTACTTGCTTGCTTGCGGAAGATCGAAATCCCTTGCATGCGTGTAATTGCACGCAACTGTAAGCACCAGTAGCAATGCAGGCGCCACAGCGTCGAGGTGATAGAGGGATTGATGCTTGATAAGTCTGCAGTGAGCAGGTGTTGGGTAGTAGCACTTACGGGTACTGGTGATGCTCGTATGGTGGTGGTCGCATGCATTGCCGTCACATAACGATGCAAGGGGGAGGAAATAGTCTCTTCTTTTGACACAGAGGCTGAATTTGGGTAAAGCTGGGCAGCCTTTGAGGGATTGAAGTCAATTGGCGTACATGAAGCTGTACTCGATACTTGCAAGTGCAAGGGAGGAGGTACTATACCAAGTACCTTATGGCAATGGTCAATGGCTAGGACCTTCTCCTAGGAGTCACGCGAGATCAATTGATACATTGACATTGGGTACATATACTACTACTTTAGGTAAAAGGTTTGCCGGACAAGGTGCACAGCAAAAGCACACTTGCAATGCGAGTACTTGGGTGAACAGTAGCTGTTACAGGCACTAAGGTGGTCTGGCAATACACAGTACCTACCAAACTTTAGTACTAGGTAGAGTCATTGCCTGTAATATCAGGCAGCACCAAAGCCAATACAGTAACCAATGGAAGACACAAAACTGAACCATGGCAAAATACGATGCCTACCTATAATCTAGACTCAGTCGAGACAGCTCCAGGAAGCATTCGGCCGCCTGCTCCTTTTGGGGCTGGCCATCCGAAGCTTGGCTAAGATTGCCCTCAATGCTACTCTCCCAGCTCCGTATACAGACGTCAGACAGAACTGCCGGCCCTGGGTGAGATTCTGTGCCTGGTTCCTGGCCCTAGTCTGGACTGGCCCTTTTGCTGGCAGGCCAAGTGAAGAGAAAAGGCAGAGCGAAAAGAGAAAAGCCGCGTCGGGCTGTGATGGAATGCGCCGTTCGGAGCCAAGCGGGCAATTGTCAGCCAACAGCACAGAACATCAATCAATCTGCGAAGCTACTCCTCGCCTCCCGTGACTGCGTGGCAAGGCGGCATCCAACGAACACGCAACGATCGGCCGCTCGCAATCCGTCAACCCTCCAGCTTCCTCCAACCAGAGGCCGTGGCCTCGACGCTCATCCCTCGGACAGCCCATTCGAGTCAGGACTGTGCTGTAGTGCCACTGACACGTCTGCGAGATGCGCCACGTTTCCCTGCGGCTTTACCAGGGGTCAGAGGCCAAGGATCAGGACTCGCTCTTGGAGACCCCACGCGTCCGCTAACCCCTGATCATCCCCGACAGCGACCCCAAAAAAGGGCCCAGAGGTCTCAAAGAGGAGCCACCTGATGGAAAGCGACCTTGCTCGTTTTGAGCGAGTGATGGCGCTGCTATTGTTGCTGAATAGCGGCGTCAACTGGCCGGACGGAATGAGGAGATTTGCCGTGCACCCACTCACACCCAATTCTCATGAACTATTAATGTCTTAATGGGTTGCGTCCATGACGAAGTGCTGCTCAATAGCCCAATGGTCTCGTCTGGGCAGGCTAACACGGCCACCAGCTGAGCACACTAGCAGTTCTTGCGCCTCTTCCGATGGCAACATATTGACACCACTACGACTTACTGCACGAGTGCAATCCCCTTATCATTCTACTTATATTGTTACGAAGTATGAAGTACCACCAAGTCTTGTACGGAGCACAGCTCCTATGTACTATTGCTGCGTTCTCCATTCTCCATACTCCATACGGAGTAGTCCCTGCGGAACAATACTCCGTATTCTATATACAAAATTCACCGCGAGCCTTTGAGCTGTTTTGCATTGAACCAGGGTTGGCGTGTGGATCGCAAGTGGGCACTCGTCTTTGACACCCCCTGGTCCCTTCGCCTGCGCACCTTGACACCATCCACAGAAGGTGCAAAAAAAGGTGTCATGGTCTCCAGTAGGGTGCATATTTGTACATACTTCGTACTGTCTATACGGAGTACTGTACCATGAGAACCACCTTTACCACTACCGGTACATGCACGCACGCCCGCATGCGGCTCCGTGAGCTTGCACTTACACACTTGTATTAGTATCCCATCCACCCTCGTCTTCCCATAACCCCTTCTCCCCTCTGCTTCCTTTAGGGCACTTGTACTTGGACGCTGCTGCTTCCAAGTACTCGCTCTTTGTTAGGGTCTCACAGGGTTGGAATATGATTCTCGAGCCTTGAGTGTGAGTTGATCATTCGCTGGCTTTGCGCACTCTCGTATTTGCAATCATCTCACAGCTCTCCCGTCGCCTTGGAAGAGCTGTAAACGACACACCAGAAGAGAAAAGAAAAGACAAGAGGGAAAAGCTAATCGGTGGGCACCAGTTGCCATTCGCTATTTCTTCTTCTTGACCCTTCTTCATCTATTACAGGAAGGGAAACCGATCTCTTTTCCATTTAACGTATTCGATATCAATCACTTATCTGCCTTTATCATTTATTCGGAATACTCGGCACTGTTCCTCGGCTTGGGACAGAAGTTTTGCTCGGATAAGCCTGATTGAATCTCAGGTAGCCAATTCATATCATAACGACATCGAGACAGAGGACTCTCCGAAACAAAGTCGACATTCCGCACATTCGCTTCCCCTGAAGTGAGAAAAGAGGGTCCGGGATATACATCGAGTCGCCCGAATGGCCTTGTGATACCGGCATACCGACGCCTTCTCCCAGCCAGCCCTCCAACTGAGATACCGCCACCCAGTCGCTGTCACCACAGCACGAAACGTACAGCGGAAAGACAGGCAGCATGGCTAGCTCATCTCCCTCACATGAAACCGTCACAATCGTTCTGGCTACAGTCATCCCATCCGTATTCCTTCTCCTTTTGGCAGCCGTCATATACCACCGAGTTAGAAGACGCAAGGCCCGATTTCGCAACCGGGGAATCACACCGATTGACGATGAGGAGATTGAATCTTGGAAGACTGATAGGACCCATAGCGTTGACGGCGAAGAAAAGCTCCCAGGCTCTCCCAAATCAGCTATAACCGAGCCGAAGCGGGTTCACCACTCTCACCATGCAAGTACATCTATTGGTTCAGTAAAATCGTCGAGCGTCATTGTCTACCAGAATCGGGTCTCGGAAGACCAGCAACCTTGGTCTCCTGTTCGAGGGAAGCAAAGCATGGATATACCCCCGACACCAGTTCTTGCACGAGCACCAAACTCTCGGCCTGGTCTAACGGACGAGACAGTTCGGGGTGACCAAGCTTATGTCAATGTCAAACGTACTCCATCGGCACGCCTGTCCAAGAACAACTCTCCTCGGCATGCTCGGACAAAAAGCACACGAAGCACAAGAAGCAGCTTTGGGTCCAGCGCTAAACGTGAGCAATGGTACAGCCAGACTCCAGAGCAAAATTCGCCACGGCCGTCCGCCGATATCTACTCCAAGTCGGTGCCATCATCTCGCAGGGCGACCATTTCAACACCGGCAAACCATATTTCTCGTCAGATCTCTGCCGATGATGATTTCCCATTGACTGGTCTATCACCGCGACCCGTGGTGCTTAGATCTGATATTGGACGTGCCATAGGTTAACGCTCATCATTGCCAGTCCAACTCAATGCAATTTGAGTAAAAGTCACGAGGATGAATGAATTTTGGATGTTGAGTTGCTTCACTCACTGAGATGAGTGAGAGAAATATACGTTCTGACGGCCACCTATGCGGAGAATATGACAGCGATGACTGTTTGTACACGCTTCTTGGATGTAAGAGGCCTTATCCGTGAATCGTCGCAGACTCACGGAAGGGCCCTTCCCACACACGTTTTTTCTTCTTTCCTTCTTTTTTCTATCAGCGTTATTCCGTACTTTTATTCTTCTTTTTCGCATACGCAGGTGTTATCACTCCTGCGGAGGATTCGTGTGCCAGACACCTTTAGCCGCTTCATTGGTAAGCGACGACAAATGCAGGCTGAGCCTTGATTCTGTTTTTTATAGTATGATTTATTTGATATATGACGGATATACCCAAATTTTCTTATGTACCATGAGCAGGCGCATATCACTGCCATGGAGGTTTTTATTTCCTGTTATTTTGGGGTGGGATTTGAGAGAGGAGGTGGAGGGCATGACGAGATGCTGGAGGTGGTGATGAGTCGTTTGATGAGCGGAAGGATGACTGGGGAGTGATAGTGAGGTATGCTCGAAAGAAAGAAGACATACGAGAAAATACTATAGCCAAATTGACCACTCTTACAAGAAAAAGAAGAAGAATCATGTAGATGCGAACAGAGCCATGAATGCAGTTTGCCAGCGTTGAGAGTACTGGGTACCAAGAGCTGCTGCAAAAGCAATCGGCGGCCGCGGTACGGGGTACATGTGGCCTGGTGCAAAACCACTTAACGCGCGCCACGGCGGGGGCAACGCGTCTAACTAAGCTGCAGCTCAACGTGCCTTTTTTCTACTTTCTGCTGCTCCGTAATCCATCAGTCTCGGCTTGTACAGAATTGCACGTAATAAATCCGGCATTGACGCGCTCTTACGGGGCCATTTCCTTCATCACATCCGCCTGGTCTCACATCTTAGAGAAAAGGAACCAGAAGTCTCTTCCTGTCCGCGGCGATACTGGCCTCTTGGGTCCTCCCCCCCTTTGAACCTGAGAAAAATCCAACGACGGCTTGACGACGCATCTGAACGGCCTCTGCGTGTGCAATTGGTCTCCCGCATCTTGGGCCGTTTTCTTACACGCTATCATTGAGCCGGAGATATTGCTGAAGCGTTGCTTTGCCTTGCGTTGCACTTTGTGCTTTTGCTTGAGGGCGGTGCGTGAGTGTGTCGGTTTTTGAGGCGCTATATCGGACTTTGGATCGGCGCATTTCAAACCCTTTCCTTCTGGCCCTTCTCTCTCTTCTTTCTGACAACAGTTACCTTTCATTTTCGATTATTTTATTTTACGATATATAAAGGTTTACCGGGAGGATATACCACTTATCTGGCCTTCTTTTCGTCATTGGATTTTTCTTCTTCGGATTCTCATCACACATTCATAACTACGACCGACTTATCTCATCTCATCTCACCACTTTTTCCTCTCTCGCGGATCCAATTCCCGCCTTTTTGAATCTACTATCCTTCAGCATCCAAACCAGAAGACAACCATGCCTCCTCGCAAGTCCGACGTCCGGCCACCCACTCCTGTTGTCGCCGAGGAAGCATCTCCTCCTCCAGCAAAAGCGGCGCAGGGACAGGAGAAGCAGGACAAGAAGGATAAAGACAAGGAGAAGGATAAGAACAAAACAGAGGATCCAGTAACCATTGAGGTAACGCTTCTCTTTCCCTTGCAATGAAATCTCTGTCGATGCTGTCCTCCAAGCAGACAGATGTAAGAGGAACCCAGCGACTGACATACTTTGCCAGGATTTGAATCTTCCAAAATCCATCATCACAAGATTGGCAAAGGGGATTCTGCCCCCAAACACGCAGATTCAAGGCAACGCAATCTTGGCGCTGAGCAAGAGCGCCACCGTCTTTATCAGCTATCTGGCTTCACAGTATGTCTTTCACCATGTTTGTTCTTCATAATGTTTGTCCTCAGAACATTTTCTCCCTACATTCGAAAAGCCATATATACTGTATCATACAAGGCATCCCATGCTAACAATATGGCTTTATAGCGCCAACGAAAACACCGTCGCTGCAGGCAAAAAGACCATTCTCCCGGCTGATGTCTTCAAAGCATTAGACGACACTGAGTTTTCTTTTCTGAAAGAGCCCCTTGAGGCTGAGTTTGCCAGTACGTCCGCGCAAGCATCCCCAAAGAAAAAAGAACCTCCCCATCTTCCTTCTCATACCCCACAAGAATTTCACTCTCTACGAATCGTTGCCTTATGCTCTACCCACGTTCTTTCTTTTTCTCCTAACCACTCTCCAGAATTCAACGCCATACAAACCGAAAAACGCACCTCTTACCGCCAAAAAGTCCGCGCCTCCAAGCACGGCCCCGGCGACGATGCCGACATGGCCGACACAACCATCGCCTCAGAAGCCTCCGCCTCGTCCGGCCCGCGCGCTAAAAAGGCCCGCGTCGACCCTTCTGCCGGCGACGACGAGGAAGTCGACGCCATTGTCAATGACGATGACGACGTGGACGACGAGGATGAGGATGATCATGAGGGTGACGAAGAGGCCCAGGACGACGAGGACGACGAAGAGGCTGCCGATGAAAATGACGAAGACGACGGTGGTGAGGGTGAGGCCAGCGGTGACGAGACGCAGGATGCGCTGGAGGAGAGGAGGAGTAGAGAGGAGGAGGCGGATGAGGCCCTGGAAGGCGATGAGAGCGACTAGGTGTGTAGATAGCATGTATTCGAGCGAAAGGATGGAGTTGGGAAGAAGCTGCTTTTTTTTTTTTTTTTTTTTGCTTTCAATTTAAATATATTGCTGTTACCTGAACTGTTTTCCTACGCCAAACTCGGTTGAAGTGGGCAATATCTCCCTTGGTTCTAACACAACACAACACATGCATTCCCCCACTTCTTCCTTCACCAGGAACCCGAACAACTTTTCCCCTTTTCCCCTTTTCATTCTTGAAACGCTACTGGATCAAAGTAAACATAAAAGAACCATAATAGAGCGGTTTCAGCAGGTGGCAAAGACAACTTGTCTTGAGCACTCAGGATGGTAGCAGAGCATAGGATAAGACAAAGTTTCTTCAAACGTATCAATGTCTTTCTCCAAGTGTCGGTCACGCTGACTTCGAGGCCTTTGGTCAAGACAAAAAATCATTCATGTCATCCATATTCCATCACTGAGCTGAATCAACAGTATTCTACGCAACACCAAGGCGCCCATGAATAGGCTGCATGGGCAGACATTTAACGAAAGACTAGCAACAACAATTGTTCAAGCACCTGCAAGGTCTGCAGAGGCCAGAGCGCAAATCATCATGGATACCGTGAACCCCAAAAACCAAAAAGGAATCTCAATTTCTCTCATCAAGTGTGTTTGACGACTAAAGCAAACCAAGTGGTATCAACATCAACGCGAAACATGCCCCGCCAAAACATTGAGGATTAGCCGTGAAGAGATGCCAAGTAGGAGTTCCCTCCCTTCGTGAATACCGTTAAAAAAGATACATAAAATCCCCGTCCAGAGAACATTCTGGACACCTGCAAAAAATTCGGCCGTTAAGTAATGAAAAGAAATGAGAAAAGATAGACGTCGGATAACCATAGGCAATGAAATGGCACAGGGTTTTTGCATAACCACTGGTCCAAAAAGGGGGAGGTGAAGGTGAGAAGAAGATAAGGGGAAAGAAGCGAAGGGGAAAAAGAAGGAAAAAAGTAAAAGTAAAGAAATACATCCTACCGACCTCCCTCCGACTCCTTTATCCTACCTGAGCCAGGTGCTGCGCATCGTTCAAAACGAGCCGCTGACTCAAGAAAGCAAAAAGCCGCTCCAACCAACCTGTATGCTTGGGGTATCTGGAATACTGCAGGAGCTCGGTCCCAGAAATAAAAGGAAAAAGCCAATGGAACCAATCAGTTCTTCAAACTAGAACGTGCAGAAAAAGAAGAGTTGCAAGCAACGCAGTAACATGACATGCTTTAACAAGATCGACTACTACAAGCCTTAGCAAACCAACCGCTCACAGCGCAATGCCACACCAGAGGTGGACACTACTGTTGCTGTTGAGGCGTCCACCACTGCTGAGATTGTGGGTGTTGGCCTGACCATGCTTGCGACGCTGACTGCGTGCTCGGCGTGGTTTGAGGCATGTATTGACGAGGCGTTTGCTCCGCGCCGTACATGCCTTGGCTGGTGCTATACTGCATGCTTCCCATGCCGGGGAACTGCATGCTCGGCTGCATCTGGCCAGCGCCTGTTTGGCGGAGTTGAGAGGCCGGAGACTGGGAAGGATGCGCGGCCTGAGGCTGAGTCGTATAGCTGCTGTAGCTAGTTTGCGGCGTCTGTGGACTCTGAGACCACATCTGGCCTGGCTGCTGATAGCTGTATCCAGCGGCTCCGGCACTGATGCCACCGGTAGATCCTGCAGACGGTGTTGGTTCGCGGATACTCAGCTTGGTTGTTAAAGGCAAAGGGGCCATACCTCTGATGGGAGCTTGACCGAGCGCACTTTGCGCATTGATGGACTGGGAGTAGGGGGCCGCAGTCATCATCATCTGCGGACTCTGCGACGAAACAACGCCGGGCTGGGCTATGCCAGCGGCGGTGGTGTGAGGCGAATTCGACGGTCGGCTGGTGGGAATAGCCGGGTCGGCCGATGCAGCAACGGGCTGTTGCGTAAGACCGGACTGGGTGGGTTGCTCGTGCGGCCGGCGCCAGATGCCCTGAAGGTAATTGTCGCGCATATCGCGTTGCTGGTTCACGGATCGGTTGAAATCGGCGGCGTGGTGGGCCTGCGAATGAATTTCCACCAGAGGGGAAGGCCTGGTCTGGTCTTGGTACGGGGGTCCGGTAATCTCCTGTCGAGGTCCGCCCTTGATGATACCGCCGTAGTCCCTGGCTCTGTTGTCACTGAGGTCTGGTCCAACCGTTAATGCCGGCATTCTTGTCGCGCTTCCAGGTGCTCCCATCATACCTTGAACGAGGTGAGGCTGAGGCGCGCCGGGGTACGGTCCAGGCGTGTTGTTATACACGATTTCCGTATGCGGGTTGCCCAGCAGAACGCTGTTCTGTGCTGCTTCGGCGGCCTCTCTGGCCTTGGCGGCTCCGGGTCGTTTCTCTCCGGCGGGATCGGCTTCAGTGAAGCCTTGCTTCCGGGCCTTTGTTTCCCAGTAATCGTCTCGGACTCGGCGGCCGTTTTCGATGACGCGACTTCCAAACTGTCGGAACATGGACCGGGCCGTCACGATGGCGATCTGCCTCGATCGGTACGAAAAAGGCAAAATCTCTTGCTGGACAAGATCATCCTTTTCGGCCTGGCTGGCGATAATCTTATAAAGTGACCTGTTCTTGTTAAACAGGAGGTACGAGTCTCGGTATCCAAGCACTCGGGCGCATTCGGTGGCCAGCATGAAAAGCTTGTCTCCACGGTTTGGAACCAGGAATGTGCGACACCGGTATTGGCGGTTGCCAAGGAGCTGGCCATTGGGCATCACCTTCTTCTCACCAAACTCATCCGTCTCACGCGGGATGTACTCGTCGCCCGAAGGGTTGAGCTGATCAGTGGTATGATCTCGCACCGTGGGCAGTGCCTTGAGCGTCGTCTTGGTCGGCGTCGGCTTGGGGGGCAGCTGCGCCTGCGGAGTCGAGTAGGCGGGCGTCGTCTGAGTCGGAATCGCAGGATTTTGGGATTGGGGCGCTTGCGGCGGCGGAATGGCTTGAGGCACGGCTCCGCCCGGGGCTTGCCCGGGGGCCTCGGAAATGCTTCCTGACGTTCGGGCCTTCATTGGTCTTATTCGTTTGTGCTGAAAATAGCGATCACCTAGAAAGCGACGGAATTATGGTCAGCGCGCCGTTCTCCAACATACATGAAATTATCTAGTTTCGTTGCTTGGTTCTCGTCTCGTCGCTCCAAAGGCCATATTCTTGCGCAGCGTCGCACTGAGTAGGATGTAACATGTAAAGGATATCCGGAGGCCCTGTGAAACGCGGCGCAGGACTCCGAGCTACACAAGATCTATCGCCGACATACCGTCATCGCCAGGCCGGTGAGAGTCGAGAAGGTCCGGGGATCGATTCCGCTTAACACCCCGAGGCGGCGCACTGAAGATGTCTATGGTGGTCGGCGGGTCAGCATTAAGAAGGCGCGAGAAAGGGAGTCTGCAAGAGGCGCGCAAGGCATTGTGAATGAAGCATAGGAGGGAGACCGTAATGCGCAGCGCAAAGGCAGATGGTATGATGGGATTTTTTTTTAAGAGGCGGCGCGCGCGCGGTCAAGATCTGGCGGGGGAGGGGGCCGACATAAGAGTTCAAGATGGAGGGGCAACGACATTGACAAGACAATATATGACATGAGGAATGAACAACTCACCAGAGTTGAGGGCAGCGGGATTGATTGTCGCACCGTCGGCGCCTGTTGGTTGTGCGGAGTACATGACAAGAATATCCAAGCAAGCAGCAACGGCGGCGGCGGCAGCGGCGATGGCGGCGACGTGTCGAGAAATAGTTGGGCTGGCGAAGTTCCAAGGATGGACGAGGTGCAGAAGAATGGGCTTGTCCTGCAGGTTGGCTTCCAAGGGGGCGTGGATGGGTGTGGCGGGCAATGGCCGGAGGCGAACCGAAGGAAACCAGCCGGATGGATAGAAGGACAGGCAGCAGAGACGAGAACAGAGCAGCGTGGTGTAGTGTAGCCCGAGTGCGGCGCAAGCCCAAGGCGGCTGCTTCAAAGCTCCAGCTCAAGGCAATGGCTCGAGGCAGAACAACGAGACATGCGATGAACAGCCGGCCATGGCTGCGCAGAGGAACCGGGCATAATTCACCTACCTTTTTTTATTTTCCTGCGATTCTTGATATCGAGGGAGGGGGGGCCAGTGGGGGGTAGGCAAAGGAAAGGAACTTTTCTTGTTCTTCTTGTTACCTTTTTTTCTCAGTGCAGTCCAACAAGCTGATGGACAAAGAGCGCGACGCGTGTGTGACAGTAACGATGACGATCGCACCAGGCGGCAGTCAGGAAACACGAGCGGCGACCGACTTTTGTCTGCGGCGTGCGCGTCTCTGCGAGTCTGTCTGCAGAGAGGCAATCGGCGATGGTTGGAAGCAGCGCGACTCGAGTCGACTCGGTGGAGACTCGCGAAAGGCTGAGTTGAGCGCAGTGCTGTGGCAGAAGTACTACTAGTAGTAGCGTAGCGCAGCGAGGCACGACGCAAAACAAACAAAAGCGCAGACGTCGCGAGAGCTGGGGGACCTTGTGCCGGATGTGGGCGCGATGTCTGGCGGGAGGTTGTGTGCAAGAAGAGGGAGGGTGGTTTAGGGTGGTTATGGTGGTGGTGGTGGTGGAGATGGGAGAGGAGCTTTGTAATTGACGGGACAGTGGCAGGTAGGTATGTCGTACGTTAGCACGCTTTCCGCACGCTAGAGGTCGCAGAGACTTGCAGAAACAAGAGCGGGCTTGACGGGGCGGGGGGAGAGGGAACAAGAACAGGCTGGGCCAAGGGTACGCTGGATTTTATTTGTGGATGCGCGGATGGAGGGCTGCAAGCGGATGGCGACGAATCATGGTTGGCTGCAAAGACGCAGCGGCTGGAGACTTTTTTTCTTGCGACGACGTGGAGGGGGCGTGTGATGAGAGAGAATGAGAAAGACGAAGGTGAAGCAAGGGAGGATGGGTTTGAGGCAAGGCAACCTGGTTCAGCAGAGCATGTGCGTAACTCGATGTACAAGTAGATGCCAGGTACTCGCAAGTACGGGGTACTGCAAGTGGCGCTTGTGCGATGGACCTAGCGGTACCTGCAACTAGATGGAAAGAAACTAAGAGGGCGGAATGACAGCACAGATGCAGCAGAACGGCTGAAAAAGACGAGGATAATACCGATTTATGTAGCCTAGCAGACTTGGGATGCACTAGGGGGATGAAAAGATGGCAAGATGGCAAGATGGAAGATGAGCGTCCCGGTTATTTCTGGCGAGCCAGGGCCTGCTGCAGCTCAGCCGTGCGCAGAGTCAGTAGCATCCAAGCACGGGTTTTTGGGATTCGTCGGCACCAGGAGCATCGGAGAGGAGCATCCCTGCAGCTCGCCATCGTGAGCTGCGACTACTGTACTTATACGACATGCACGCGTGCGAGTCGTTGTCCGTCCGCAGCAAAAAGACCCTGCTGTTTGGGAGTTGGTGAAAAAAAGTGATATCCGGGATATTATCAGCAGGAACGGGGGTTACAAGGTGGTATTCCTATCAGCAGATACTCCGTGCTGTACTGTATTAGTAGGCACCTCTATACAGCGGAGGTATAATATCGATTTACCTAGCAGTACTTGGTATACTGCATCTTCCATGCTAAGGTACAACCTGGAACAGAATACAACTTGAATACAACACATGCAGTAATATGTAATAGCCGTGCAGGCATATAAGCTGATAAGGTCAAGTGCATCAAATATTGATAATCCATTCGATCAATGCCTCCGTTAGCCTCTGCTGGCTCGGCCAACCGCTGCCCTGTTCTCCGTAAGGCGTGCAGTCAGTGAACTCAGGCCGGATATGCAAGCAATGCCCTCGAACCCGGGCCTCCAAAACACCCCTGCTGGCTCGCTGTGGCACTCGGCAACAGTGCCTTGTTGGGAACTGCAGCTTCCATTGATTGATCCTTCAGGTCAGCCTGTCTGCCCGCTCTGCTCTGCTCGTGGGATTTAATCTAAGTGAGTTTGGCCCTGTGTTTTACCTGCCCAAATAGATTCCCGGGCTTTGCCTTGATACGACAGCCGCCACGTTCAAAACAGCGACACTAGTGGTCTATCCATCTATCCAGCTGCGCGTCGCTTATTTTAGTTGGAAGTGTGCGCGCGTGCAGAGTCGCAGCAGCTCGGTCCCAAAAAGTGACCGCGTCAAGGGCTAGAGGAGCTCAGCAGCAATAGCGAAGCAGAGCTCAGCTCCGAACCAACACTGGACGAGGGGTGGTTCGTGGCTTAGCCCGGGAAAGGGGGCCGCTGAAATGGAAAAGAAGAAGAGCAGCAGAACCGCAAGAGGATCATGGCTGCGACAAAAGCTACAACAAAAGTGGCCAGGCAGGCCCACGTCCGAAGTTGCATCGCATGGAGGCTAGCAGTTCAGTTTACTACAAGCACTAGGTATGAACAGTGCTCGAGGCACGCTATGGCCACCCCGGGTGCGACCGTGCGCCTCCATGCATCGAAGTGATCAGTCATTCCTAGCTCGTGTTGGTCTGCGCCCGGCCTGACGTTATTATGGATCGCGCGGTTCTATTTTCGAAAGCTGATGGTCATATTGTGAGAAGTCCATGGAGTCATCGGGTCATGCGTGATGAAGAAAAAAAAATAGACTTGGCCTCAGACACGCTTCGTGGCAAATCGGGCCCAAGTCGCCCCTTTGAGTTCATGCCAGATGTGAATCACTGTTGCGCGTATCAGTTCCCCGTTATCGTGTACATCTCCTGCATGGGACAGGACAGTCCAAAGCAGCTGCTGCATGATTTGGCCGTCACAGCATTGGCTGGCATGTCGGTGCCGCTAGCAGGACCAACGACGTCATCTCGGCGTTCTGGGTCGCAGCCCGTCGGAAGCAACAGTCAGTTTTCTGCCCTGCTAGGCAGGATTGGGCAATAAATTGCCTCGATACCGGCTCCCCATTGGCTCCTGCGCCGCTCCTGCGTGGCTCCTGCATGGCGCTGCCTTCACCAACATCCGCATTGGCCATGCGGCCGGATAGAGTTGGCCTGGAGGTGGGGCCTCGCTTTTGGCTGAATGAAGGGACCTACGACGAGGACGGGCGGGACAGAGGGGAAGCCCGCAGGTACTCCCAAGTATCTCGACTGTCCGGTCTACTCATGCCTGTGCCTCGACCTTGTGCCTCCCCGTCGTGTCTTTTCCCCGAGAGGCTCACGTCTTACTATTTCAATGTCTTACAGCCAAGTTGGACAATAGTAATACAGCAATAATCGTGTCTGTAATACCTCGACGTCTTTCCGGGCCATGATAACACCGCTTCCGGAAACCGACTGTCGCATTTGCTTGTGGCTTCTTCGAGGCGCAAATCGAGACAAGAAGCGAAGGACAGATTCGTGCTGTACCTACTGCACTCGTAGTTACTGACCTCATAACTAACAAGCAAGCACGGGCTAAAGGCAGACCCATCCACAGGTGCAGTAGTACACGTTCTGGATGTGCATGCCTTAGAAGATACCAGGGACCTACATACATGATGTCTCATCTAATTCGCTGCCTCGTTCAAGCCATGTCCACCCAGTGCTACATGGCGATGTGATATTTGATATAGCCGTATGCCTGGAAAAATGCGGCAGGAGCCATTGATAGGTAGGTGTTTGCATTTGGACTCTGCGAGTACGAGCAGGCCTCGTTCTTGATGCCAAACGCTGATATGATCGCTATGTACAAAGGTAAGTACCTACCTATTACTAGATCCCTTGAGTGCTGATGCCGTCGTCATCGCTGACAAGGCCTGCCCGAATAAGCCGGTGCTTAATTCCATCGCACGTGTATCTCGACGGCATCATGAGGCTGGCATGGGTACCACCACTGCGGTGAACTCGGATTCGCAGTGCTATGCGATGCAACTTAAGGCACTACTACTAGGTAGGTAGGTTGGTACCCGTACTTCAAGGATCCTACTAACCTGTGCTATCTCCAGGTAGTAGCGTACCTGTAGTGCAAGGTGCTGGTGCTTAGTGCCATAATGAGCGCCTTCCGCGACTCGATCTGCAGGCTTCCTCTTGTAAGTGCAAGTGCAAGCCGGGATTGGCCCAGGGCTGGCAGGCGCCTCCGCCGGTGGGCAGACACCCAAGGTACGGGACCTTGGATGGAGACACCATCTCTTATTGTTGTTTCCCATCTGCCTGAGCGTGGTGTTGTTGGAGTTGTTGTCTTGTCTCTGGATGGCGTTCTGTCAATAACAAGCTTCGAACAATCCCAGCGCCACGACCCCATGCCATGCCGTCCCCAGAGCCACTGCTGCGCCCGTGGATTAGAGTTTGCGCCGCGAAACTGGGCTTCCAGAACAGGGCAACAGGAAGCACAACTTGTCCGTGCCGAAACGACGATACGCATGGTAGTGCCTAAACAGAGTTGGTGCTTCTTCTGATCAACAGGAGAGGATCCACCAACAAATGCCTCAGAACGATCGAAAACGCCCAGCCGTCGTCTGTCTTGCGTGCTTCAGCCCCGATGGTCTGGCCACCCCCTCTTTCAGCTCTCCGTCTACCCTGTCCAGCAAACTGATGACGGCAATAATGGCCTAATGTTGTTAGCGGCGGCCGATGGGAAGCTGACCCAAGCATTTCTCAACAATCCAGACCGATGCCTCGCTCAACAAGAGGCGGGAATATTGAATAGGCAGCAGATGCAAGTCGAGATCCTCTCCCGAGCCGAGTCACACCAGCGGCGCTTGCCAGGCTCGGCCAATCTCGAAATCTATGTGCGAGTAGTAGTAGCAATAGGACGCCACAGTCGGTACCACTGCACGACAATGCCTGCGTGCTACAGCTTTGGCGTCTACGCAACACGGCAGCACTAGGCCAACGCTAAGACGCGCGCCGCTCTCTCACTGGCCCCAGGTGTTCACAAGGTGATCACACAAACATGGGGACCAAGCCAGGGCCATGGCTGCAAGGGTGGCGGCCTTGCGTGGGCACCTCTTGCTCTGAGTGTGTGGTGCGGGAACGATGCGATCGCGCTGACCCCAGACAGGCCAAAAAGCCCTCCAAGGGCCATCCTCACAGCCCGACCAACAACATCGGAACTGCTGGTCCCCCGCAACGGGAGCCCCCATGATGGCTGGCATTCCTTGGGACACCTGGTCCTTTCAGCACCTACCACAGCTTCTACCACCATTGCCACCCTCCCTAGAAACAACAGCATTCTGGGCGTGCATCTCACAGATACCCGCAACCCGGTATCCGCCACGCTATAACGGACTTTCGCTACTCTCTGACCTCTTGCCTCATTCGAGTCCATGTCCAGCGTCATCAACAGCCGATTAGATTCTTCCCCTTGCACGCGCTTGTGGACGCTACCACTGTACACACTGTACCAATGTCTGTGGCCTGGCAAACTTCCAACCAGGTCAACTGGGTTCCTACCTTTGTCCCCTGCGGATGATATGCTCCGTTTCCAATGATTACTCCGCCGCTGCCACAAGAATGGTATCTGCGGAGCCGAAGTCGTCTGCTGATAATCCACCAGCCCAAGGCGTTCCCCACCTCTGCTGGAATAGCGTCTATTACGACTACAGTACAAGTGCGATCTTGACCTCGCAACTGTGTTAGACGGGGGTTATCAGCCCGTACATGCCCGGAGTGGTATTGGCAGCGATTGCTAGATACGGGGTCTAGTTTAACGCTAGGCAAATCCACTCCTCACCTCATCAGTTTTTTTGCAGCGAAACGGACTCCATTCCAGCGCCCCCACCACCAGCACATCTTCCCGCCGGCTCTAGCGTCGCTCCAACGGCCACTATATCTGCTATGATGGTGCGAAACAGCGCTTCTTGCATCCAAGCTGCCGCGGAGGTGTCCGATATGCTTGACGCACTCGTATGCCTCATGAGTCATGGAGCCGTTGGCATTTAGCAGATTTACTCTATCTGTGGCTGCTCCGGTAGAGTTTATTTCAAGGACTTACACCGACGGGAACAAGCCTCTCGCAAACAACGATGTCTGTACAAAGTACCCATAAATCATTTCTGGCGAAAAGCCCTTTCTGCGTTATCAACTCGAGTCTGTTGGCTTCACATCTCATTTACCTGGGTCCATGCTTTCAACAGAGCATGAGCCAGCATTGCCTGTAACGCAAGTTATTCCCTCGAATGTATTTGGAATGCCTCAAGATCCATATTAGACCACACGCCGACTAGTCCATGGCAGCGGTAAGTTGCTGGTGCGTTCTGAGGTCTTAGAATCTTGCTTGAATGGGCTATGCCCTGCTCCATGCCTTGTGCGCTAGATTGCTGGTACGTCATGCTCATGGCCCTAGCCGCGGAACTGAACTAAGGCAGTCGAGAGACATCGCGTGTTTCCAGGGTCTCGACACGATGCAGCGTTTTACATACTACCGCACCATAAACCTACCACCCATCTCTTTCTCTCTCCGCCGCATCTCTAATATCCAGGTTGGCCGAGTCAGGGGAACTTGCATATCAGAGACCTCCCGACTCTGTCGAGGACGTGGGAATATACTCGTCCTAGTCGGCTCATATCTTTACCCGGTGCGGTTACGCTCAATATGCATGCAAAGGTAGGACAATGAAGGGCCATGCAGATGGATGCAGCCAAGGATGGTTGGATATGCCACCCCACATCCCACCGAAGCAATCATGGCATGAATCTCACGAGCACATGCACCTCCTTCTACCTCTTAACCTGTGGCAGCAAAGTTGCACTAGCCTGAGATTTATCGTACCAGCCCCTCCTTGTGTGAATGGGGGCTCGTGTACTTCATGGACACCACCAACATTCCTTTCCCAAGAAGCCAGGGGTAACAGCGGATCTATCCAGTGACACACACACCAAGGCAAATCCCATTTTGCGATTGCCGATACCTCCAGATCGTCACCTCAGGGAGGCCCTAAGGAGATGGATGGTGTCAGTTTGGCGCCGGAGGTTTTTTTTTTTGTTTTTTTTTTTCCTTTTCTTTTTTCTTTTTTCTTCTCCCCCCCTTCATTCATTACTTTTCTGTTTTTCTTTCCAGCCGCTAGCAACCTAGCGCCATTGTCTGTGAAGCATTGCTTGCCCTTGTCGTAGCACAAGCCCTGCCGCTATTCGTTTTGACAGCCAATGTTTGTCTACGAGATTCCTATTCAGGAACCGGAGGCATCAAAAGGAGATGTTGCTGGCTAGGGGTTTTTCTCAAGCAGTCTACTATTGTGGGCGTCCATCTTCTGAGACGCCATCGTAATTACGCCAGCATAGTGGGAAACTTGCAAACTGAGAACTCGAAATCCCGCTTGCTGGCTGCACTAAATTGAGTGTGATGATATCGAAAGTCATGTGTAGAGAAGAAGAAAATGAGTTAGATGATAAGGCATGATAGCCAGGGTATGACGGCTGAGAAAGCCTGTTTTCACAGTCGAATGATTGACCTACAACAGCAGAGCTGCAAATTAGCGTCGCTATGCTCCATACCCTGCAATGCAATGCATGAATATCCGGTCACTTTGGAATTTCAAGGCTATCAATCACGTTTCCTGTTTTCCTTTGTGGATAGCGAATACGCAATTATCTTAGATCCCAGTCACGCTATTATAATAGTTTACTCAGGGCAAACATGCAAATCCGCCCGGAGAAGTATGATGCCTTGCTTGCAGGTATGTACGAAATATGCAGTCTGCAAATCTCCACTCCGGCGAGCCGTGTTGAAGTCCAACTTCTGACCGCTGCTCTCGAAGCTGCGGGTTTTAACATCCTTGCTGCTTCTAGCATCATCTGCATCTTTCGCAATGCTACCCTATGTTCTCACGAGACTCTCGACTTGAAGAATAGCGTTGATCGAGCCCACATCAGGCAGCGCGTCTAGCCATGTGACTGCGGGTCAACAGGTCGGTTGCCAAGGCAAGGATGTATCTCAGAGGTTACCTAACGTAAGTTTTCCAGCTCTCAACGCCCGAGAGGGGCAAGCTGTTGATCTCTCTCGCGAGGCAAGGTGTCCTCGTCTTCCAGCTTCTCGCACCAGTGGCCATCGTGGCCTCTATTATTGGCTACGAAGCCGGCCAGCATGCATTTCGAGTCCTTCAGGACAGGACAGCCTGCTGCCTTGGCACATGCCGAGCTGTACCAAGTACGAGTACTAGCAGTGAGATCATGTACATGCTGCCCCCCACCATGAGACGAATGTGTCCGTACAGCCCATGGTCGACGAGCAGCGACGGGGATCCAATCCGAAAGAGCCGAGCTGTTGGGCTCAGAGGCCCGGCTTTGGAGCCCTCCCATCATCTCGTAACCCTTGGGGTTTCGGCCTGACATGGCAAAGAAGGGCTTTGGTGATCAGCGCCCGCATCCCTTTCGTTTGACAATTGGGGCTATTTAGACTGTAGAGCACGGGATCTATTCTTGTTACCCGCCCATGCAAAGTTCATTTGCCAGGGACCAGACCACAGGCGCTTACATGCCTCTAGCTTCAGTCGAGCTGGCCTTGGTTATCAAATCAGGGCGCCACAACTGATGTCGCGATACACTTCTGATGCTCTGCGACTCTGTCGTATAGGCCAATACTGGTTTCCAAGACTTTACAGATCCACATGGAATTATTCACGGTGCTGGATGGACGAGTCGAGAACGTCGGCAAATGTTGCGCTGTGGTCCTACATGATGAAAGCGTGCATGAAATAAATGGTCATCTGGCTCTGCTAGTCGAAGTCAAACGCACGCACATGCCCTTGCCCCATCGCATGGGGGTACGAGGCGAGGCGATGCCTCTTCCTTGCTGTTTAGTGGCTCGCGGTTGACACCAAGAGATCATTCCTTCAACCTTTGTTTAGATTTAGATGAGACGAAAATGACGGCCGCGAGGATACCCATCACCGGAAGCAACAACACAAGGCTGCAAGACACGTTGTATCCAGCACACACCGGTATTCGCTCCCTGGGGGATGAGATGGGGACACATAGAAACCCAATAATTCGGCGCCCACTCCCTTTCGATAAGAACATGGCGCGTCATCCTTGCCAGCCAAACGTTGTACACCGAGATATGGTTGTATGCTGAGTACCCGCAAGACTCAACGAGCGGCGGAGATATGTGAAGAGGATCGGCCACACGGGGACTGATGCAGATACCGTTACCATAGCAGTAACATGGATACGCCATGCGATGGGGCCAACCGCCGGCCCACGACTGCAGTGCTTCGACGTGTCGTCTTCCGCAACTACGGCAACAGCGAGTTGAAAGGTGCATGCCTTTGGAGCGGTGAAAATGTCATGTCCCACGGACATGGAGTCCATGTTGACGACGACGAATAGAAGGCATATTTCGGGGAACCCAATGTCATACAGGTAACGACCTAAATCCAAGACGGTCCAGTTCTCCAAGGCGGTATCCATCCTCCGAGGGGGCACAGGAAACGAAATCATTGAAAGCCAAAAGGATTCTCCTAGGACAGGGTACAATCACTGCTTAGTGATAGCATACGCCCGGTGATATCGGGGCCAAGTTTTTCCCCGAGTTGCGTTAATACTCCTCTGCGTCTTCTGTTTGGTTGGCCCAGCTAGGGTAAGTGGCAAGTGACATGTTAGGTGACATGCTGGAGATTGAAGTTGCATTTTGACGATTCTTGGCCGCTTGGCCCTTGGATTGTCCTTCCAGGTGGTAGGTGTCTGTCCGAGATGATTAGATTGATGTACATGCAATATCGCAAATAGAATAGCTCCTGATAAGGGATGGGCTTGATCTGTAGGTTCTCACGATGCAGATTGATTTCGGAGTTCACTTTTATAACACGTGAAGTGAATCTTCTCAGGGTCAACGGTGATGTATTGACAAGCACCATGACACACAAACGTACTTATCCAAGATAAATGGAGATTCCTGTTGAATGGAGATTGTGTACTTGATATCATTGAACGAACGGCCCCTTTTCACAACAGAGACGCTGTAAGATTGATCTCACTTGAGCTTCAAGAGACTGTATGGAAGCTCACGTGACAGTATCGTGAATCAAGGATCACGTGATGCCTATTGCACTCGAATATAGATTGTAATGAGATAATCTCTCTTGACAAGCTGAGAGATTGAAAAGTGATATTTTTTGAAGCAGCCATTTTAAAAGCACTATTTCTCTAGAATTTAGAATTGGTTTTAAGCAAACTTTTGCTACAAGGCTTCTCTGCTTGAACGCATCGCGTGCTGTTTTGTTCCTTTACATATCGATAAGGCACCCCACTAGGAACTTCCAGATTCATAGCGCCTTGCGTCTCACTT